GTATTGATTTCTCTTGAAATTTAAGCTTTAAAAGATAGATAGGACCTTTATTTTTTATTTTTAGAAGGTTACGAAAAATATCTAGACGGGTGTTTCTTTTCCAATATCAGCCATATTTCATTATTTAAATTATTTGCTCCGATTGTGGAACAAACCTAAGAAGAGGTAGTGTGGTTGATCTTTCCCGACGAACGTAAAACTATGAATCCTGTGGCCCGTTAGTGTCCCGGTAGCTACTTGTTCCAAGAATCTTTTTTTTTTGTTGGTGTTTACATTCAAGATTGAGATCTTGACAGTTTGAGACTCATATTCTTTAGACTTTAGGCTGTGGCATTTGGCTTGCAAAGTTACCAAAACTTTTGATAAATGACCTCAAAACGCAAACCCTGACCTCTTTATTCGGATCTACTACGTTTCCATTCAAGCCCATATTTCATACTCTTGTCATATTTTTGACAGATACTTGTGAGATCTTTCCCTGTAAGGCACCTCACAACATCGGTTGTAGAGTGGTTGACGATAAATCAGAGTGTATTTGTCCAACCTGCCCTGCTACGTCCAGTCCAGTATGTGCTTCTGATGATGTACAAGACGCAAGTGAGTGCTTTACGAAGAGACAGGCGTGTCTCACTTCAACTCCAATTAGTGTTGCCAGGAGGTCACCATGTGGTGAGTTAAAATCTTTATATAATGACAATCTTTATGTGCATCGCAATCCGTACTCAGGTATACATAGCAACAAAGGAGCCAAAGCCTCAAACCTTTGGCTCTCAATATCTTTCTCTTTTTGGCGTTAAATGGGTTAAGGACTCATTGGCTAGAATTCTGGACTTTCGTGAAACGATCTGAAACATATTACTTTCCTTTGAACCTTCTCTAACGTTGGTGTGCAATAAATGATCTTTGAGTAGTGAAGGTGGTTGAGTCGAATAGTTTTGCGAGGCTGGTATTCAAGAATAAAGGGTAGGGGAGTGCTTTTTTCCTAAACTTTGGAGCTAAAATCTAAAAGCCATAAGAAAAAGTAAAATGCGTTTTTATTCATGGTTTGTGCATTTCATAGTACCCGAATGTAGAAAAGCGGCAGATATCGCCTTTATAGTGGACTCCTCTGGAAGCATTGGTAAGACGAACTGGGAACGAACAAAACGATTCCTGAAGAGAATGGTCAGCAAACTGGACATAGGACCTTCCACCACCCATGTTGCTGTGATCACTTACAGCACTAATCCCGAAACTGTCCTGCGCTTCAACACACTCCAAGGAGACAGACTTAACGTGGCAGAGGTCAACAATGTTTTGGACGGGTTGCGGTGGCAAAAAGGACGGACTTACATTGACAAGGCTTTAGACACAGCCGCTTTAGACATATTTACCACAAGGCGAGGCATGAGATCAAACGTACCGAAGGTATTTAATTGATTTCCGTTCCTTTAGAACAAAGAAGGACTTGACGGTTACTGAAAGGATTATTGTCAACCGACGTACCGAAATAAAAGATAACTGAGCACAACAATAGTTCTGCCTGTGTATTTTCATCAGTTATACATTTCTTACCTTTCCTCTTCAGAACAGCGATGTAAATCACCACATTATGCGTAGTTTGACAACTTTAACGGTAAATTATGTTTATTTAAATCTCGACGCTGCAATCACACGTTACGCTGAAGGGGAGATATGGTGCTGTCAGAGGCGGTAAAGACATCGAGTTATTCGCAAAATTCTTTGGTGAAGAATATTTCCTTTTTAGTCAGTGACCTTCTAAGAGAAGAAGTGATCTTCTTAGAGAAGAAGTGATCTTCTTAGAGGACGTTACATTTTCAACTAAGTGTTAAAAGTTATCTGGGATTGTTTCACTTCGGCTTTACCAAGCTCCGTAGAAAGTTAATTAATTACGGTTGAACATCTTGCTATATAAAGTGATGCAAAAACGATGAATCTCATAGCTCATCCAGCAGTATGCAGTCTAAACGTCGCGAACCACTGGGCAAACGACAATAATTTCTTTTCATTCTTCCTCACACTTCTCTCCTCTTTTCTTCAAGATGGCTTTTGTCATTACGGACGGTAAACAGACCAAGACAGGCTCCTACACCCCTCTAGGATTAGCCGCTAAGCCTCTAAGAAATATGGGGGTCCAGATGGTTGCTATTGGAGTTGGCAAGAGGAATGTTGTGGATGCCCGTGAACTGTTGGAGATCGCTGGACAAGATAACTATGTGTACGTCATAGAGTCCTTCGAAGAACTACAGAACCCAGGCCAAGCAAAAATTTTCAGGCAGAGAGTTTGCCAAGGTGAGCACCAAGTCTTGCATGCTCTATCTCAAAATAATTTCAGTATGTTCACTGCTCCTGAGTGGGATGTTCGTCCATCTCAGGCATTCCCCCTCTCCCTTTGGCAATTTGCCACGTTTCCCTGACAGAAGGCCGGTATTTACGCCAACTGACCCCGGGATGGACAGAAGCACTGGGAGTCACTAGGGTAAAGTTTTACTACCGTGTCGGAAAAAAAGAAGTCATTATTCATAACCATGTAAAGCCAAACATTATCAACAAAGATCTCTAAATATGAAATCCCCTATAGATCAGAACAGAAGGTAAAATTTTTTCCTGTTTAAACTCTTAAAATCTCCCTTTTTTTCTTCAGTTCTTTCTCTCTTCTTCGCTTCATAGCTTATTTTAACGAGCTATCTACAACAGCTAGTCTCCAATTCACAAAATTCAGATGGATTTGAAAAACACGCGTTTACATCACCAAAAACTAACCATTTTACACTGGTAATAAATAGGATAAGTTTCCAAAGAAACTGTAGCACAAAAAGGCGTGTATGCACAAAATGTTGTCATTTACGCGCTCCAAGATTTAGTCATTTGTAGAGCCAGTCAGTCAAAATTTAAAGTTCCAAATGTATTTCCAGGGCTAATGCCAACATTTTAGCAGTACACCCTATACCTTAGGTTAACTTCTTCTGATCTTCTAACGCACTTAACGGTTATCTTAGATGTTCATGTTTAAGAAAAACACACTAACTGGTTTCTCTTTTATTATGTTTTCAGCTCGATTACGTTTAGGTAAGGGTATTTTTTTTTAATATTTCAAAACCATTTCTTCCATTATATTTCTGCTTTTTTATATGTCCATCGACTAACTCACCGTCCATTCTTCCCGTCAATTAGTCTGTTGGCTAGACTACGAGTAGTCCCTCCTTTTCGGGAAGTCCGTCGCGCGAGTCAACCAAAATTAGTGAAGAAAAATTGATGTTGGTGCACCACGAGGAGCTCTGGGATTGAGGCGCTCGAATAGCACTGATTTTTTTTTGGTCTCGCGACGGACTGCAATGAAAAAGAGGGAGTGCTCGTAGTCTATCTATCGGTCTGTTAGCCTGTCTTTGTTACTGTCTGTACCATTGCCCGTTCGTGTGACCTTCCATCAGTCTGTCAGTTTATCTGACTGTCGTCTGGCCTTTATTCTGTTTCTCGATAGGACTGTCTATTCATCTGTCGATTTATCAATGAATCACGATTACTTTAGCTGGGAACCTGTTAGTATTTGTTCAACTGTGGTCCTTGGAAAACCCTGGACATTCTGACATGTTTATAATGCGCTGAGTTGTAATTAGTGTTTTTTTCAATTAGATTGGAATTCAATCACGATCCAAAAATATTTCCGGTTTCCCGAGTTTCAAAGTAAGGTTTATGATACCTTTTTGATTAAATGTTGTTTTCCGGTTCTTTTTTTCAGGGCGTTAAGTCGCCGTATTTACCGCTGAGCACCTTCCCGAGACCCCTTCACAAGCACCGCGCCACATCTACTGCTGAAAACGATGACTTGAATTCCGTAGTAACGTATTAGTATAAGTTTGCTCACGCAAATATCAGTCTTAACATACGATAGCTATCTAATCAATAAAAAGTATCCACGGATTAAAATGGAAAAGGCTCAACGTGAAAGGAAACAAATTTACCGAATGAATTTTAGAGGCTTTATGTGAGACTGCGTCAGAAAGAATTTGTGTTAGAGTTATGAACGTTGGCACAGTAGTTTAGGTAGCTTAACGCTTCATATTAATTTAGCGCTTTTACTTTTTCGTAGCTGCAGATGGCTTTAATTCTCGCGGTTGAGAATATTAGCGAGGGTGCGAAAATGCTCAAATATCGAAAACGTAGATCTCAAAGACTCAAAAGGATAAATTAAGCAACTTTTGAAACTCCAAAGTGAGGGACCCTTTCATTAAATTTAGAGTCTATAAAGCGCATTGCGAATATCTCAAGCATATCAGTAATAGTAAGTAGCACGGCTATTCAATCACGGCTATTAAAATCCAACGAACATTCAAGCAAGTCTCGGTATTTATTTGTTCATTTCGCACAATGTGTTGTTTCGAGAGTCTTGTTGACTCAAAGCGTTTAGAAGCTAGCGACAATGGATCGAAATAACAAGGGCTTAAGATTCCGGGGTAATCTTATGTTGCGTAAAATAGATGGATTTGAGAATAAGCTTCTAAAGATGTTCAGTTTTACGTCAATTTCCTCTACTACGGTTTTTGATTGGTCGAGATTCAACCCGAACCACCGTCTCTCTCAATCAGGTGTCAAACTAAAAACGGTCGACATAGTCGCTCCTGGTTCACTCGCGTGTTCCCTCGGTTTAAGCCGTTGTGTTCCAACTGGCTCGTCAAAAACCTCTTCCTAACTCTTGATTCAGATAATACTTTTCATTTCAATGTTTTGTTTCATAACACCCAGTCTGTAGACGCTTTAGCATCAATGTGTGCTTGCACGGAAAGAGATCGCCTACGTTGTTAGCGCTTTCCTTCCCTTGATCATATACCTCCTTTTGCCAAAGGTTATTCGCACGCTGTTCGCCTAATAGTAACCTCTAGGTGGAAATATGATGCCCTTGGTAATTCGTTTGTCTTCTTGTTTGTCTTATAATTTTCTTTAAAAAGTAGACGAATACCTCTGACATTGCTTTCTCAAACACTTAACAACCACAGTTTTATGTCTTCGTTGGTTAATGATTTTATTTCTGGATTAATCCCACTCTACTACAGTGCAAGCAGGAAACTTGAATGTAATATCAGCTGACAGGACGCACTCGGTGAAACCCTATCTGCGCGCACGAACTCTGTTCTATTAGAGAAGAAAAAGTTGAGTCAATTCCACAAGGTGGCAACTCATATTTACCCTCAATAAGCCTGGTTTAAGAGTTACTAGTAAGAATCACAACTGATGTACCCTTAATGTCCCCATAAAATCAAAGGTAGCCCAAGCTCGATGTTTGACTACATGTGTGTTGTACTGTTATTGCGCAACAGTGGAAATAGAGAGATCTGCTTGGAGAAGATGTATGTGTTTAGAAACCAAACAACTATCCGGAATTTGACCTCAAAAATAGAAAGCTGACCGTGCATCTGTCGAACATATCGAACTTGGGCTGCCTGTAGAAAAAACAACTGGATATAAAGAATACAATACTGTCGTACACCGGCGATCGTTCTCTAAAATAAAAACCGAGACATGACTCAGTAGGGAGGGGTGGGGTGGAGTGCAAACCACTAACAGTGATGAAGTCATCAAGAGACAAAAGAAAACTTGATCATCTGAGGCGAAATGAAAAAATTGAACATTACTTCAAATTTAGTAAGACATCGTAAAGTTATCAAGATATTTTGGCAACGAATTTACCACGAAATATCTCTCTAAAAATTTTTAAAAAATTAATTTCAATACCTACGAGTAACTTTATAACAATTATACCTAATTTAAAGAGCTTTAAAAATTCAGCGCGAACGAAAGTCACTGTATGGGAAGTATAGGACTACTGATTTATTCTACTATACCAAAGGAAAAGTTCCTCGTCGTATGATGATGGCAACTTCACTGACAGTGGAGACGTTCTTTGAGAATCTTAAGTCTGACGCAAATCGATTTGAAGAGGGCTGATTAAAAACACATATCTAGAAATTTCATGATCACCCCAACACTGAAAGAAAATGATTGCTACAAAGGTGTCTATACCAAAGCAGGAGGACTTCTGGTGAAAGTGAACATTAGTGTAAGAAATTTTGCTTTCCTATATTTTCTTTCAATAGTTAGCTTACCAAATTCTCTCTCTGGTAGGTTTAAAATCGATTCACGGCAAACTTAAAATCATTTCCTGCTTTGACTTAAAAGAGTAAACTTAAATGTTAATGTAATTACTGAACTTGTAGTGTAATGCAGGGTGCTACCGTTCATTAAGTGTAAATGACCCATTTATTAATTCTTGTTGAGGGAACGATAGTAATTGGACAGAATCTGCCACGCTTTTGGTGCCATAAAACCATCTGGAGGTTCCTCTCCTGACCTTGCCAATGCACGCATGCGTGTACCAGATATGAAGTCAAATTCTTCTTTTCGCTCAGGATCAAAGAACTCCATCCTTCTATCTTTGGTATTGTAAGCTGCCACACGGAAAGGAACTATCTCTAGTTGTGTAAGACCCGGTGACATAGTTAAAACCTAGAATTGAAACGAAAGAGTATTTGAGCTTCGTATCATAAAGGCTGAAGGATGATGTTCAATTTATTTACTAAAATCTAAGTCCCTGGGATAAATGGAACCCACCACTTCAAGTAAACCGGGAACCTCATGGTGCATGATGAGTTCACCAGAAGGCCATGCTCTAGGATTATGTGCGTCACATGATCAATCAAGAGAAAATGAGATGACGGAGACTCTGACTGGGATACATACTACTGGTCATTCCAAAAACGCTATTCTCAGCTTTTGAAAAATAAACGGAATTCTGTTTCCTTGGATGTCTGGATTGAGAAGTTTTTTGTTATGAACCAAGTTTTCTTTCAGTACATTATTTTTACTCAGAACATCGAAACAAGGGTAGTTACGATGTAGATATCTCGCAAGACTTGGTTCAGAGACCTTTTCCTCTCCCCCAACTGCTCCCATCTCCCTCCCTTGACGACATACCTTTCTCCCATGTGAATGATCATAAAGGTCCCGTTTTGGATTAGGATCTGGATGGGGCATTCCTGCTGGATCCCGTCCTACAATAAAGAAATTTGCCCCAGCTGCTACACGCGCCTTTGCATGCCATTGAACCTATAACAAAAAAGTGAAACTTTGTGAGAAGTACTCTCGTTTCGGGCTTGGCCCTTCATCACGAAAAAAAGAGTTCTTTAAATTCCGTACAAGATTTGTATGCTCTATAGATCGAAAATAAAAATAAAAAAAAAACAAGTCAAAGTGCGTGTTCGGCCTACTGAACATGAAACGGACGTTGCCATTTAGGCTGCGCAAAAGATTGGTTTTGAGTTTGAAGACCAAGCACATCTCCAGGTATTTCCGGTGAGAGTTGGCACCGCCACCAGAATTCAGCTAAAACGTGCCTCATCATGAGAGTTTCCAGCCGTGTCAAAATACCCACCTCTGTAGGACCAGCGTACATCATAGGTGAAGGAAATATAGCTATAACTGTGTTTTCAGGGTCCAGTACACCCTCTTCCATTACAGCATGATGTTGCGCCATTCGCACTGGTAAAGGAACGTCATCTTGCTTAGTCCACCCTCCCAAGGGATGCAGTAATAGCACTGGCTTTTTAAATCCTCTGTCAACTAACTTCTGTCGGGTGTCCTAAAATAAAAATAATCGAAATAAAAATTTTGATTTCAAGGAATCGAATGGAATGGTTATCAGTTTTGCCTATTTAACGAAGACTTTTTATTGTTACTCTTCCTCCTTGTAGCAATTGTGTCGACAGAGTTGAGGAGAGTCTAGTCTTTTCACAAAATTTTCCAGATGTTGCTCTAACTTCTAATGTTTATGGTCTACAGCCTCCTAACATGTAGAAAACTCCTCTTGTATTCGTTTGCTCCAGTCTGCGCGAGGTCATAAAAATGGTAAATAGTTTTTTTTCCCTACCTGCATTAGTAACGCATGTCCATTATGTACTGGATTACGAAGTTGAAAAGCAAACACTGCGTCGGCACCGCGTCGTCGGAATTCAGCTCGGAGTTCATTCGGAGTCTTTCGGTATTCGTCGAGTCCATCGTTCCATTTGATTCTTTCCAGTGCCTCTAATTCTCCTCCGACAAACCAATCACCACCTTCACGAATCATCTATAAATAAAATTGAATAAAATTAAATATTGATTCTCCTTTCAATTTGCGATGATCTTCGACTTTCTCATTTAAATAGACCGACTTTAACGAGCCAAAATTTCGTGAGAACACATGTAACGGGTACTTGATGTAAGGGTACCTTAATGTAACGGGTACTTGATGTAAGGGTACCTTAATGTAACGGGTACTTGATGTAAGGGTACCTTAATGTAAGGGAATCTTAATGTCAGGGTACCTTAATGTAAGGATGTCCTTGATGCGTTATTCCAAATTGACGGGCCGATCGTTCTTCTTTGCGGTGGGGGTAGAATTCTGGATCTCTAAGGATAGCTACTGGTTTTCCTTCGTATCGGAGAGCTAAGGCTTTTTTATCCTCCAGTCTCTCTTTGTCAGCAGTCAGAATAGGGAGCACGATGGGAATGGACTGATTGACCACGCCCTCTACAAGAAAACAGATCACGTGAGACAAACAACCTACAATTATCATTTTGTGGGGAAAATATAACATCTACAGCCGTTTTTTTTTTACTGAAGAGCCGCTGCAACGAAGACATGGAGACAAATTGGCCAGCTACCTTTGAGCAAAAACGTTCCACTCAGAGAAAAATGAGAAAAAGTTCCTCACCTTGAAGAAAAGCAGCTGCGTGTCTGAGTCTCAAAATGAAAATTTCAGGAGAAAGATTCTAAAAAGAAACGCTCACCGTCTAGAAGGAGTCCAAAATGCTGACACTGCAAAAATTCACGCTCCCTCATAAAACCTTTCAGAGGCGTAGCCCAGCCCTCAGAAAGAACTTGTACCCACTGCAGATCCAGCTGTGAAGATATGACCATTTTTAACACAACTAATGTCGTGAAATTAATTTTATGTTAAAGTAATTTTCAATAAACTGTCGATGGCATTCCTCTATAGCATTGATTTTCTCTACTTCACCTGGCTACCGGTCAACAAAACCTGTCCCACCCTCTCAACCACTTAGATTCAAATCTAAAACCAAACTGCGCCTTATTCCCTCACGTGTTTCTCGCGAGTGAGGCTGTTTGTTGCTTTTTCTTTAGGTTTTAGTTTTGGGACATCCAATCGCAATGGATCCTAACTAAAGCAGGACCAACCTTTGTTAGCTCAACAGAAGGTAGTTCCTCTGCTTCCTTCTTGGCTTCTTCGACTTTTTCTTCAGGAACAAACAGTTCTTTGATACCGCTATAAGCTGCATATGGCAAGATCCCCTGGAGAAAAGAAACATATTTGATCAGATGTTCCGATCATCCGGGTGAAGAACTCCTCAGTTGAAATCATACTCAAATGGCTTCTATAACAACTTCTCTTCAGGCCGTCGAAACGTCATTCACTGTTTTGTTGACAAGGTGTTAAATTCTTAATCAGTCATAGTGAAGATTTTACACGTTCAACCTATCGCAATCGATGTGTACCAGAGTTTTCATCTCAAGATGAAACTTCAATGCACAGGACTTTTCTCAGGCAAGTTATTTTTTGCCTCTTGGAGTTTGTCTCTACAAAATAGCTTGTTCAAGTTTTTACTGTTCATCAAAACCGCTTTTTAACTACTCACCCTGTCTGCAAGGAGTTTGATAACTTCTTGAACACAATCGTCTACAGGTACTTCTCCTGATTTCAAATTCAGTTCGGGTTTGCTTGGAGGCTCATACGCTGAGTCAATACCAGTAAAACCTAAAATAGAAACCAGTCAATCCGGTCAGACGTGAAACGGCATAAAAGGAAGAAATTGTTAGCGAAGAAGTCGACTAAGGAAAGACCCTAAAGTGTTTGACAGAACCTTTAATCTGGCCGGCTCTGGCTTTCTTGTACAATCCCTTGACATCTCTCTTTTCACAGGTTTCCAAAGGAGTGTTCACAAAAATCTCAAAGAATGGCAGACCGGCATCTTCGTGCAACTTGCGAGCTTTCTCACGGTCCTGAGAAACAAAATTTTTTGAAAGCTTGTGCATCAGAATAAAAAGACGATAAATCATGTTAAATTACGCGGTATCATTTGGGTTACTAATAAATGAGACAAAAATTTCACTGCTCCGTGAGTTGTGGACGCAATTCCACTAGATTTTACATCATAGTGTGAAAAGTGCTCTAATAAATCCTGGAGTTCTCTGCTTGTTTTGCGAGTCATTCATTAGGAAAAATTCTTATTTAAAAACCTACTTTCCCGCCCAACGGTGTATATCGTTTTGCCTCGCAAAGTATCTGAGCTAGCTATCAAAACCACACGGTTGCATCTCGCAGCCCTAAGGCAAAAAGATTATCACCATAATTCTCCATGCTACAGAAAACTAATTTTTGTCTCCACGACGTATCCCAACAACTTGCCGCGTGATGTGTTCCGACGTGAGTTTCTCAATAGACCCAAAACTTATTGCTCCCTAAAACTTCTCGGGGCCCGTTTTGGGTCATCGTCTTGGATCCGAAATTTTCGTGTGTGGCTTCGAGAATCATCCGAAAGTTATTTTGCATATTTGACAGGTGGATTTTCGGACCCGAGAAGTTTTCGGTTCTTCGGGAAAGACGCCCACGATTCACTTCCGGAGGAAAGAGAATTATGCAAATTTTAAAGTAAACAATAGGAGCTGTTCAAATGAATCTCGTCACTATAACTTGGTAGCAATGCCACGTATAAAGCACTCGTTAAGGCGAAAATTATAAACGAAGAAGCGAAAGAACGAAAAGAATTATAAAGCTTGCGTTTGCGTTCATAAGACGAACTTATTTCATGCTTTTTTGAACTAGTATGAGGTGTGCACGTTAAGAAAGAAATAACTTAGTGCTGTCAGGAGACGGCCGTGTTTCACTTCGGAATTTCCACTCTGGTCACATTATAATTAGCGCGTCATTTTAATGACCATCTAACCTCGAGTAAAAAGGGAAATCACTTTACTTAGAGTATATCTTTATATAGCTGGGCAAATCAAATTGCAAATCGACGATGCAATAAATTTAGGAGAGATCCCTCACATAATTTTGCAAAGGTACTCGCAATGAAAAAAACCGGTTGATCCACAATTAATGAAATGTTAGTCGCTCATAGACGAGTCTCATTTTAAAATTATTATGCCGAAAATGAGGTACGTTTGTCTGTTTCACAGTCACTTTAAATCGTTTGTTCAGTGTTCGGTCCTTGACAATTCTCTTTGAAAAGTTGTAAATTTCCTGTGAGATAATTTTCAATAATGGTATTGACACAGTCTTAAGAATATGTTTAATAGATAGATGCAGAATGCTCATAGACGGCTTCACACAACCATTTATTATGGCAAAGTCAAAGTTAACCAATTACTTAAAGTTACCATGATCAAACAAACTTTGGCGGCGAAATTTTCTAAGTGACAGTAAAAGGTTAATTCAGAAACCGAGGGGCTAGTCGAAATCACAAAGTACTGTAAGAGAAATATAAAACACCTGAAAAAATATCACGTTTTAATAGGGAGAGTCTAAAAATAAAAGTTCATCATTAGCATTCAAATGAGATATAATTTAGGGGCATTCAAAGTATCATGCATTCAAATGAGTAAATATCTAAAAAGCCTCTTTTTCTTTTCATTTTCTTAAGCGAGCAAAGAATTTTTTTTAGAAAAATTGCAAGATCATAATTTGCCAAATTCGAGGTTTAATCCCGGGAAAAACGTGAAATACCGAGCCAAAATCACACCGGTAAATTAAAGAAATATCTTACCCGCTCGTACGGGCTGATAAAAGCAGTAAGACAGATCATGCCGGAGTCAGCAAACAGCTTGGCAACTTCACTGACACGACGGATATTTTCCTCGCGGTCTTCTGGGGTGAAACTCAAATTACGGTTGAGTCCAGTTCTCATGTTATCACCATCCAACGTGTACGAGGGAATACCTTGTCGACATAAGTAATCCTCAAGGGCCATACTGATTGTGGTTTTTCCTGCTCCAGAAAGACCTATTGAAAAATATTTAATCCTCTTCTAAGGTGAAAGGTGAAATGTTTGAACCAATTTAAAGTTGAGAAAGGAAGCCTTAGAGCGTATGAACCCAAAAGTTTCATAAGCGGCCGAGAAAAATCGACGATCAAACGTATTCAGTTATTTCTCTTGAAAAGTTCAATGATAGATTTCAAGTAAGAAATCTTAAAAAAAAAAAGGGTAAAAAAAAAAGAAAAGAAGATATCGAAAAATGATTCAGCTGGCCAGAAAAAAAAGAAAAGAAAATATCGAAAAATGATTCAGCTGGCCAGAAAACGTTTGAAAGGTGTTTTGGTCGGTTTTTGGTGAATAATTACTGTATTTACCTGTAAACCAGACTGTGCATCCCCGAAAGCCGCCTCGTGTACCGACAACTTGTCCTCTTTTGTCTCGGGTGACATTGTGCTCTTTGTAGAAGACGTTTGTAGCTTTAACAACATTCTACGAGAAAGAAAAGAGTAAATAATTCGAAAACTCACTTCTCGTCTCCCCCTTAAGGCAGATAGGGTAATACAAGAGTATGCAATTTAGAAACAAGATTTGCAGCAAACGCGCTCTCCGCGGGAAGTTGAATTTTCGCGAAACATACCGGAGACCAAAGCTGATGAGTTCCAACGCAAGCCATGTCGAATCTTGCCGTTATTAAACCGTTATCATGCAGCACTCGCTTTGCAATGTGAAGAAAGTTGTTCTTGCTTGAAAATTTGAACCCCTGTTACGTGAGTTGTAACGTCTCAATGGTAACCGTGAATCCGCTTCAAGAATGTGCCAACGAATAAAAGAGTTATCAGCTTCTTACTGGTTGAGCGCTGGATAATTTTTTATGTATAATTTCCATTCTGCCACGAGTCCCGCGCAAAATTTTGATCACTTTTGCCAACATCCGCCAGGTCATTTCTCTGAAAACATTAGACGATGTTTTGATAAAACAAACGTGTCTCCTCAAAATGAAGCATATGATCGTTCAAAGTAAAGAAACGTAGCTCCACTTTAAAAAGATTAACAATAACCGGATAAAAGCGCAGACAAACAAACAAACTTAAAGCGTTTTCCAACAATTCGCTTAATGTCTATTTCAAAACTGACCAAGCTGAACCTAGGAAAAATTATCGATTGACCCGTACAAACTCGACTTTATAAATGTCCTACACAAAAAATTCTTGGAAATTCATGTGTCATAAACTGAAAATGATGGCTAATTCGCTTCATATACATCGCGCCCCTTCAACATATGGTTCTTTAAAGTTTGTTTCGAAATGAACAATTTCCCCCCTCCAACAACTAACTTTTGTCGTGTAAGTTTTAAAATCTCGTTTTGTAAACAGTTGAATGGAAGTTCCTTCAATTAAATGGCAGTAAATAACTAGAAATGAGGTGAGCATTTTATAGTTCAAAGGAAAGGCGAAAAAAATTAATTTGTTTGACAATGTTCGTATACTACTTCTTCCCCACCCACCCTCCCCACATGAGATTTATGATGACACACGTAATATTGCGATTGGTTACGTCCACTCATTTGGTCAGCAGTCAAAGAAAACAAGCAAGCAGAATTCTTATCTCAAAGCCAACCCAAAATTCAAGAAAGAAACTTTGCATGGAGAACGATTTAACAGCCTTGGCTTTGCGATTAATTTGACAGCTCCGAGAAAAAAATCAAATATACTCATAGCGCAAACATTGATTAGGATGTTACTTTAAGGGAAAAAATCGTATCAACGATGGCGGTTTCGTGTACTCGTAGATGGCCAAAAAAAAAAAAAGGATTATTAGGTACAATTTTACGAAAGCGTTATGCGCTAAACAACCCGAAATGAATTCATTCAGAGTGGAGAAACATTTCGAGGACGCTCGCTGATTTTCAACGATTGCTCATCCGTTCTAAAAGCTGTTTCCACTTACGATACAGTCGCAAGAGCGCTTTCGACCTGGTGAAAAAATTGGGGTAGTAGCGGAATCATAAGGTTGACGGAATTGGAGTCGGAATAATCAGAATGGTTCCATTTCCTTCAGATTCTGCTAATTACTTCGACGCTTACTAAATTTTCAAGCAACAACCAACCAATCACAGTGTGAGTTCTTGGCAATATGACAGCTCACCATTCTAACAATTTAGTTTCCACAGATCACAGGCGACAGACACAAATTTTCATTTCTATTCTGATTTCCTCCTATCTACATTCACAAGATCGTATTTTTCTACGCATCTGATAACGACTCCGATTTAGCCTTCATCAGAAAAACGATACAAACTGGGGTCGTGATCTAGATTTCGAGTGATTCGTCCGGCCTCTCCAACGTCAATAAAAACCAGCCTTTACAAAACACATTTCAGATAGCGTTGTCACGCAAGTAGCTTAGAATTTTTCCACGTAAAGGAACATATCTGAAAAGCTTCCATAAATTAATTCGGCAAAACAACAAACTAATTTCAGAGAACAATTCTGATCATATCGATCGTAAGTAGATCGATTGAAAATTTTGCAACTGTAGAGAGCGTATGCATGCTGATTATCGGCGTTGTAACCTTAGGTGACACCGAATAAAGATGCACATAGCCTAGAAAATGAAAATGAAACAGATAATTACCATGGGGATGACGAAATTATGCGAAGGTAGACTCCGCTTTCCGAAGTGCCTGCTGTTTTTGATTCCAGATATCCGTGATTCACGCAAACGGGACTAAAAACACAAGTTTTGACTCCACCCGTCGATTAAGCGACAACTTTATGGGATTGTGTTTCTTTTGTGGGTCACGATAGGACACGAGAGCAAATATCAGATTTCTATTAAACATGAAACGTGAAGTAGAAAGGCTTCAAATCAAGGGGCTCTAATTCAAGGAGTTTGGGAAAAAAATTCAGTTGAACCATCGAAAGAATTGAAGCAAATCGCTTTCAAGTAATCATGCCACTCATTCCACTAGAACACCATTTCACTTCACATTGCAACGTTACAAAGGTATAAACGTTTTTTACTTGTCTTGCAGATGAGAGCATGTTTTGGGGTGACCATGGTAACTAAAATTATTTTAAAAAGAAACGGAGAAACGGTTTGGGCGAAACCTAAACGCCGGAATGTTTTGACATGTGTAAAAAGATTTTTTATTGATGTCGCTTTAGAAGTGTGTGTTCCAGTTGTTTTACAATTTTTTTTTCTTGTCAAAAAAATTCGTTTTCCCTGCGGACTTTTTACTTATCCCTTCTGAACGATTCAATATTCTTAGCAATCTTCTCTATGCCTACTTTGGAAAGGTGATGTGAGTTATTTCTTTCATAAATCACAAGAAGTTAAGCTCGACCACCAGGCTGCGCTTAGGAAATGAGCCCGCGCTCCCTATGAACTTTGTCTTCACGGGTTTATTTAGGATTCTCAGGGAGAATCGAAGAACGGACTCGAGAAGGGAGCGGAACAAAGGAAAGTGGTATGCATATTGTGTTTATCCATAGACAAAAGCTCAGAATGTAAAAACTTACATGAGCATTAAAAATAGTATTACTATCGCAATAGACTTCGTCGCACGCAGAAACAATGGTGTTACATTGCAAATTTCAAAACTTTCCAAGTTTTGATAAACAACCCATTGTTTTTAAGACTTCAAAAGCGCTACTAATACCTTTTCTTCACAAGGAACAAATTAAACATGTCAGTTAAATCCATTTGTGGCTTGGGTAAATACTTCACGACTACAATATTATTCAGATCGTATTTATAATTTTCTTACACAGCAAAATGTACAGTTACAACAAATGATTTAATTTGATGCTTTGAAAATGGAACTTCACAAATTTCAAATCACTCCAAGAAAAGTTGATATAATCTCCCTAAAGTAGGAAGTCGCCATAGTAATTCTTCAATGTATTTTACCACTGTAAAACATTTCAAGATTTAAGGATAAATTCTCTGCACTCTCTAGTCCCCATATCTCACACCTTTTATTTTGAGAAGTAGGTATTCAATCAAACAAGATCCCCTCGTTGATATTGTTTTCTCTTTTCATCACCTTTCTGCATGAAAATATACTGATATTGTAGGGAGAAATTTGGTTGTGTCACTCCTGGGTGTGAAGGGGTTAAGACTCCTCCTCCCTCTTAATCAAAAACTCTAGAACAACAGTATCATTGTTATTTGTTTAGAATACAGTTGTTGGTAGCAACATAATCCAAGATACACTGTATTTCAAAGCCTGTAATACTGTTTCAAATTTAAAGATCACAGGTTTTCAACCAAAGAAATGTTTACTGTGTAGGATTAATAAAATTTGGGAAAAGAATTGGAACAAAAAATAATTAATCTTATGAAATGATGAATGCAGGTCCATGTGCACAATCCCATAGGAAAAATCATAATGAAAGCTGATGAGTGTTAGGCCTGACAGGTTGATGCAACCCAGTCTAAAAAAGGCTGTCCAGTCCTGAACTAACATGATAACTATTTAGAATGTTCTGAAAATGTAAATTGAATATGTGGGCTTCAATTTAAATAAGAAAACTGTGCTTCTTGATGAGAGAAAAGGAATATTTTTCAACATAAAATATTTTCAGTAAATGTAGTTCACCAGTATATGCCCTTCTTTTGTATACAAGTATGTCTCATTAAAGTTGAAATGAAATTTTCAACACCTAGTCAGAGTTTTCTTTAAGGTTTTAAGTTGCTGGAGCTTTTTTAAAGGTAAACAGTTGTGAGTCTTGAAACCAATTTGGCGGACAAAATGTCATATTGTTCGTACTTTCCTGCCACTGCAGCAAGATTTGTCAAAAAGTTAGTCCCCATCAGAGCGTTTTTAAACTAACCTTCAGTCAGAAGTCTTTTTATGTTTTCAGAAAAGATAGGCTGTGCAAATTTGTATTTTTATTGAGCCCAAGTTTAGACCTGATAAACATCATCTCTGTACAGGTTCTTGAAGCAATGAAAGTAGCCAGCAAAACCTTGCAGAGAAGCTGGCATACTTCGCCGGCTGCTGGTTTTTATCTACAACCCTGCCTAGTGGTCATATGATAACATGCTTTTTGACTATGTTTAGTCAGGATGGACTGAGTTTGGTCAGGCTTTTTTTCACAATGCACGGACCTTGTCATAACCTCCACCCAAATTTTTCCAATCTGGCCCAACAAAACTCAGTCAAAAAGTACAAATCATCTATGTCCTTACTGTAAGTTCCCCACAACTTGTAGAAACAAGAAAAAAGCTCACTCCCACACTAGATGCCACTGGAAGAAACAAACTGTACTCACTTTGCCATGCATGACTCTGTACCAAGTGGATACCTTGACAACTAAAACTTATATGATGAGAATTGATTGCAAAGTTTTTTCTACTGACTTGGTGAAGAGTTCTCATCAATCTGCTATTGTAGTGGAATGATAACAGTTGGTATGATGAACAATTGGTAATATTTCCTCTATTGTGTTAAGTTTATCATATTCAAAACATATTGGATCATGTGGATTTAAAATGCAAAATTGGGATTGTTTAATCAATCTTATCATGAATAAAGATTTGTGCTTGAGTTTTATCACTTTTGAGGTATAAACAACAATTTTTTTTTTCCAAGCTGATTGCACATCTGATTTCTGATTGAAATCATGCTACTGACCTTAATACAAATCCCTACTTTAATGATAAACCAGATTTTAAAAAGTAAACATTGAAGTTTAGACGGGTCATTACAAAATTCAAATTTACTGTGTAACTTTAACATGGAAATGACCATGGACAACAACCCTACAAAATTAGTAATATGAAATTAGGTGTTTGGTTTTTTGCTTTTACACCAAAATAACCACTTTGGTTTACAATTAACTTTTCCATGACACCCAACCAAGAAGAATTGGCATATTTCACATATTTAATGAAATCCACGCAAAAGCTTTCACCGGATTACAGATTTTTCTACTTCATAAAAGCCGCTTGTTGTAAAACTATTGAAATTATTTCAAAGGCGCTCTTAAGAGCAACTTTTTCCAAAGAAAGCTCATAATCAAACTTAAAACTGAGTAGTAAAGGTCATAAGATATTCTAATGACTGGAATTTCGTAACAGCTGTGCAAAAGCTGGTTTTAGCCGCTCATTTTGTAAAGGGTAATAGATGAATCCCACTAAAATATTGGCGAATTTTGAAGAAGTGGTTGAAACAGTTGTTGAAAAAAATTATGCGAACCTTTAGGCAAATCAATTTAAATATCTACGGTTCACTCGCCTTTCTCTTAGCTTATCTCTCTTACTAGGATTTTTGATAACATCAACAAATGAGAAAGAAGTGTTAGCCTGCGTTGATTTCATTGGAATCCTGGTTGCAATTGGGAAGGTTCGAATGGAGGACGGTCGGAGCTAAAACGAGTGTGTACTCGATTGACGTCAAGCATATTTGCCAGTCAAATGCGAAACGAATTCAACAATTAGCCGAAAATATTCGATACCGTTTCATGTTACGCATAATTGTCACGACTTGGTTGTAAATCCAAAGAAGTTCGATACATGGCCGACAAGGCGAACGGGAAAACCCAAACAAATAACAGGCACCGAGAGGAAACCTACATTTTCAGCTTATTACGCGGAGTTTTCCCTTTCCTTCAATAAATAAAACTTGGCATTAAACAACTGATACCATATTTCTAATTCAGCGGAAATCAAGCAGGAAGTTTGCACAAAAGAAAAGCGAAAAAAGTCGCGAAGCAACTTCTATTTTCAAACTTCAAGCAAAAGAAGCGAATTCCACTACCATAGATACTACGCGAAGTGTTTATCTAAGCAGATTTACAACTGAAAAGGTGAAGAAGACAGCAAAATTCAAACACTTACAGCTTGGGAGTCCCTCAATCGGGAGCTATTGACTTGAGCCATGACTCTGATTTAGACCATCAAAGGCTAAATAACGTTCTTGGTGTCTTAAAGTCCAAAGGGAATATATCACGAATGTTTGAAAGATTCGCTCTGGCGCCGGTGATTAGAACCGGAAGTGACGTCTACAACTTACGCAAGCGCACGAGAGATTGAGAGCCCCCAGTTACATTATAAGGCGGTTACAAGGTTACAGAGTGTGGTGTAACAATAGCGATGTGTAGTATACTCGGAAGAGCAAAAAGGCGATATTTAGGACCGCTTTGAACAATTTTTTTTACGTAAAAAGTTAAGTAAGTTTTAGGAACATGTTAAGGATTCCCTTGCAATGTGACACCATAAGTGTCACCGGGTAGTAGATTAAGGAATTGCCTGTTAATTCAGGAAAAATAAGGTGAAGTTAGTCAGATAACCATGGATTGAATATCAGGAACATTTTTGAAAACCTGAAAAAGAAAAACTGAAAATTGCTTAATCAATCTGGGCAGGATGACAACTTGTTCATCGAATTCTCCCCAAGATGATCCATGGGATAGTCCATGTGACTAAAATGCTACTGTCTGATTGGTTCTTTTGACGTGAGCTTGTATTTACACGCAAAATTTAAGCAAACTAAGTTTAGGTAGCTGAACTGAAAAATTGACTGGTGGAACAATCTATGTCGAATATCGCGGGTTTTCTCTGGGCACTTTTAAATAAGTGATTCATAAGCACCTGCTCTGTTGTAAACAAATATTGAGGAAAGTGGTCTCAGCTGAGAAAGTCCCGAAAAAGAAGTATTTTTTAGCCCAAAGCGTTTGAAAACAACGGACTGAATATCAATCCAGTGACTTTTAGAGAGAATATTCTTTGTTATTTATTATTTACTTTTCCAACGCTGCTGCTCTATGAAAATCTTCGTCGACAAGGTATGTAAAATGAATTCTTTGACCACGATCGTCGCAAGTTAGGCTAATTACTTGTTGTTATTCTGTATACCGTTTACAAGACATCGACTTCATCAACGAGAGGGAAATGTACGACCACTCTCGCAGGGGATCTCGTTAGGTTTTGTTTGCTTAAGGTCTGTTTAAGGCGTTGTGTTGTTTGCAAACATAGAAGCGAACCTCTGTCATTTGATTGAAACTGACTTCAGCTCCCTAATTTTCTGTTTAGGTCGTCAGCAATCGCATCAACGATTGGAGTTGCTTCGGTCTGCCACAATTTTGATCAGTCCGTGGCTGCATCAAACAAGTTTTGCGCGGGATCATGCCAGTTTCAAACAGTTCAGGAGAAACTTGCAATGGTTTTGTGTCCAACTGGTTTAATTGACGTTCAATAAGATTCTGTCTAACATGAGAATCTGACAAGCTCCAGAAAGGAATCCTTTTAATGGTTCGAGGTGCATTATCGTTGTAGCCTCGTTTGGTCGATCTATTCGCTGTTTATTTTCGGATTATTACGCTGAATGTAAGTTTGGAAGCACGGATCTATGAGTCAGAGGGAAGGAGGGGTGAATCGACAACGTAGTGTAGAAACAGGTCTTACTCAGGCAATTCGTCCGATGTTGATATGCGCCTCCGAGTCAAGCGTTTCCGTGAGAAACCAGCAGGTAAGATTAACGAATACATAATCCCACTTTTTCCGCGTTCTCCTGTTTCTTGGCCGTGAATAGCAAACTAAAGTGCCCTTTACGGCCTTACACTGGTTAGAATCACCATTCCTTAGCTGTATTCTAACGTAGCATTTTGCTCTTGTTATAACTATAATCCACACTACATTGAAGCGATTTAAAGATTCTGGCTGATATAGAACCTATTTATCCGGACATAGAGACTCCCCTCGGCCCTTTCAATTTTTATTGTTTTGAATACTACACTCTTGCGATATGCGATTTCATTTTTCCTTTTAAATTTAAAGACCAGATGCGTTTGTTTTGTCTTTACCGGGTGTACCATTATTTCTGCTGGTGAACTGTCAGGCCCGCAGTGTAATGCACATGGCTATTTACGGAAAGGCACTTTGTCATAATATTTCAGCCGTTATCGCTTCACTCCCACAAAATGCAGTGCGTATCGCATAGTTCATTATTTTGTAATTTTTAAATACACACCTTCTTTTGCAAGGACTATTTTTGTTCTTTAGTCCTCCTTTTGGGATTTAATCAGTATGTTGAAATTAATATTGGAATCAGCCAATGATAAATATGTAATGTTTTAGGATTCCATCCATTAGTGTTAGCAAAGGTTTATTATTCTGTAGTCTTTGAAAAACTATTCTCATCTGAAAAGCTGAACAGGTGTTGTTTAGAATTCAGTTGTTTGCAAATTTAAGGAAAGGGTCAAAACTAACTTTTGGGGGCAAGAATTATTTTCCTTCTTTGTGTACTTTAAAGGGGAAAAGGGATTGGGCTGAATTATTTTATTGTTTAAATAGGGACAAAACAACAGTGTTTGAGTGTGGAAGGAAAGGTTCTTATGGTTCAATGCTGTATGATTTTTTCAAGGCTCAGAAATTTGGAACCCTAATTACATGTCTATGTGAAATACTATGCTAGTCTCATATTACAGGGTTATCCATATTCCCTGTGAAATATCAGCTTCACCTTTTGGTCTGATGAAACAAAAATATAATGCTTTTGTTGTTGTGAAATCCCCTCTTCAGTTAGAGTTTTATTGAATGTTTTTTCAGTTATTTGTTAAGACAGCTTTAAAGTATGAACAATATGTCAGATATACAGATATGTAGGAGTTACATGAATACTAATATCATTAATAAACAGTGATCCTCAAGATACTACATGGGAGTTGGTCACGTTGTTTTAACAGTATCACTGACGTGTCATGTGATGGACTGTCATGAGGAGAGCTATAAGAGAATTCATGTATACATGCTAAAACAAATTTCCAATGATCTACAAATTTTTTCATATGGTAAATGGAAAAATTTATTCTATTTTGCAAGTGTTAGGTCTCTTAACTGATATTCTCAAGTAAAACATTGTGAAGTGACTTGTCATGAGACATATATCTGCTAGCATACTTCTTTTTTTTTTTAAGTCTCTTACCAAATCCTTGATCGTTCATTCTTTAGGGCTCCGATCAGCTTTCTGTCTCACAGACTTCCGAGTCAAGAATGGCAAAGATGAAAAAAAAAATCAGTTCACCCTTGCCAAAAAGGAAAAGTACAGGCAGTGGTAAGTCAGATTTTATAAATACAGTTTATCCCAATGAAAAATATCAACCAAAGATATTTATCGAATGATTTTAATCTTGTGTCTTGACTAGAAGCAAGTATATTTAGCATCATCCTTGTCTGATCAGTGGCTACGTGTTAGTAATTGTTACCCAGCAGAATCACATTAATAAATAGTACTGTAAATATGAAATGAAAAAGTAATATGAGATAAATTCAATCCAAATGTTTATAATATTTGAGAGGGGAAGCAAATCATATGATCTCTGTGATTAGGAAAGTGGTAGAAAAAATAAAGGAGTATCATTGCAAATAAATGCTAACAGATGAATATTGATCAAATAAATATATACATAAAATCAACCAAAAACACCATCAAAATTGTTATAGGGCAAACCCAAAAGTTATACAAATATCCACAAAAGTGCAACTTTCTAAAGACTGTATCTAGCACACACGATAATTTTATGTATGATGATGCTTGCATAGTAAAAATTTCACGAAGCGTACCAGAATCCCAGTTTCTTAAATGTCTCCTAAGAGGTACTTTGTATTTAAGGCAAATGAAGGTGAAGTAGAAATAATTTTTCTCAGCCCTTAACTCCATAAAATTCCTTCCCCTAGGTACTGTATGGTTGGGCATAAACATTGTTTTTGTTTGTGTTCCTTTTTTCTTTTTTTTCGTTCTCTTTAATTTCTGTTATCTCTTATATGTTCTTATACCAGAACATTTATAACTTGTATTTATCCTGTTTGGATGTTGTAATTTTTGTGGCTTGTAAACCCCTTTGGAGAATCAATTTATATCCAGGCCATTTATGAAGGGCTATGTTTGTAGTTGTAATGTTTGAAACATCAGCTTTAGAAACTCTTTATAGTAGCCAATTTATATTATCAACTCGTTTTAAAAAAACATTGCTATGGTTGTACTCTTGGATTCCTTTGTTGAAAACAGTTTATAAACTGGCATATATATTGACAATTTTCTCTGTTTTCTATTTGTCATAACTGTACCAAATAAAAAATTTCAAAATGGTCTGAACAGAGAAATAATTTGTACTTAAATAGGCAATTTACTTTGTCATTTTCTTAATTGTACATTTATAATGGCAGTTTATTTTTCATTGTAATTCTTACTATTTGATGTGTGTGTTTTTCCAGGTGCCAACAGGACCTTCGGAGTTTCTATTGATGAGTTACTGAAGCGGTCTGAAGGATGTGAAATACCCCCAATCATCACAAGCATTGTAGAATACCTCAAAGAGCACGGTAATGTAGTTAATGTATGTTAGCTTTTTTTAGGGGGGGCAGAGGGAGGAAATCATGATATCACTGTTTGCTACATATATACATGTATCTGTACTCAGTAACCTTGATTCTGTCACTTAGGTCTAAACCAGGAAGGAATTTTTCGAATAAGTGGTAATCATAAGGTGGTTGAGTCCCTCAAGGCAACATACGACAGAGGTAATGTTTAAATCCTGTTTTATCGCTATAGTGCTACCATTTAAGTTAGAGCGCATTTCAATTGAGTCTTAAAACCAAAACTAAAACAATCACAATAGCCAATTATGGCAAGAAAAATATCACTAGGGGCCAACAAGAAATTGCAGTAAACACAAGAGGCTAGGTTATGATAGGTTTTAGCTGTGAAACTGATTGGTTGAAAAAGTGGGGCAAGTTTTCTGGACAATCACATGAGAAAGTAAGGCAAAGGCAAGGTAATCGTGGATTATTTTCACTACTCAATGGAAAATTGCTCTTTATACTGGGAAAAAATAAATTAAACTGTCTTGAGGTGTCTGGTTTTCTAAAGTAGTGTCTGCAGAATGGAAAATAACCTTTGTATCTTGAAAAGATATGAATTCTATCAAGCTTCCATTTCGCGAGACAAAAGAGAAATGTGGCCAGACATGTTTTTGATGTTACTATTTATTGTTTTAATTTGGAAATTTTTTTGACTGGAAATCTCCCTGTAACTTATTATTTTTATCAAATTTGTCCATAATAATTATATTGTTTGATATCTGTCAATTTTTATTTTACATTGTCTTGTGACAGATAGTAATTTTTGCAACTCTGGTCTTGATGTGAAAAAGGGTAATTTCTTGTGTTTGTGTTCACTTCCATCTAGACGGTGAAGCCAACTTGGAACAAGTTGGAGATGTTATGGCTGTTGCTGGATTACTTAAACTTTTCTTGGTAAGAAGGGAGTAGTTGACTACATGTACTTGTGATTGATTCATAGATTTGTCAATTAATTATCTTACTTTCTGTTGGTTGATTTACTGTGAAGCAGAAAGTGGCAGTCATGTTTATAGGCACACATCATAAAGTTCTTCCTTTTTGACTGAAATCTCTTTTCTGATGGCAGGGGGGGGGGCTTTTTTACAGAATGTGAAATTTTAAAGAATGATGAAATGTTCTTGCTTATACTACTTAACACCAATGCTTGTTTAAATGGTTGTTTACATTTATTAGAGAGAACTACCTGAGCCACTTATTCCTCAAGATATGACAGCAGATTTCATCAAAGTTTATCAAGGTGTGAGGGGAATTATGTCCTAACAATGTGCATGTCACAGCTAATGTGATACATATAATGAAGAGAAAATACATGGGTTTACACTGATTGGAATTTCTCTGTGAATTTTCAACTAGATATCTATCAACTGAAGTGAGATATTGAGTAGAAATAGTAGTTCATAGTAGTTCGTTAATTTCCTTGTAAATTTACTTTCGAGATAACTGAGTTACCTCACTGAGACTTGATATATCTACCCGAGTCTTGTGAGGCGGCCACAGATGTCATGAATGGCCACAAGAAACAAAATCGACGTAACCAAATTTGCATTCGCTAGAAGTCTGCAAGAAGTGGTTTATTTTTCAAGTCTGCGTTGGCAGCAAATGAGTTACCAAGTTTTCCCCGATTATGTGATTCGCACTGAATTCACTCAAAAGGAGAATTTATAGGTTAATCATTATCTGACATAAACTTACTCATAAGAAATTTCATATCTACACATGCTCATGTATTATTCTCAATTTTGTGTATTATGTAAAACTCAGAGGCTTTTACTGCATGGAAAAAAAGCCTTGGATTGAGAAAGATGAATGCACTGCCATCATTCATCAACATGATAGAGTGGCATAAAAGACAAGTGATGTGTCAGCAGCTGATTGGGGATATAGAACAGATATTAAAAATTATTGTAATTGCAGTTACAGCTTTTCTTAGGGTTGGAAATCATTTTAAAGCACATCAGTTTATATAGAAATATTTTTTTCAAACAATATCCTTTAAACAATTTCCAGACTCCTAAATTATTAAGACATATATGACTTGTACTCTTTATTTATTGTATATGTTTCTTGGTACTTGTTTTAGCACATAAAGATGATGGTGGGGGTCTATCTGATATGAAGGCATTGCTAGAGAAGCTTCCAGCATCAAATTACCACTTGCTCAAGTACCTTTGCACTTTTCTTGTAACAGTCTCTATGAGTGAAGGTAATTTAGTAGGTGAATTTTTCTATAGCTAACCATTTGAGCTGTTGTCCATCATTGCACTGTTTAATTACTCACGTGTTTTGTTGTCTTCCACAGAAAACAATAAAATGAGTTCAACAGCTTTAGCCATTGTGTTTGGACCAAACTTTTTCAGGTAACAGGCCAATGTGCTTTTGTTGTATAGTTGCTTATTAAAGTAAGGTTATTAATGATTGCCTGTACAAATTGGCAAGCTATCCAATCATCTTGAGTGACTATTTTATAGCTGGTATTATCAACACTTGACAGTTAAGTTTAAAGTTAAATGTACTGACCCCTAAGAGTGACTTGTATCTAATTCTTCCTTGCATTATCACCCTTGAATCGATCATTAAGGTTAATAAAGGGGAATGGTCACAAACTGAAGAAGCTCTTGAATGTTGAAAAAAATTTGCCTTATCAGCACCTTAGGGAATGTGTAGAGAACAGAGGGGAGAATTTGTATACTGGTGTTAGGGTATAAAGGGTTAAAAGATATGGTCATGGTTAATGAATCACAAATTGTATTGTTACAGATGTGGTGATGGATTAGAAGGTCTGCGAGAACAAGGACGCACTAATGCAATAGTTGGCAGGTTTATTGAAGAATTTGACACATTATTTGAGGTTGGTAATGCCTTTGGTCCATTCTTAACTCTTGCAAACAAGTTTTTATGTGGACTCTGATATGCAAATGAGTCACTCGCTGGCTCACTAAGTTGTAGACACTGCCTTAATTAGTTGTCTCAAACTTGCCTGAGCAGGAAACCATATTGGAGTTGCAACCATGCATAAAATGACAGAGAGGCCTCATTACAGTTTATACTAAGCAGGGTTGCTTTAAATGTCACTTTCCAAGTGAATGAAAGTTTATCAAGTTTGAGCACAAACCAAAATTTAATACTGTGAATCGCTTTGATTGTTTATGATCTGATATAAAATAAGAACTGAGGTCATTGTTTTACAATGCAAATATTTATTGAGTAACTGGGGGGCAAAACCTGAGATAGGAATGGAAAGTAGTCAAATTTGGCTTGTGCAAGCAAAGATTTGGTTTGCAGCATCTAAATTTGATAAATTTTGCCAACAGAAATTTAATAAACACAGGATACTATTTTGTGCTGTTTTTGAAGATTTATCTGCATTTATTAATCTGCAAAGCTGGGTAGGCACCATATTTGTGGATCTCTCCATGATTTTGGAAGCTTGGCTGTTAAGATAACAGCAACCTTGCATTGCTACAAAGAGCAGTAATTACTAGTGCACAACCATGTTTCATCTCTAGATTAAGTACTTTATGCACAAGTTGGCCACAGGTATTCTTTGATTTACTAAAAAGAAGTTTAGATTGTTGTTGTTCACTCACTTTCATTTGTTATACTTTCTCATTATAATAAAGGCCTAAAATTTTCACTTTATAGGTGTCTCCCTATGCCACTACTGACATATTCAGAGTTCAAGAAACAAAGTGAGTTGTTGTGCTCTTTTTCACCCATTTACACCTCAAATAATCCTACTATAAAGAGATCAACATTTGAAGAAGCTTCTAAACACAGCTTTAGAAGTTTGAAATTGTTCTGACTCAACTGTTGTGTAGAATTCTAGAGATTTATGACTCTACAGTCATGTGATTGTAGACATGGATAGATATTACAGTAAATCGGCATGTAGTGATGTCTTGCCTTAACTAAATAGCCATGTTAGCTAACATCTCTTGTCTTATTTTTAGGACAAATGACCATCCAACACTACGGATACCCAACAAATCACTACAAAAGGTGTGTTGCCAGTATAGTCCATTGCAGTATTGGCTAAGGTTTCCATGACAAGTTGTAGGGGACCATACAGTGTGTGTATGTACCTCCTGGGTGGACAAAGGTGTTTGGTTATCAAATTTTTTTGATAATGGGAATGTACTATGCTGTTGTAATGACTAGTCTCTTTTACAGATTGTTAATGAAAAGAATGAAAGCTCAGCCAGTGACGAGGACTCATTTCATCTCGTGGGAGAGAAAGAGAAGGCTGGAGAAGATGGCCCCACTTATGCCACAGTAAAGAAGCCAAAAAAGTCTCCACAGTCCTCCACTCAGTAAGTAACTACTCAAGGATTTCTCCTTCTTTTACTCATACTCTTGCCATACTCTTTTCGAGAATTTTCCCTTCATCCCAGCTTTCATTGGAATGAAGCAATTACCATAGATAATAAGTTTGGTATCTGGTAATTAACCACTTAATATTTTTTTCAAATTTTTTTATAAGACTTTGGCTTCAAAAATCAAATTATGTTGCATATCACTAGTAAAATGGAGGGTTTGATGTCTTAAGGATACTAGGTTAATTCAGGAAACAGCCACTACTTGCTGTAGCAGTGACATTTGTTGGGATTTTAGTTTTGAAAATTTCACATTGAATCAAACCATGTCCCCTCAGTTGATATTTTTCTTTCTTTTCGTCACTTTTATGCCTAATGATGTACTGATATTGGCCTCTCTTGTGATTGAAAGGGTTAGCCAGTCATTTACTACAAAGTGCAAATAACCAAGTGTTGTCTATAGGAGGGAGGATTGGAATAAAGATGTAGAAAAGTTTGTAGGGTGTGGTTTACACGAGCTTTTGACCCATTAGGTTTCAAGGTTAACTATGGAGAAATTACATTTAGCTACTCATTCTGCCAGACAGTGGCCTGTGAGCTGTGTGCCTTCTTCCTTGGTCAAAACAATATTCATTGACAGTTTTGTGTTAAATTTTACATCTGATTATCCACAAAAACATTGACCATTTATGGTAACTGTTAATTTTGGCATAACCTCAGCCTTTGTTATGAATACAGCACTCCTCTACATATACCTCTTGTGACAATGGTTCATGAGGTTAACTTTCCCCTGAATCCAATTTTTCCTTTAGTTCAGCTAACGATGCGAATTTATCTCCTCCAACTTGTCTTATCTTGCCTTATCTTGTTTTAAATGGGTGCAGATGCTGTTCACATCCTAAGAGCAGCTTGAGACATAATGCGTGCACTAGTTTTAGTGAAACACCATATGCACTCTGGCCACTTTTAGGGAACTGAAAAAATGCCACAGGTTGTACTCTTTGTAATGGAAATGATGTAAGGAAATGTAAACTGCATTGTCAGCAAAATTGCTGAAATACCCAAAATAATTTCAGAGTCATGACAATTGACTAGTTGTGTTCCTTAAGTGTACAGATGCATGTTAGTTCTTGAAAAATTTGAGTGAAACAATGATAAGGTATAGTTGGCAGCTAAAACATTCTTAAAGTGTTTTGGATAAGATAATAATGTTTCGGATGTTTCTCTTAAATATTTATCTTGGCATTTCATGCAATTTATTAGGGAAAATTGTTTGTTTTTAAAACAACCCAGTGGTGCTATAATGGATTCAGTGGTACACATAATGGCCAGGACAAATTCTTTTAGTTTAGTTTAGCTTTACCTTTAATTTTGAATTGCAAACTGCACTTTGATACTGTGTGTTATTGTTTTAATAACTGGAACATGGATGGCATTCTATACTTACTTGGAAGTGATGTGTGTGTGATGTTATCTCTTGCAAGGGTCACAATATTAATTACTGTAAAGATTTGCATGTCTTCCTATGCAAATGAACATCTGAGAAATATTGGTTGTGTTCATGGCTGTGGAACAAGTATTTTGTTTTTCACTCTCTCTAAGATCTCACTTGTAAATTAACATGACTAAGCTTTTCCTGGAGTATTAGATAAAGAAGATTGCAAGGTTTCACTTTTTCACAAGATAAGCTTCATTTCTGTCACTATACAGTTTTTTTTTTATATGTGAAATTTATTCAAAAGTCATTGCCACAGACATGTATTGAGATGCAAAGGGATTGACACAATTATGTTTGATGCAAGGTATGGCACATCTCTAACCAAGATAATTTCAATCAGTAGATATGTCTCTTGCATTTCCCTACCATTTCTTTCAATTATGTCATTATACAGGGTTATGATTCTTGTTATTTCCAATGTAGCTGGGCAAAAATTATAGTGGTGATTGGGCAAATGGTTGACATTGTTTTAGCACTATCACTTTTCTGCTTTGCTAAGCTTTTTGAGCTTGACCATGTCAAACTTACATTTTTTAATTTTCCCATGAAAAGCTCATCTTTGGTTGTGTTGACAGGCTATGAAGTAGCCATTATTTTAGGATCTGAAGTATTTTTCACACAAAAAAATTTAAAATATCACATCAGAAAAAACTGGAAAGCATTTTCCTGTGTGCCTTGAATATGCATTATGCTTGATTGATATAGAAATCAAACAGAATGGCAATTTACTGGGGCAGATGTTCTGTATATGCACATTTTGTGGGCAGTTTACAGCAGCCACATTGTCTGAGGGTTTCATAATTAAATTATTACTTTGAAATTCTCAAGGAAGATGTGTGTCATTTTGATAAGTGTTATGTCAAATATTAGAAATCTGAAATTCAACTTATGTAGCAGGGTTCTCACGAAAGCTCAATGTTTTCTTTTTTCGTTATGGCTGTGATGTAGATGAAATAGACTTGTGTTATTTGACAATTTGACAATCCTTTCCTGCCCTGAATAATTAAAACAGTATGTTATTTAGGATGGAAATACACTCAGTGCAGGTGCTATAGTAGGCAATTATTGATTTATTTGTGTGCCTTTGGTGAATTTTATAATTTTGGGATGAACATTTGTCCAGCCTTCATAATTTACGATTGATTTTCTTTTAGTATAACACCGCACTCAGAAGACCTGGATATGTATGTGAGGTCTGTTTCACCATCATGGAATACTCAACAAAGGTAAATTTGACAACAAATACACTATCTGAGGGTAAAGTCATCTGTCATGTATGCCATGAATGTCTGCATGTATGGATCAAATGCTTAATTCCAGACTTTTGTTCTGAGGGAATGTAAAATGATGATTTATGGTTTTACTTCTACATTTAAGTGCATAATCCCTTAATTTTTTTTCCTATGTTCTTTGTGACTGTCTTTTGGTGCAACACTTCAGATTAAACTCATATGACTCACTTGAAACTGGGACACAATGCTGCATTTATTCAGACATTCATGATCTTGCTTGTATTGGCATAGCACTTTGAAAATAGAAAATTGCATCACCCCTTATATAATTTGCAACTATACACCAGGATCAGGTTAAATACTATCTCATAAGTGTATGCTTATTCTTAGATGTTTTCTCAGTTGTTTTTATATAAAGACACTACTGTGTATCATTTTGAGTTTTTTTGAACATGATAATTTTTGGCAAACATATGATATGTGAAAGTGGACTGTTGGTAAATTTTTCATTGTCATGTCCCTGCCTCTATTTTTTTTTTTTTTTTTCTTTTTTTTTTTTCCCATCAATAGTGGCCACAGAGAAAATGTTTGCCAACAATGCAAACAATTTTGCTCTTTTGCATCATGGAAAATAGCTTTTACTTCAAGACCTTTTACAGCCCTTTTCATGATTGTAGATGCATCTTTTATAGGAGTGATTTAACAAAAAACAGAGAATAGCTGAGTGAGTGAATGTCATGACTCACGAGGGTTGAAAAGGGTCTTGAAATTGGTTAAGGTCCTTGAAAGTATCTGATTTCTTTCTCTCTTGAAATTTGAAAGTAGTTCATTAATGATTGAAAAACAATCACTTTGTGCAGTTGCCTTACTGTGGTTTGACAAGTGATATATATTATTATTATTATTATTATTATTATTATTGTTATTATTATTATTGATAAGAATCATACAGTATTTAAGTTGTCACAATTAACTTCTGAAACCTCTTTCGTTTTATTAAAAATTAGAAGGAAAAAAAAATCAAATATGAAAAAAATGCAAACAAGTACCAGTATTCACATAAATTGTAGTGAGGAAGTAAAACAGAACGAATCTAATAAGTTTATCAGTAAACTGTTAACTAATTAAGCTGTTGCCAAAATGATCTTTTTTCTGGTGATTTTATCCCATTTTCCTCATTTAATTCTCATTCCTTGTTTTAAATATCAAAGGGAAGAGTTTCTGATTCAGAGGTTTCATGTAATCTGGCTTGTGTAAACTTGGTGCAGTAGATTGGTCCGTAGATTGCGTACATCAGAAAAGCATGATGAATTGAATTTTGCCGCCTAGAAATAGTTGGGTATGCACCTCTAAAAATGTTTGTAACTCCTTACCTTTCCAGTGATTCAGGCCCCATACCAGAATCTACCAAGCCCCCTGCTGGCAAGGAGTAAGTATTGGTAGCACTAGATACAGATTACAGTTGATTGTATATAGGGTATCACAGGATTTTGTTACAAACTGGGAAGTACGTTGACCTTTTATTTACTTTTTGAGGGCTAAGCAATTAAAGCTCAGGTCCTTATGATAAACTGCTAATGAGCGTTTTAATTGCAAGACCTACTCTCTGATGTACATGTACATCTCTAATCACAGGCCAAGTCAGAGTTGAACAAGAGACTTCATCAGAATACCTGTCAGCTTTTATATATTAACTATATGGTTTTACATTATGCCCTGAGATAGCTTATAAGCATGGACATAACATGAAGCATTGAATTATGTTTATTTTTGTATTTTAGAATTGTACAAAAAACAATCAATGACACCATCAAAGAACACTTGTTTGGGCCTGACCTGACGTCTACAGATGAAAACAGCCCACACTCACCAGAGTCAGGAGATGAAGGTATGTTAACAATGAAAATGATAAGCTGTTGTGCATCATCACGGCTAAAGGGTGAAATGACGTATGGTGTGTACAATCACAAGGAACACTTCTTTATACCACTTCTGAAATGTAATCTTCTCTTCCATGTGCTATAGATTTCCTTTTAACTATGTTTGAAGAGTGCGGTGTTATTTTGGGATAAAACCCTCCAGTTGATGTGTTAGTCTATTTTTGTCACCTACTTGGTGGATAATGTTGTGATATAACAAAGAAAAGTTACTTGTTCATCACTCCTACAGGTTTTAACCCTTTGACCTCCTATAATGACCAGTATCTAATTTCTCCTCACAATATCACCCCTGAATCAAACATTAAGATCATGAGAATAAAGCAAATGATCACCAACGAAAGAAGCTCGTGATTTTAAAACAAATTCCCCTTTTTGGCACCCAAGGAAATGTATGGAGAACAGTTTGGAGAATATGCGAACTGATGCTTAGGTGTAAAGGGTGATAGAATGAAATATTTGGAGCTAAAGCTAGTCTTGGTTTCCATAGGATAAGGCCATTAGGCGTTTTGTTACCCCCATTCCCCTCCCCCTTAGGAGGGATGTATTTCCATTACAGTGAATTTACCAGTTAAAGCTCAAGTGTCCTCACGATTCTCTCGAGCAGTTTGTCGGTTTCCTTTTAAACTGTTGGGTGGAGTGGTTACTGCTGAGGTGGAGTATTTTCTCTAAGAACACAACAGAATGACCTCAGTTTGGGCTCTCGCACCACACTCACTAGCGAAACCCTTTGTTGAACCAAACTTTATTCCAAATGCTTCTGAGGGTTTCTGCTGTGTGCTTATCTTAGTAACAGGTCCACCACTACCAAGTCGTAATTACACGGATGAGGAAGCTAGCAAACCAAGGAGGAGAAGGAGAAGAAATGTCAAGAGTCAGCTAGAGACATCAGGTTGGTGAATTTAGCAGTAACTGATGTGAACAAGTGGTTGAGACTCACTGAGGATAAGTGAGAGCATATGAATTACTCTGCTTAGGTAGCCTTATACTTTGCATAATGTAACATGGCAGCAACAACTGTTGGCTCTAAGGTAAAGCCATTGTACTTCCTGTGACATGTTTATCCGCCGTTAGTTGTGTTGGTTTTGCTGTTACTGTCGTTGTTATTGTTACTGCGCCCGCGAAATTGGCTAACTACAGCGCTCGAAGTATCTAGCAGTAGTAGTGGTATTATTTATGTCACCACTGTCTTTTCTCAAAAATGTGTAAACTCAAATAGTTAACTTTTTTCTTCGTTTGCAGATTCAAGCGGCATTGTTGAAAACAGTAACCCGCTAAAGAAGGTTACAAAGGAAGCTGTGGACTTGCTCACTAAAGATGAAGAAGACCAGGTTAAGAAGGGAAGTGTGGTGAAACCTGTGAAGAAGAGACCCAAATCTGAAGGATTTGAATTGTTCGAAAAGAAGGGAATAGTTATTGGTGTGGTAAGTGGCTTTTTTATCTCGTTGTTTTTGTTAGGAACATGTCAAGCAAGTCATGGAGAGATTTGCGATAAGATGATGAAACAAAGTTGAAGGAACTGGTCGGATGCTGTCCAGACCCATTTATAAACCATGATTAAGAGAATAATCTGAATTATCTGAAGTAGAGGAAAAGAAACTTTATTGTGGTTTTCACAACCTCCAAACGAACCAAAAAACAAATTCAAGCTCAGTGGAACGTTGAGTTTGTTACAAAGTTTCAAAATCTGTCATTGGGGATTGACAAACAATTGGAACACTTCATTACACTTACTGAATTTCTAAGACATACGGACAAGCACTCAAAGCTGCATGGCTGACATTATTCAGTATCAGAATTGGGTGGTACACCCTTTCGCTGCGCCCACTCTTTGAGAGCGACAACTTTGCTTGTGGTTTTTAAGCGTTCTATTTCCTCTTATTTCAAAGGACGAGAACAGCAATTACATATTCAGCTCTACATTTCCTCGGAAAAACGATGGTCAAAAAGTGAGTGGAGATTCTGTTACCCAGCATCATAAGCGCTTTTGCACAAGAGGTTTCCAATTTTAGTTATAAACCTCTGTTAAGGTTGCTGGCCTGTTAGAAAATTTGAATCTTCAGTTCTATCCCTCTGCAGCTGTTTTTTTGGTCACGTGACGCAACGCGTTCTCTATCCTGCCAACGTTGCGTCACTATACCAAACAACGGCTGCAAAGAAGACTGTACCCATTTATCAACAACTAATGCTGCAATGGCAAATTTTTCTGAACAAAATTAACTTTGACAAGGTGGTTTTTGGTGATAAAGACAGGAAATTGTTCATTAGAAGGTTCCTTAGTCCTAAGGCGGACAAACGAATTTTGAACCCCATTGTTGAGGTAAAGCTTTCCAAGACAAATTATGCTTGAGTGGTTAATATGGAAAGGACGCTGATCAAGAAAAATTTTCGCTTGGGGATATGGCGGATGAGTTTTCCTTGATTTCATAGCGTAAACACGGCTAAACTTATCTATATCTCAGTTGTGGTACTCTTTTTAAATAGGCAGTTAGTTTATCATAAGTTACTACACCCAGAATACAACATCACCACAACTTGTTCCTCGTCACGTTTACCAATTAGCTTTCGCCCAGTCAACAAAGAGTGTTGAATGGGAGAAACATTGTGACTTGCTCGCAAACGCAACTGAACCCAGTGGCCAGTGGCGTTTGTGTGCAAGACACAAAAAGGAACACAATATTTGTCGAATTCCGGCCTCAGGTACCGCTTTCTTCTAGGCTTGTAAAACGTACTCAAAACCCTTTGTTACAAGTTCTTTTATCTGCTTGTTTGCTGCAGAATGACGAGGATATTTATCAAGAAATATTAGGAACAGGTAAAAGTGATCCTCTGTTCAGCGTGAGCAGGACCTCTGAGATTTTGGAATCTTTGACGCGTAATAGGGCAGCTCCTCCTAAAAATAGACGAAGGCCAAGCCTGAAGAAACGACACGAAACTAGTGAGATTTTCTCAAACGAAGATGATGAATACTCGGACAAGGTATGATTGGTGAATGCCAATATTTATCCCTAGTACTTATGAAGTAATTTTGAAAGTGTGCGCTCCATAGGCTATCAAACCTACCATTAAGTTAGTCCGCTTCTTGCCCTTTACAAGACCTGTACGTTTGTAAGTGAACTTTTATACTTCTTGATGCTGTGGAGCTAACATTTACCTGTAAATCCATTACCTTACGTCTAATTTTTTAAGTATCCTTCACTAGTTGTGCCACAGTAAGGTTGAGTACAAAAACTTTGAACGCGCAAAATTCGATTGCCATATTTTAAGTATCGCAAACGCCCTGATTGGTTACACCGGCATAATAGCTTTGTTATAAAAGCAATTAGAGCACACTGTCACACGTTCTGTTGGTTTATCGGCGTAAAAAACTCACTTGGGATGTTGAGGGAACACTGAAAATGCTGGTAAATAACTCACCTCCGGCTCGTGTTTTGTAAACTTTTCTTACGTTCTCTCTCCATCCCTCGTAGATTTGTACGCCAGTAAACGGATAGAAAGGGCGGCTATTGCTTAAACGATTGACGCAAGTTATAAATTAAATTTTAAGAGCCAAACAGTCCAGATTAGGTGAAAAGGGAACAAGGATGATCAATGATCAAGCGTGGAGACAATTAGCGTGCATTGAAATTGAATTCAAAATACTATTTCGATGAGATAATAAAACAAAAAAGAAGATATTATGGAGCGAAAGGGAACGGAAATGATTTGGCACGGAAAAAATTGAGATGGATTGCGAATAACAAAGTTTTTTTTTCAAGATAGACAATTAGGACCTCGCGATGTTATGATTGTGTTGCCTGGTAAACTTCCAATGGTTTTCCCATAGGATGATCAACAGAGACAAAACAAGTCAAAGGTACATCCTTTAGTTGATGAAGCAAAGAATAAAAATGTAGTGTCGACAACACCACCTATATCACCTAGAACCTCCAGATCATCAAGGATTCAGCTGCACTCAGCTTCATCCAGGCAAGAGGTGAGTGATGATGGTACTCTTCTACTTAATGAAAATAAAAGCGCATAGAAATCAAGAGCGCACTATACTATTGTTTGGTAGAAATCTGTTAGTCGTTACAAACTTAACATCACGACAGGCTATTGTTTTTATTGAATAATGAGACAAACAAGTCACGCCGCATGCAATTGGGCTACTCACCCTAATCGCTAACTGTTACGGAATTGATAGTGAGTAGCTCAGCCAATCAGATTGCACCATTTTTGATATTACGCTATCTGCGTTATTATAATTTACAGGCTGGATAATTTATTAGAGCTTGGTTCCTTAGAGGTTTTTCATTATTTTAACTCAATTAAGTGGAGTGTTTGCATAATTAAAGGCTCCATTCAGGCGGAATGACCACTACTGGCCAACCCCTTAGCCTTTAAGCTTTCGGCCCGGTGAGGCTTGAAAAGAAACTGAGCAAAATTTTTTGTCTACTTCGTTCCTGGTTACTCTGTTGGAGCTATATTGTATTTTTCTTCTAGCAGGGCGAAGTGGATGAAGTAGATTCGTCATCGTTCAGACCCAGGAAGGAACTTCTTACCAAGCAGTACAAGAAAAAGCATCACGGAGCACCCATTGTCCCTCCATTAGAGCTCTACAAGCTTCAGCAGCATGATGACGGCATACAGCTGTCTCCCAGGGAAAGATACGATGGGTTCGGCACAGATGAAGCATTATTGTCCCCTAGATCTCGGCCCCTTACCATTGATACCCGCACCATTCCTCACGAGTGTCCTCCATCACCGCCCCATGAGCAGATAGAGCATTCCTGGTTTGAACGAAGGTAACGGACTTGTGCCATGTGAAAAGTGTTGTTGAAAGGGGGCTAAACCACGGGGGATTTGAAATGAAGTAGCTGCCGGAAGTTGAGAATTGTTTCCTCCGGCGCTCTTTACCGATCTTTTGTTTGCGCCATTTACTGTTTTATAGTTGCTGGAAGGAGACTAATGGTTGCGTAAGCTCCAGTAATGTTGGGAAATGTGATATAGACTGCTGTGTAGGCGCTAGGTTTCAAGCTGGTACTCTACTATTGAAGTGAATCTCCCCTAGGAGTACACATGGGACCAGCGTAATTATTGTCAGAGAAAACTTAAGGAACTGTGAGGGTGAGCTGCGGTGGACTGGCATGATTTTTAACAATACTATTCGTCCCATAATGCTCCAGACATCGGGTTTAGCCGCAAAAATTCGATTGGCGTAACGTATTATGAATTCGTATTGTTCTTTTTGTCATATTTTATCAATGTTTTATCAATATTCTGTTTCTTTTTTCTGCGTAATTTTCTTTTGTTGACATCACGTTTATAAGTTCTTCACCGTGGATTTTTTTCATTCGGATCTATTGTTTGACTGTTTGAATAATCTTTTTCGTCTTCAATTTGCCATTTGTCCCGAATTTCGTGTAACGATTTTAAGTGTCTTTTGCTGTTCTTTTTTACAGTTTTCACGTTTGTCTATTTCTTTACGTATAGTTGTTATAACTTATTAGTTGTAGTTATTTATAGCACCTGCTTCGATTCTTCACTTCGTTTCGTTTTGTATCTTGAAAGCAACGTAAAGAGCGCGTGATTTTTGGACATGTAACTAGTATTTTTGGCTATCACATCGAGACTAGCTTCAGCAATGTCTAACACTTGGCTTTTAAGACTTTCCCTTGATATTTTTGAGTTTTAAACTATTAAGTTGTTTGAGATTTAAGTTACTGCAAGAGAAAGCTTTTGAAGATTTCCTATCCAGGCTACAGAACCTGGCTAACACTTTGCAAAGGACCACCAAGTGTTTTTTCCTACTTTCTCTTTTCTTCATATCTTTTTAGAGTGGATACATCTCCAAAGGGTGAATTAACCGTCAAACAACTCACTAAAACAATCGGTCAGCTCAAGAAGAAAATACGCGACTTCGAAGACACATTCGAGGACGAAAACGGGCGAAGACCTTCACAAAGCGAAAAAGCGCCCATAAAGAAGTACGTGGCAGAACTTGGCCGTGCAAGAAAACAGCTGAAAGAGCTGAAAGAACGCGCTAAAGGAGAAGCAGAACGCTTAAACGAAACTGTGCCTCCGATGAGCGGACAAGGATTGAAAAGCAGTAATAGCGAACCTTTACTTACCACCACGCCCGCAAGTATCGAACACTCCCTGGAAAGTTTGCTGAAAAAATTACAAGAGAAGAGGAAGGACACCGGCAGACCGGAGGAGGTAGAACAAATGAGTCGAGACCAGCTTCAAGATGAGAAGCTGGCAGTACAAAAGGCGCTACTTCAACATGAAAGCGTGTTCGGTCGGCCTACTAGTAAAAATGACAAGGATGTGATGAGGCCTTTGTATGACAGGTTAGTGCTAAAGTTTTGACGAGAGATATGAGCAAAAGGTTAGGTGTGGTGGTTGAGACTCTTTTTTTTTATTTTGTACTTTGTTGAGACGTTGACCTGAATTTTTCCTAGATACCGCACAATCAAGCGGAAACTTTCCACACCCGTCACGGAACCGCCCGTGAAAGTCCAAGGTAACCGGCCGCGCACTAGTTCAATCGATAGAATGGTATCTGATCTGGCTCCAATTCATGAAGATGCTCTATTGCACTCACCCAGTGGAGGCTCTTCTGCTAGAAACCTTACTCAGTCTCTGCCCATCACTGGTAGCAAGGTAGGCTGGAATTCTTCAACTTTTTTAATTCAAAATTAACCATCTCACTTGCTGTGTTTAGACACGCGTTTTTAACGTGACTGATCCTAGCAGTTTGCAAGACCCTTGTCACATGTACATGGATTTGTTCACCAATGAACTCTTTGTAGTTGAATTGGTAGGGCAACAGGTCGCGCAATGGAAGGTTTAAAGTTTGATTCCACGTGATGGACCCAGATTTTTCTTCGTGCCATTTTTTTTCCAAAAGAAAAAGAGAAGAGATTTTTTGTCAGCACCCCTCTGTGCCAGTCTTTTCTTGGATACGCAATTTTTTCTTTTTTAAGATGAGAATTTAGTTGCTGAAAAAGTGACTGACGCAGAAGGTGGACTGCTACAACTTTTTGCTTCAACAAATAAACCCCTTTTCTTTCTCTCTTTTGCCGGGTCACACAGTCACTCCTTGTTTCAGTCTAGTATTACGTGGTTTTTAAGAGCAAGGTCCGTACAAGCTGTACACCATGTCAACATTGAGTTTGCTTATCAAATTCGCTCTGCTAAAAACGGCATTTTTATCAAGAAATAACGGAAATTGAGTAAAGATGAAACTATGTGAATGTTATGGTAAGGTTAAGTTATGGTTTTTCTAACATAAAACAATAAGTATGACGGAGAGCAAAGTAATATTATGTCATAGGTAAATTATACCACAGCTTATGCAGCATTAATTCTGCTTATTGTTTAATTTGATTTCTTTCGGCACTTTATTAGTCTTATTCTATCTTGGGAGTTAGTGCGGTGGGCTTTGGATCGAGAGGTCCAGGTTGAAGACCTGGCTGGGACATTTTGATGTGTTCTTAAGCAAAACACTTCGCTTTCACTGTGCTTCTCCCCTCCCTCCCCTCCCAGGAGTGTGCATCGACACCAGCCAATTGTCAGGGACGCCCGGCCTGATAAAATGCCAGGGTAACCTCATCCTACGGAAACCGGGATAAGCCCAGGCTGGATGGCTCACTTGGTTTGGGCACAGACTATCTGTGAAAACCGGAATCAATGTGAAGGCGTCTTTCATTGTTAATATTTACCTTAATGACAATAATAATATTTGGTATATACCACAAAGGTGAATGAAAAGCAAGTGCTATTCACCTTCGAGCAGCCGATGGCGCTTCAAGAGTTCAATTCGACCATTTTTCGGTATATTGAAAGAATTAAACCAATTTTTTGTATCTGTTTGGTATATACTAAAACAGTTATTCACCTCAGTGTCGTTCAGAGTGGTGGACATTTTCCACTGTTTACCACCACTTCGGTGAACAATTGTTAATTATTAATTTATATTGCGCAGTTATCAATTTACCATTTTCAGTTGCGCTTTCAGCTGAAGATGTGGAACAGTAATTTACGTAAGACCGCGCTTTGTTTACAGGAGTCACCCCGGAGGCGTAGTACAGGTAACATGCCCTACACAGACACATTAGATGGGGATGATGACTCTTTTGGTGACACAATCCAGGACACACTGACACTCCGTGACTCCGCTCAGTTCAGGGACGAGCTCAGGGAGGATGCTAAATTCCACGAAATGAGCCGGTAAGCTTGATTATTCTTAGAAGCACAAGTGTCCACATTGGTCATACAGCAATCTTCTAACTCCCAAAATCTTATTTGTGATTCTCGCCTCTAGCTGTTTTACATTTCCCTGTAGATCACTTGTGAGAATTTGTTTTTATATCAGAATGAAATACTGGATGAATGTATCAAGTCTCATGGCCCATTAGCTGATTCGTCAAGCAGTTTTTGGATGCCGTCTGTTCTGTGTGTTTTCCAGACCGCTCCTATTGTTTTGGAATTCCTATTGATAACTTATCACTGGATTTTTATTGTTTCACCTTTCAGAGATGAGTTAAGTGAGCAGCTAGAACTGAAAAAAAAAGAGAAAAAGAAAATGAGAAAGAAACTCAAGACATTTGAGGATGAGTTCTTCGAGGAAACTGGACGGTAATAGACATACTAGCTGACTTTCTTCCAAAAAAAGTTTCTTTAACATTAATTAGTAAACGTAGACTTTCGTTTTCTCGTTAAAAAATCACATACGAATTTATTTCAGTATGTTAAAGGCGCAAAGATTCAGTTGAGGACAAAAAATTGAAGAAATGAAAAGTCACCTTAGACAAACACCGCAAAAATACCCGACACGAATGTTTTCTGAGCTACAATTGTTGATGCACAAAATGCCTTCATCAGTGTGACGTTTCATCGGCAAAAAGAGTATTTTATAAAGTCTCGTCTCGGTTTGCGCTTTTTGAAAAATCTAGTTGGTTGTCAACACATAGCAAAGTGTAACTTCAAGGATTCTAATTTGTTTTTAATGTTTTGATACTTATTTTTAACTTTGCCTTCCAGGCGAGTGCAGCGAGACGACAGAGGTGAAATGCAGAATGATTACCACGAGTATAAGGTAAGATCTGCACAGTTCTGTCTTCACTTTGTTCCAAAAAACACCACCGCGTTCTTACTTGAAAAATGAGACAAGAAATTCACGTGCGACTTTATTCGATTTAGAACGAACCTCGATTGATTTGCTAAGCATTTCGAACACCTGATCATCAGAATTGCTAACACGTGACCATAAAACCACTTAAAGAAAAAGAGGTTTTTTTTTCTTCCTTTACGACATTTCCCATGGCAGAATTTTCTGTCATATGATGGTGATATTCCGTTGGGTACGTTTTCAACAACTTAATTGTCGTTATGCCTTATTTCCTCTGTGAGTGAAGAATGTCTTATGTCGTCATGTGCATGACAGTAGGGTGTCTTTGTTTCAAGTAACGTAACCTAGGCCTGACGTAAGGAGTAAAGGTTCTATTTTCGTTTTCAAAAGTTTTCGCGATTATTTCTTCACCCGTAGATTTACGGAGTGAAAGTAATCACTGTGATATAATTTTGAAATCTTTTTTCCCTTACAGCACATAAAGCATCAGTTGAAGCTTATAGAGGCTTTGTTGACAAAGCGCCAAGTAACTAATACGATGTAAACTTTCGAGATTTTTTCTTGTGTATATTATTTCGATTATTTGTTAATAGAAACGACTTTATGATATGTTGAATTTTGTAAAGAGTTTTAAAAGAAATTAAAAAGTTATTTTTTGTCAAACGAAAATCGACTTGATATTACTGACACGGAAGAAACCCACTCACTTTGCGCCAAAAAAAAAAAAAAAAAAAAAAAAGCCTTTAGTATTTTTGGTTCTATAAACTGAGTTGATAATGGTACATAAGCTCTCTGCTCTGACGAAGGGCTAACGCTTGAAACGTCTGATATAGAAACTCTTTACGGTGCCATTTAAATTCCCATTTTAGTTATTATCGTCAATACCCACCACCGACGCAGCACCTGAGTTTCTTAAGAGATCACTCTCTGTTCATTTGAATACTAAACCAGTCTCGGTTTCGTTCAAAATGACTTCTTGGTTACCATTTGAGTCCCAGGATGTTTCACTCGTTGGGTCCCGCTCGGAGCATCTTCCGAAACAATGCGATTTCTTACGTCGCATATGAAAGCTGTTGGCCAGAATCCCTACAACTGTAATAAAATCATATCTATCGAACATAATAAATGCATATCGATTTCAATCATAATTGAGGTAACAACTAAGGCGCTTATATCAGAAACAGCGCCTAAGCACCAGCAAAAAAGCTGGTGCAACTATCGCTTGTACTTTCGAGTTCTTTTTACACTCGTCGGCTTTTCATTGGATAACCTACTAGAGAGAGTCTGAATAGAATGAGAGTGATCACAATTTGATTTGCGAATGATGAGCGGTTGCAAAACGAGTAGGTGCTTAATCTTTTATCTCTCGAGGTTGGTCGATGAACGCAGAAAAACCTAATAGTTCTGTAGAGGACTGCCCCAAAGTTTTTAAGGGTATCCCGGCATTTTACATAAACCGGGAGAAAAAATTCACAATTTGTCGCTTAGTTTCCGTATTTAACTGTTTCGTTTCGATGTTTTGCTGTTTTTTACAGTCGAAACACGGCATTGGGTTCCTCGATTCTTTGGAGTTACGCCTCTAGATACCGAATTTCAATGCCCACTTATGCGATCGAGGGATAACCATTCTAAGTCGATGTATCAAATTGCTACTTCGTGAAAAAGAGACTACTTTTGTTCGCTGTGCAATGGACTCTGGACAGAAACAGTGCCTAAGTTTCGAAGAAAGCATCTTCCTGCTTACCGGACGCTCATGGCCATTAACTATGCAAGAGACTCGAGGTAGCAGACAAAGTGTGCTGATAATGAAAGAGCAGGTAAACTGTATTTATCAAAACATTTCATCAGGAAGAGTTAGTTTTTTGATATGGCGGAAATAGCAAAATGTCTAACAACTGTTAACCCAAATGGCCATAACTTTTCATAGGAATATTTATTCATTTGTTTCAAGTATATGTTCATATGATGCAGCCCATAAAGCCCTAGAGATTTCTTCCGTGAAAGAGGAAGTCTTTCTCCTGGGTATCTAAGTTTTAAAACTCGCTTTTATTGTCAAGGCCTTTGTTTAAGAGTGATTATTAGTGGTGACTTACAGTAAGGATTAAGCCTTTCTGGATGCCTATTCAATGGAAAATTGTTCTTACCTTGCAAAAATAGAGAAAAATAATAATAATATATCAGTTTTTGAAGAGGTTCTGTACGATTCCTGAAGAACAAACTTTGCGACTCTACTTCCGCAGAGGAAACCGTTTGGAAGAAAACCAAATAACTTCAGTTTACTAGAAGCTTCTATTGAAATCTTTGACTACTTTTAGTTGGATTTCGATATCGAATGGGCGGCTTTTGAAGAAAAGGGCACCCAATTGAGTTTGTAGCACAATAACGATTTTAATTACAATTTGTTTATATAGTAGAGAGCCGAACCAAAAAAAGTTAATCCCTTGAAAAACGCTGGAGACTGAGTAAATAATTGATATCAAGTGGAACAAAGGAAAAGTGTGATTAAAAAACTTCTAGTCGGTAAGAAACACGTTACCGAATGGTCTCCTAAGTTGAGTTTTCTTTATCATTGCATAAAATCTTGAATTACAATGAAATAAAGACGTAACAAAGAACGGTTACCAACCTTTGAGAGCTAACAAACCAGCAGTTTAGTGAAGAATTGGAAAACACTCAGCTCAGGTTTGCCGGCGCACCGATCTGCCATTTGTTTTCTTGGACACTACAACCGTTGAGATGAATACCAACCAGATGAGAACATCTTTATAGTGTTCCTTCCACAGTAACTCTCAAAAGAAGAGTTTCAATTTTGAGTACTTTCACACTTTGCCCGTCTAATTTCTAGAAAATACATCGTAGACACAGACTGTGTTCTCTTAACGCATTTCAACCACGTGTCTAACCCTGTTTAGCTTTAACAACAGTATAAACAGACTAAAGAAGGAACCTTTCAGTGGGAAGTGTAACAGGTAAATGAACTTCCTGCATTTAAGGACTCGGAACACATGATAACCTGATGTTCACTTGGCAACAATTGCCCCTATTGACAGATAATTCTTTTTGCTTTGCTTTTGTATTGTTCTGTTTTGTTTTGTTGTTTTCTTCCTTGTCAGAGTCTGTTAAACCGGATCCTCAGTGATGCACACTCGCTGGCCGTGATAACCAGCGCTAAAAAACCCTCTCTGTCTTCCTTATGATGTTAAAACGAGCAAATAAATCGAAGCTGTATCGAACTTATGGGAAACTAGAAACCTGTGCTGTCCTCAATTAACACCGTTCAGTATTCCAGCTCTGCTTTTCATATGATAATGATTCCAAGAAACTTGTCACTTCCCTCGCTGCCAAGTGTCAATTATCGCAAAAAAAGGTTTCGCTCTATTCCCCAAATTAATTCCATATAGTCTTTCAACTGTAGTTTGACGAAGAAGTTCATCATCAAAGAAACATCCTTTAGATGCTGATAACAATAATGTTTTCCGCCTGAAGGACAAAGCATATATTGTGCTAATGATGAGATTGATAAAGGTGAAGAAAAAAGAAAATACCAGAAAATTCTAGCCGATGACTAGTGTCAAGAAGGAAAAACAGGAAAAATTTGTATCCAGGTTTTTCGATGCCCTTTGGTGATCTCAAAGTACGCTCACATTTGGGGTTTTAAATAGTACAGTGACACATTTTGCCAAGCGGAACATGCGGCTTTCATTTTCGGATTTTCCAAAATTGTTGATACGATCTATAAGTGAATAACTTCCTTGAATTAAACATAGAAGTAAACGAATTTATTTCGGACATATGCACTGAATCAGGAAGCTAAGCATTTTGTTTGCGATCATCGTAGCTTTTGTCTTTGCGTTTAATACAATTTGCTCATAATGCCTCCATATTGGAGAATTTTCATTTTCTCTCCCTCCCTACCCTAACTAAAATTCAAACGACGTCCGTAAATAAGCAAAGCATCAATCTTACGAGGTACATTACTGCGAGAGATCGATGACTTTTCAATTGAGAAGAAATACGACTTTTTGCTGATTAGCTGAATTCAGTTGAATATTCTGTTTTCAAAAGTCCGCTCCCCTCCCTGAAGAAGTGAATATTTTACCCATAACACTCCTCTCTCCGAGCACTTCCGTATTTCGGGGAAATTCCCTACTTTTCACGATGGAATAATTTCGACAAATTTAACCTATGTTGAATGATTTCAATCGTGCTTTTGGTACTAAATTAGACACAATTGTAATGCTTTAATTAACGCTTGGAGTTTTGCCGTCGAAGAGAGCAAGAAAGTTCCGTTGTTAGACAAACTGTACTGTCAATACTATGGAAGCCCACCTAATTTCACGGGCTTTGCACTGAGTGAAGTTTAGCTTAGCATTGAAGAGTTGAGCTACGTTCAGCGGTTCATGAGGTAATTTAGATAGAAATATTCAAGGCCGTTTTAAGTTCGCTGCGTATGCTTACCTGCAGTAGTTTTTAACAGAAGTTTATGCATTGGAAACGTTTGAATTCATGTTCTTTGCTATGAAAACATCTACGGATCATTGAGTAGTCTAACAACTTTTTTTTTCAAACCTTGCTTCTCTTTGCAAACTTTTACAACATCACTCGCAAACGGTTTCCTTGAACTTCCTGTTTGTTGTACATTTAGTATAGTAGAAAGGATGGCATATTAAGCTGTTTCAGTCGTGACATTCTATTTGAGCCACAAGTTTGTGCCCAGTTAGATTACAGTGAATCGAACCTCTTGAGTAAATTTGAACTTTGAGGTTTTTAATCGGTACTGAATACAATAGCTGGGGAATTTTCTTGTATCCTGTTCAATACCCCCGTGTGAAATTCTTATCTACCGCTTACCGGAATTGAATTCGATCGATCGCAAGGATAATGTCATAATTAGCTTTATTCATGAAATGACAGCAGATCTAGGCCTGGCACTGAGAAACCTATTAGGCCTCTGAATGCAGGCAGCTACATTCAGGGTACACAATTCGAAGGTTTTCAGCTCATCGATGACCTTACTAACAGTTACTTTTGTAGTACTAGATGTTCTGTTCTGGAATGTGTAATGCTTGTAGTTATTAACGGCATTCATTCAATTACTCCAACATAAATTTGGAATTGAGAGCATCCGGAATATACTCGATGTTAACGTTGAATCCTTAATTTCAGGATTGAATAGTCATCATATTGCTGTAAGTTATAATTTATAATTTGTGATGATTCAAGCATATTTACAAGGACAGTTTTCTCTAAAGCTTGGTCCAGTCATTTACTTGCAACATAACATAAAACATCGTACCAAACAAAACTTAGATTCTTTTCAAGGTATCTTATTATATTGACTTGATGATGTTAATGTTTCTGATATGTAGAATGATTTCCATGATATTTTGGTGTAAAACAATGTTAAACTCTGGTGCAGTACTCTAGATTACAAAAAGATCACATTCATTACCCTTAAACTTCCTAAAGTCCTCAATCTAACTCCTCCTTATAGCTTGAAAGGAATTGATCCATTACTCTGTCGATGATGGCTAGTCAACAGAAGACAAGGGTGTCATCTTGGTTTAAAACAAATCTTTCTCAACTGATTTACAAGGAATGAACACAGTATATACAAGCTAGCTATGATGTCATGGATGCTTTTGTTAATACCATGGGGTCTTACTTAAATATCTTTTCTTTTTACTTAAAATAATCTCACGGTTTATATACATATACAACAGCGGATCTTGATTTCAGCTCAAAGACTATATAATCCAGCAATCACTAATCTGCTATTAAAAATTTCCACTTCATATCCTGCCATGATTTTTACCTGCATCCACCCAAACTTTTTTGCAGCTGACTCTACTAATGATTCCTTCCATTAATATTGCTTTTAATTTGCTTTAAAAACAGGATCTTCATAAATTAAATTATTACTTCTTAACAAATCAACTCTGTAAGAGATTAATTAATATACAAGTACTTAAGTGTAAGGAAATTAAATTTTCTGTCTTTCAACAGGAGATGGAACATGCAAGACAGAGGAAATCGTCACGGGAGGGGTGGGTGGAAGAAAGGTGTCTTGGTACTGGGACCTTTGGAACTGTTATGCTTTTTGAGAATAAGGTATCCTTATTAACTCTCTACACTCCTCTATCAGTATATAAATTCTCTATTCTGTTCTCTATACATTTCCTATGGCACTGACTGGGAGAATTATTGATTGATCAAGAGTTTCTTGAGTTGTTGATCATTTCCTTTATTGTCATGACCTTATTGTTTGAGTCAGCAGTGAGAGTGTCAGGAGAAATTAGAAGCCAATCACTCTTAGGGGTTAAAGATTTAAAACACCATGGCAGACATTTTAATTTCCGAAGTTTTCCAAATATCTGGGAGTTTTTACTTTCTTTCTCTTATATGTATTAAATTTTGTCTAACAAAAATTTGACTCATAAAGAGTATTTCAAACCAATATTTTACATGAAATGTTAAAGTACAGTTTAAATCACTGATAGCATTTGAAAGGTGGGTAATTTTGAGCTCTGCATATGTCCTTGAATCAAGAAAGAGGTAACTTTTGCCTCTGTCTCAGTTACACAATGTGGGACCAAAGCAAAGATAGCTTCTTTTGTTGGTGATCATTTTCTGTTTTATTTTCACCTCATGTTTGATTCAGGAGTGATATAATGTAAGGAGAAAGTAGATGCCAGTTATAGGTCAAAGGTTTAAGGTAAATTGCAGTTTGCATGACATTTTTTATAGATTTCAAAGGAACAAATAGCCTTGAAGAAATGCCGCTTGACATTGAATCCTCAAAATGAGAAACTATGGCAGCAGGAAATTGACATCATGAAGAGGCTTCATCACCCCAACCTGGTAGCAGCTATTGAAGTTCCACCACCACTGAATGTCAGTGTGAATGAGCTTCCTCTCCTAGCCATGGAATTCTGTTCTGGAGGAGATTTGAGAAAGGTGCACTTAAAAATATTTAAAATTATTCAAATTATGTAATTAATTTTTAAGAATTAGTCAGTATTACAGTATTTGGGAAATTGAGCTGGTGGGACCCAGTAGAATGCCTTGGAATCCCCAGGCACCTGCTTTCCATTAAAGGTTTGCAATGGTTAAAGAGTTGAAAAATGATTGTATAGTTTTTATTTTATTGTTACTTGATTTTAACTGTTAAAAAACATTATTGGCTTTCATGAGTAATGAAATGTTCAATAAATCTTTATGCTTATACAGGTACTGAATTCCCCAGAGAGCTGCTCTGGGCTGAAGGAAAAGACTGTTCTGAAGATTGCTTTAGATGTTGGTGAGAAATTTTTGAAACTAAGAGTGATTTTGAAAAGCCTATTAATTACTAGGAGCATGGTTATATTAACAGTGCTTTTGGTAAGTTTTGAGGTAAGATGAGGCTAGAAAGGTTTAACCAAGATGGCCACAGAAACATATGTTAGATGGGTGAGCCTGAAAGGGGTTCTAGGAGAAAGCATCTCCAGAAAATTGTGAAAAATGTCACATTTGATTGTTATGAGCAAGCTGTACATTACAACAGATTCAACTAATGTGGTTAGGTATGCAATTAAAACAGTGCTGTTGATGTTGTTGTTGTTTTTTTTTTTGAAAAGCGGCTGCAGTTGAATTTCTTCACGGTCATCGCATTATACACAGAGACATCAAACCTGAGAACATTGTGATAAGTCATGCACAAAGTAAGGTAAGAAGAAATTGAGCACATTAATGTGGAATTATGCAAGACATGGATTATTACAATAAAGCCTGCTTTATTGTAATTCTTTGATCAGAGGCAAACTTGTAGACAGATTAATATTGACATTGCAAGATTCTGGAATAGCATTCCATTTGTATCCCGGAGACCTTTACTTTTACCCAACTGCTCTCCCACTGTAGAATGATGCTCCTTGTTTTCTACAATTGTAGAAAATAGGATGGGGGAAGAGGGTTATCGGAGCAAACTGGTCTTTAATGTATTTTTCATTAATTTCTAATTAAGACCTTAAAAGTGGGGACATGGATTCTATGCATCAACTAATTTTTTTGCCCATTGGTAGCTTAGCTGCATAAAAAACTGTGCTTGCCTTGAAAATCTCAGTCATCTAGTCAAAATATTGGTAATTTTGCTTTGACCAGTGGAAGAGGTAGTGTCTCAATGGCTAGACCAAAAGTCATGGTTTAAAATGTGGGGGTTCATTGTGTTATGTTCCTTTATTTTTGAAACTTAAACATTTTACATTTATAGTGCAGTTTACCATTGTTATTTGTAATTTTTTTTTTTCACTTCACCCCCTTCCAGGTAGTTTACAAAATTATAGACCTTGGCTATGCTAAGCAATTGGATCAAGAAAGTCTGGCTACTACTTTTGTGGGAACTCTTAAATATGTGGTGGGTATATACTACTTTTACAAACTGTTTGAGGTTGGTTTTGTTAGTTACAGAACAAGTTTCTTTTACTTGGATTTATGGCCCATTACTTTCAATACAGATGGAGAAATCTGCTATTTATATGCCATTTTAAAAGAAGTTGTTAGTTTGGACCAATTTTGATTATTTTGTTCTTTTCATAGGCCCCTGAACTTCTTGGTAGAGTCAAATACACAAAAACAGTAAGGGCACTAATTAACCTACACAGTTATTATTAATAATTAGTGTTTGAATGGTTTAGAAAGTTTTTTCCAGCAACAACCATTTGATTTACTTTTTATGAACCTCTGAATTTTTTTTTTGACTCCACCCATTTAGTTACACTGTGTACACTGCAATGACCCCTTCTCCACAATAGCTGCTGATAGTGTGCCACAACTACCAATGTAAAAATTAAACCTCTTAACCTCCTCTGATGTCCAGTTAACCATCAACTCATGAACAGTGTAAAATACCTGACAACTCATTCATGCTGTCAATCCTTGACAGCTTTATTTCCCTGAAGAAAGCATAAATAATATATAAATCTATATTACCAACAAGCAATATACTTCTTGTACCTGTACGTTCACAATCTTTGTTTAAGTTATTTGCCTATTAAATCCTTAAAAATGTACATAAGGGTTTTGTTTTTCATCATGACTGGTACTATTTGATTTACAGGTAGATTATTGGAGCTTTGGTACAGTGTTGTTTGAATGCATCACAGGACTGCGACCTTTCTTGTCAGAACTGAGCTCTCCAGTCCAGTGGTATGAATAGTTGGAAATATGAAAGTTACTTTCATTTATTTAAAAGTTACATGCAAGTTTATTCAACTGACACATCTCGCAGATTTTCGTCTGGTTGTAATTCTCCCAATTCTGATAATTGTTATATTATTGGTAATGAATCAACTTTAAACCCTTGGTCAGAGATAATCAATAAACATGTATGTAACTTTGCCTTACACTATCATTTCTGATTTTACCTTTTTTTTCACTTTATTTAATCACAGGCAATTTATTAGCTATTTACAAAGGATTAAAAACTGTTAACTAATAATTACATTAATCACACTATTAATTTCACTATATTGCTGTTTTCCATGAATGCTGTGCCTTAGAGAGAGCTTTTTTGATTTCTTGTTTGAACAACGCGAGGTTATTAGCTAGTAATCTCATAATCATCCTGTGAGAATAGTTAATAAACTTGTCAGCCTGTGGGTACTAACTTAACATAAACTATAATTAAGTTTTGTCAATTTATTTACAAGGAAATTGTCAGTTACAGGAAGGTAGAATTTCAAATCTTATTGTATTATTTTATGGGTTAAAAGATAGCCTCAATAAAATTCCATTTTCTTTGCTTGTTCTCATTAGGTACCAAGAACTTAATGGCAAAGGACCAGATGACATTTGTGCTTTTGTTGATTTGCAAGGTAGTTAAAACCCTTTAACTCCCAGATCAAATTTGTAATTCTCTTTACTGCCAACCATACAATTTCTATAAAGTTAGCTCAGAGAATTTAGTATTGGATTAACTAATTATCCCTAAATTGATATTTTTCTTTATTCTCATCACTTATTTGGTTTATATTGTATTGATGTTGTAAGGAGAAATTCTGTCTTGGTCACTCATGAGAGTTAAAGGGTTAATATAAGTTAAGACAGTACCTAGCTTTCCATCTGTTCATTATTACTTTTTCTTTGTATAACAAAGCTTTTATCAGTAAGGTTTTAATTGGTGAAATGACTTCTTCTCAATGCCACAGCAGATAGATTTTAACCCCTAGTGTGATAAGATTGATAATTGCAGTTACTGTAAAATTTTGACAAAAGTAAGTCTCAGTTACTCAAATTTCTAATGTACTGTGGTCTTCCAAAAATTTTATGGCACCTTGACAAGTCTTACCTGGTGTGAAACTAGAATCATGTAGTTATAAGTACTTGACAGGTTAAACTATGGTATTTTATGGTGACTGTGATAATTTTATTTCAGGGGAAGTACAATTTAACTCTGTGCTACCAACTCCCAATGCTCTCTGCAGGTGTGTAACCTATATCAGTTTGGGTAATCGATATAATGAACATCATGTAGCGTTCATCTCAGGCCAAAGTCTGGTGTTATCGTAAGGGGCTGTAAAGGGGCAAAGTGTGACTTCAGTTCTCAATAATTTTTAAGCACAGGAAATGCTCCCAAAACAAGCTGTAGTGTGGTAGATAATGGGGAGAAGAAGAGAAAGAGGAACTGGTTTTTCTTGTGACGCTATTATTTTCCAAACGTTAACTCAAAGGAGAAAATTATAGCGGTATGTTTTAAGATTTCCGGGAATTTGTATGCTACAGTGTAAGGGGAAAAAGAACTGGGAAAAAAGTACGGCTTTGTGGTAGCTTCATTGGAAAGTATTACAATTCTCATACGCATTGGTACGAAAACTTGTGATGAAGCTGAGCAATTTAAGTTGCATTGTTTTAATTTGTTCCTCTTGCAGACCTCTTCAGGACAAGTTTGTAGCGCTTTTGCGGCTGTTGTTGTTATGGGATCCCACGGCACGTGGGGGATCAAAGCTTGAAAGTGGAAAAATTGAGTGTTTTGATATGCTGGAAAGAATCATCAGTACTGTGGTAAATGAAAATTTTGTTACGACACTGTTTTTTAAATCTGTTGGCTTAAATTAATTTTACTTTTTGGTGGTTTTTTTTTTTCAGGTAGTACATGTGTTCGTAATTCATTCAAGCATAGTACATTCATTTGAAGTGTTCCCAACTGAAACGTAAGTGTGATGAGCTCAACGCTCTAAGTTGATCCTCGTCTTCAGTACGTCAATTATGTTTATCAAATAGTTTCCATATTGCTGTGGGTCTGTCCAGTGAAACATCACAGATAAAGTCAAATGTGGTGAGAACAAAAGCGTGGCACAGAGGCGCAACTGAGTGTGTCACCGACGTACTCACCACATTTTAACGTCTTCCGTGATCTATTACTGAACAGAAACACGGCAACAATGAATCTATTTTGTACCAAATGATGACAAAGCAAAATTTTTTGACGATGGTGACGTCATCTATGTGACGTCATAAAGCCATTACATCATAATTAAGAACCAATCAAAGTGCGTACGTAATTTAGCTTTACATAACAACCCTTTACACCCTGACATCAGTATGCATATTCTCACTGCTGTTCTCTATACATTTCCTATGGTGCTAACAAGGAGAATTTGTTTAGCAACCAAGAGTTTCTCTAGTTGGTGATAATTTCCTTTATTCTCGTGACCTTAAAGCGTGATACAGGGGTGATATTGTAAGGAGAAATTAGATGCTAGTCACTCTTAGGGGCCAAAGGGCTAAGTATTAGAAACATCGTGGTCGCCTTTGAGTCCTTTAGATGATGAAATCTTGAATGATTCAATTTGGGAAGTAGAGAAGGTGCAGTGTTGGAATCCTCCTCTCTTCCAACTGTTGGGTTCGATGCCCGCCTAAAAGATATGCTTTGTGTGGGCCGGGAAAACTCGTGTAGCACATGTGAACTTTCCTTTTTCACTAAATCACAGTGTAGAGGATCTACAAGTAAAGTTATGCGAGGAAACTGGGGTGGAAGTAAAAGAGCAAGAATTGATGATGGTGTCAGGACAAACACTTGAGCCAAAGACCCTGGTCATGGACTGCATCAAACATGATATCGTAAGACTTACAAGCTGTATTTTGTAATCCGTGTCTTGAGTTTTGTTTATAAAATAATTTCTAGTTGATCTGGTGGATAAATTTTAAGATTTTGTGTCAATCGTTTCAATATTCCTCTTGAATGTCAGACAGTCATTAAATGTGTTGAAAAAAAAAAGATAAGGAACAATGTTTATAAACCTGTAGGAAAAGTAGTAAGCTTTTAGCTAAAAGAGAAAATGTAAATGTTAAAAATCTAGGAACTTAGTTATAAGAAATGCCAAAATTTAGTTCGTAAGAGTGATAATAAATTGGTTTTCTCGAGATATTAACTCACAACGCTAAGTGTAGTCACAATCTTTTGAATTATCTTAAATTTTTCAAGTCAATGTAGGTACTGTGTAGACACTCTCCCTCCCCTCTAACACTGGGGTATAAATAGGACTGTTTTGTTCCTAGAAATAAAACAAAGAACTTACATTGGGTGTTGCTTGTGTTGTTTTTTCGCAGATGGGAGAAGATAATGTTTTGTACCTTTTACCGAAAAATAACGAGCCAGCAACCAAACGTCAACTATACACCTTACCGCCTTCAGTACAAGGAATGGGTAAGAGTTTGCTTATGAGAGCAATCAGCTTATTTATACTGAGAAGGTAGGAATAGAGAGGGCAGCTTTGTTGAGTGAGGTAAGAACGTCAGGTTTACAAACCGAAGGTCCCGGGTTCGAGTCCCGTTCTGACCACCAAGCCCCAAAGGTTGGATAACGGTATTCACTGAATAAATCCCCATCTCATGGATAGCGTGGTAGTTTTTGTTATCAATTTTCCGCTGGAGAGCGATTTATCCGTAGGATAGCGTTATCCGCATTTTGAACAACTGAGCCTAGATGGATTTGTTTCTCGGTAGAGCTGGAATAAATTTCTTTACCGCGCTTCTAAACAGGCAACTAGTTTTGATTGTGGCAGTTGGAGTTGTCAGCATCTTATTTTTGATTTTGATTGTTTGTATTAGTTTATTTGTCATCATTATCATTATTTTTGGCTTAGGTGCTTGAAACGAAAACCAGATGAGTAGAACATTTCAGATAACGGTTTGATTTTCATCTTATCTTGTTGCTCTTTTTCAGTCACCGAACAAAAATCATTGATGGCTTACGAGGTAAATTACTCAACTCCCCTCAGAATATAGCAGTTCATGTTAGGTTCTCTTACTCCGATGTCATGCAATTTTGTACTCTGTATTCTTAAAACTTAAATAAATTTTTTTTTCAGGAATTAAAAAAGGCTTTAGCTCAAGGGGTGCACTTTTGTCGTGAGCAGATCAAGATAAATCAGCGGCTGATTGACGGTGTCAGAGCTGCCCAGTGAGTTATAAACGTGCACATATTTTAACTTTACACGAAAGAATGGTCTGTTTGGCTTGTCGGTGCACAGTTTTGAAATCGCTCCAGAGTTAGGTGGGAAAAACTTTGTAAGATGTAACCGGGCGTCTTGAACGAACGAACAGGCTCGCATAGTTCGAGCGGTCATGCGCTACGAGGCAGTTTGTAATTTTCGTCGTTTCACTTCTACTCACTGTCCAATTTAAACAGACACTGGGCAAAATTGGATTTTAGTTGTCAAACAGCCGATGGGGAGATAGATACACCTTTAGACAACCTATTAGGGACATATAGAAATATCACCCAGTGTTTTGTTTATCATCTTATGCTTCTTAGGACAGAACTCTTTTTGGGGGAATACTTATAGTCAATGATTCTGTTATGCATCTATTTGTGAACGATTTCGACTTCTCTTTCAGGATTTCACTGTTAGTTCTAAATACCAAACTTGGACAACTCAAGACTGAGCTTCTAGCTGAGTACGATAAACTGAAGGCAAAAATTGAATTCTTCAACTCAAGGTAACTCAACCGTAGTGAGTTGAAATTGTGTAAAAGTATTGTTTGTTAATCAGTACTTTTATTACTTTTAATGTAATCATGAATTGGTTTATTCTTTAGTTTGGAGACAGATCTAGAGAACTACGCCGACAATGCCAGTCTCATGAAAAGTGAGTTGAATTACATTAAACTCCGTGTTGTTGTGATGGTGGTGAAATTAAACCGTCGAAGATCTTTTCTTTAATAAAATATAAAAGATGAAAAGTAATGGACGCTATTTTTGTTTTGCAGATGACAAACTGTTAAGAAACTGGAAACGGGCGCAGAAAAAAGCGGAATCATTCTATAATGTGAGAGGAATTATAAAACTTACCGTATAAACAGTAATTAAATTAACAGTAATAAACTCTTCCAAGTTAATCGCTCAGGATGGATCGTTCTTATGTTGAACGGTACATTACTGCCTCGTTCCTTCAATTAATGGAAACTATTTAGTAAACCTCCTTAAGATGAAGAGTTTGGTATCCTCGATGTGGAAAGCAGACGAAAATTTACCAGGAATTTAGAAACCAATCCCCCTTCTAGCCCCAGTTCGCGTGGCTATCCACATGAGTTCGAAAGCCGCGCGGATTGGGGCTAGGAAGGGGATTGGTTTCTAGCAGGGAGATTCGCATTATTCCAACACTGGAGAGTACACCGAACACCCTTGTTGTTGAAGTCCTTTTTTAAGTATTTAAGGGCAGGTGGATAGTATATTTCTAGAGTGTTGTTCCTTTTTTGGCTTTAATAGACCATTTTTGCCACTCATACAAATGCTAGTTTGATTTCTTTCAGAATGATGTAACACAACTTAGAGATTTAACAGCAGCTCTACAGAATAAAGTGGTTGAGTTGCAAAAGGCGACATGTTCAAATGCCGTGCAATCTTCTATGAAAATTGATCAACTTAGGTGAAAACCTCTTTTTTTTCAAGCATTTGATGTAATTCTTGCTTTTTCTTCTTTGTTGGTATAACATGCTTCTGATGTTCAATTATCACAACACCGTTTTTCCACTGGTTTCCCACTTTCTTGCAGAAAAAAATCGCATGATATTTGGCTGATTAATATACATATATTTGGTCAGAATATGCTCCAAACTTGTCGGTACTCTTAGACATTATCTTTTACCGAAACATACTTTTCGCGACGTTAGACCAAAGCTGGTTTTGGCCAAATTGGAGTTAAAATCTTCAGACAGCAATTGATGTATGACTACCTGGATTCTGTTACAATACACTGGAGTAGCAGGTGGCCTGGATTCAGATTAAACAAAGAGTAGGACTGGCTTTAGGTTTTTAGGTTTAATCATTCTAGCGCGGTTTCTGTTTGAAAACTTGGTCCCATACGTTTTTCTTTGGTCACAGGTATGATCGTGCTGTTCAGCTGTATGAGAACCTCAGACAAAGTAAGTGACGATTTGCCTCTTTCATGTTGCAATGAAACCGGTCTCTTATCTCGGCTCACTCCAAGTGGATCGTCGGCGCTAACGACGAGCCAGTGTTCGTCTGTACAAGAGTTTTCTAATGTTACCCAAGATAACACTTCTTGTTGTGTTTTAAGGCGACAGACGACCTGCAGATTGTGAAAACATGGCCACAGTAATTCTACAGATCCTTGCACAAAGAGAAAAACTCCATAGGGAGATTTTGTCCAATTTAAGGTAAGAGAATTTTGTAATTAGGAGAATATGTCAAATTGTTCGTCAAAATGCGATTTAGTGCCGTAGCATCCGGCTTGTGCACGGAAGGTCATTACTTTGATTCTAGTCAAGGACGCAGGACTCATAGATAATCCACTTCTAGGAAGTTCATATTTGGAAGGCCGTGAAATTATTCAATTCTATGTTCTTTTTTTGATGTTGTCCCCAATTTTCTTTAGTGAAGTGATGGCTTGTAGAAGAGACATGCGCAGACTGATGCAACGTCTTCTTCAAGTCAAATCAAAAATTATTACCAGAGCGGAGGATCTAAAAGAGGTTAGTTTAGAGAGAAGTTGTTTTCAATTAAGAGCTGTAAATAATCCGAAATTGCTTTTATTTCTCAGTGTGATTGGTCCAGAGACTAGCACCTTCCTTTCAAACAATCACATTCTAAGCTACAGCCAATTGCGGTATAATCACTCAAGTTTTCCCGCGCTTCACGCAGTTTGCTTGTTTTACACAATATCGTTGCACCCTCCATCTGTAGCTGTTAAGTATAAACCCGTTAACAGGCAATTAAGCAATTTCTAAGCCGATAATAAATTATGTGTATACAGAAGGCAATAGAAAATTGATGTTATCATCTAACTGGGGTTAAAATCCTGGAGACTGCGATTTTTTACTTTACTCTATTGATTGCTTTTGATTATTTGTTCTCCAGATGCAAAAACAGAGACAAGTTGATCTTTGGAGGCTTCTCCAGGCAAAGGTTGTTCTTAAATTATTTTTTATTATTTTTTAAAATGAAGTATCAAAGATAGCATTAATTTTCCACTTGTACGAAAGTTAACTCGCCTCCCTGTATTGATTGAATTGGACGAGACACTTGACCTAGGTTTTGCAGCGTGCTCTCATGCATTGGGATACCCTCCCTCAATAATGAACGAGTTTAAAACTAATTGACTAGTTTTCTTTTTTTCCCCCTGATTTCAGAGACGAAGAGAAGAGGATCGACGCCGTTCGATGAGCAGTTCATATTCATCTTTCTCTTCGATTGCAGCTTCAAGGTCTTTGCTACATCATCAGCATAATTGATTTAAATTTTTCTGTATCATCTCCGTTTTTCTCTCTTCTAGATAAACATCGATGCCTTCTGTTGATATTGCTGCTTTTTCTATTCCACACTTACCTAGCCATACCAGAGTCAAAATCAGTAGAGTCAAAAGTACTTATTTTTCATAATTTTTCTTGTCTTCGTAGTTCCAGTACACAATCCATTGTTCTAATAGAGGAGAGTTCAAAGAATTTTGAAAAGTAAGTCCAAAAGTGGTCGTGCGATGTTATGCGACCTATAATAATGTGTATGGAATAGCGAAGTGAGTCGATTTTCAGTTGCACCTGATTGGCCGATAGCATCGAAACTTCACGCTGATTGGTTCAAAGTTGCAGTTGCACCTGATTGGTCGATAGCATCGAAACTTCACTCTGATTGGTTCAAAGTTGCTACCCCTTTTCTAGCCCAATACTAACCGTAACTTGTGGTCAGTTGACAATTGTTTGGTTAGGGGAGGGATAGGTTCTCAGATACTGACATTGATCCAATGCCCCTATACTTCTCTGTATTTTTCATTCACGTAATTGTTTACCCAACTTCCGTGCCTTGCAGATTGGCTGGACTATTAAACACATTGAAGAATGATCAGATGAATGATTCAGAGGTAAACTTTTGATTTTGATCACGTCAACTGTGTTCTTTTGTATTGCGCTTATACTGACCGTGATATATGCAAGAATGGAACGAAATCCACAAGTAACTTAACACGCAAACTTTCATAATATCCGGAAAACTGGCAGTTTCCAACCTACGGCCTCGACCCATTCCCTTTACGTCGCTGTTACCACGGTCGTTGTCATATCATAAGTCTCTTTCAACAATGAAGCAAAGAGCTGAAGAAAAAAAACTGAATTTAAATTTGTCATTACGTACGCTCTGCGGCCTTGAACTTGTGTGACTCCTGGGAGGATTGGTTTTTAGTATAGGTAATCACTCGATTGTTAGTACACTTTGTTATAAATAGGGACGAGTTACGTTTTCAAAAGAATAAAATTGCGCGAACCCGTCGAGGCTTTTATTCAAAATGCTCCTCCTCCTTCAAAGGCCAACTGAAGAAGTGAGTCACTGGGACTTGAAATTTCTGAGTCATAAACTCCCAAGACTGACTACCATCTAATTTGTCTAGACAGCATCGCTACAAAATTTAAGATCATGAGAGTAAAGGAAATGAGCTCTTCTCCTTGTCAGCACAATAGGAAATTTATAAATAACAGTATGGAGAATGTGCATATTGATGCAAAGGTTTAAAGGGAGAAGGGTTTATGTGATGATGAAGTTATGGAAATTTACCTCAGTTTCTGGTTTTTTTTTCTGTTTTTGTTTTAGATTTTCGATTGGGAATTCCTGGAGGAAGAAAGTGATTCACCACAAAAAAAAACTGTGTGAAGTATGTCGGCGATTTGTAGTGTCTTAAAAAGTGACTGCTGATTGATTTTCAAAAATTACAATGTGAGAAGTATGCACCACAATTTTCGGAGTATTAAGCGGACTTATGTACAAACCATTTGCCGAAATAAAAGAAATGGGGGTGATAGTTTTCAGCACTTTCTTGTTAATAACAAGGTTTTTAGCTTCTTTATAATGGACTTTTGTGAAACACCATCCAATGGTTGTTTCGTAAATGCTGTTTGCGGGGGTTTTACTCGGCGATTTTTTTAACTGTGTATAGCGTCGTAAGTATCTTGATGCAATAAAATTGCTTTTATGCAGAACTTGCTGTGTCCTCTTGATTTGTGTTTTCATTGTCAAATAGATTAGTAGTTGCTAACGTTTGCCTCATTTTGGCAACAAGGCGAACATCTTGAAGTGTGCTGCCTCAATTAGCAGACACAAACGTAACCCACCCATTAATTTACGCGTGACTCCATTAGTTACTTAGCATCACGTGGGACAAAATCACCGGACAGTTATCACGCGATAGAGTGTCCTCCGTTTATTTCCATCGAAAAGATACAAAGCCAGCGAAAAAAAAGCCAGCGCAAGAGTTTTACTTTTCATTATTCTTATTACTTTCCTTGGAAGAAAAACGAATTAGTTATGTAGAGTCCACCGGTAATGACATTAAAAAGCTTATCTCAAATGCTGCTCCGGAAAGTACAAAAGTGTTAAAAAGCGTCATATTATCTTTTTTTCTCTTTTCTACCATTCGTGATTTCATATTTGGATTGCAACAATTATAGAGGTCAATTTGATTCGTCGTCCTTTCATATGTACCATAAAATGCCAGAATTTAGGGCATACCGGTTGGCACAGTATAAATAACAATCTGATGAGCTGAAAACCGCCCCCAAAGCGGCTAACCTCTCATCTTGAAATCTTATTTTTGAGAGCACAGCAGAAAGAAAGGAAGAGAAACTTTTTTGCTTTCTAACTTTTCTTTGTTTGAACACTGAATTGATTTGTAAAAATTGAAAGTCTTAAGAGCGAAGAAAACGAAAAAGCAAAACAAAAGTGTAGATTTTGCATTGGTTTTTGACGCGTGTAGGATTATGTCGGACATTTCGCTAAATGTGTAAGCATACAAACGATCGAGTGGGACAATTATTTTCAATAACAGTCCCACTCGAGTTTGCCCGCGTCAGCTCGTGCGACATATATGACGTATCAAAAAGTATAAAAAGTGACCAAGAGTGCAGCAGGTATCAAAACATCAAGATGGCGGACGAGCGCAATCCAGCCGAGAGAGTGCGGAGACTTGTCCAATACGCTGGGCAAGTTGAGGTTGATAATAGCATAGCACCTAAGAAATACTTCAGATCTGGTGTAGAAATGGAGCGAATGGTAAGAATTATTTGCCAGGTGATGGGATACGAAATGGCTTGCATTGATGTTTGTTGCAACAATTTTTTTTATCAACAGTCTCATCTTGGCGTACTCTGTGGTTGCTTCTTTTTTATCATGCATCATAGCCTCTGTATCTATTTTTCTTCGAAACGAATTAGCCTTGTATGATTAATTGCAAATAATAATAGCTTCCGATTTTTCTTTCTGATCGGCCGCCAAATCTTGCGAAATAAAGCCTTACAGTAACTTGCATTATGTCATTTGCTAAATAAAGAATTGACGCAAGCTTCGTGGAAAGCTGCTTAAGGCATTGTCATTTTAGCACAAATTTATCTTTTATTTGATGGCTTATTACCCTCAGAAGACTCTCAAGTCCATAATAAAACTTATGGGTTTAATTCAGTCATACACACTTGTGATTGTTGTTGTTGCTGTTCATGTGGCCTTTCTTAAATTTTCTAACATCTCATAGGCAAGAATATATCATGATGAAGGGAATCTGGAAAGTGCATTTGTTTTGTATTCAAAATTCATCACGTAAGTACATGATTAATACCCTTGGAAAGAACACATTTATTTAATTCTTCAATTTCCTCTTAAAATCTTGCTGCTGACAAAATTGAACCCTAACATGATAAAGGAAATAGGGAAGTGGCTTTAAGCATGATGTAAGCCAAGCCCAGAGACCAGGTACTTACAGTTAGGTCATTTTAGTTCCTGTAGCACAGAGAGAATAGGAGATTTTCCATTCTTATTGAATGGGATACTGCTCTACAAGGGGTGATCACTGACAGTTGAGTGGCACCTTAACCCCTTACACTCTACCATTAGTACGCATATTCTCCATACTGCTCTCTATAATTTTACTATACATTTCCTAAGGTGCTGACAAGGAGAATTTTTTAAACAATCAAGAGATTCTCTAGTTAGTGATCACTCCCTTTGTTATCGTGGCCTTAATGTTTGATTCAAGGGTGACATGGAAATTAGATGCTGATCACTCCTAGAAGTTAAAAGGGTTAATATATAGTTCTAGGTGGAGTGGGACTGCGAGAGTTAAGTGTGTTGTCCTGAACACAAGGAGTACAAGAAAGCTGCCATTTATTTACCTTTCCACACAAAAGTGATAATTGCTATCAATGAGAATGGTCTTGTGTAATGTTAAGTGTCCTGTACAGGGATTGTTAATTGTGGATCTCTATTTGGTATTAGATTGTTTGTGGAAAAACTTCCTTCGCATCCAGAATATGCCAAGGCAGCACCAGGAGACAAAGCAACAAATAAGAAGGTATATAACACTTTCAATAAAACCCATTGATACCTGAGCACTTTAAAAAAAGACAGACAAAGACAGACAAAGAGTATCACAGTGAAAGGAGTGAATCTAAGGGTATGGCTTATTGTGTTAAGAATTGCATCTTGGTGTAACATTGATAATTTGTAGTACCATACATTTCCATGATTACACATATGTACAGGCAGTATCCACTCTGTCATGCTTGATAATCCCTTTGTTCAAATGGTACCTTATATATTTTTAACTCATCATAACACCATGCAGTCACCATGCTTAAAAACTAATCATAGTTTGAAATTAAATAATGATACACTATTCAGCAATTGGACATAATGTATGATCACCAAACATGTATGAAATTTCAAAATCTCTTCCTGCTTGGTTTGTGATGTAGAAGTTGAATCTCCATGAAATTATGATTGTGAGTGCTTAGTGACATGATTGTATGATTGTCATATTCAGAGCCTCAGAAGAGTATTTGGTGAAGCTGAGGAATTAAAAGGAATTTTGAAGGGAAAGTATCAGAAGGAATATGAACAGTTAATGGTTGAAGAGGCTAGAAAGGTGAGGAAAAAAATATCTGTTCTTTCATGTAGTTCCTCTTTCTAATATTATCATTAGAATTGTTGTCATTTTGTTTGGCTTGTTAAATTTATTTTGAAATTGTATTAACCCTTTAATTCCTATGAGTGACCAAGAGAGAATTTCTCCTTACAATATCAATACAATATCAACTAGATAAGTGATGAGAATAAAGAAAAATATCAACTTGGTGATAATTAGTTGATTCAATACTAAATTCGCTGAACTAACATTATAAGAATTGTATGGTTGATGGTGAGAAGAATTACAAATTTGATCTGGGAGTTAAAAGGTTGACGTAACAATCCACACAAAAGAAAAATTCATAATACTGTGACCAGTTATCAGGAGAACTAGTAATATTGTGGAAGAAAAAAAAATACTATGGTTTCAAGGGTGCATAATTACCTGTTAGTATTGTTTATGTCATATTGAACAGCTAGAATTCTTTTGTATCATGCAAATGCATTTCTTTCTGTTTAAAGAAAGAAGAGGAAGAAACCAAAAGAAAAGAGTTTGAGAAAAGGGAAGCTGAAGAAAAAGCACAAAAAGCACAGGCAGCCCAGCAAATAGCACCACAGCATAACAACACATCAAGGCCTCATACAGAGACCCCAAGTGTTACTCCGAGTGCACCGCCACTGATTGAGGATTACCTTGCCCCACCCACCTCCTATCAGGAGTCATCTGGCAGTCCAAATTCAATAGTGGGTAATAATCAGCGTGAACATGGCACCCCTAGTGACAACAATCAAACGCATAGCACAATGCCACCGCCACCTAGCTACTCATCACTCTTCTCTGTACAAACACCAAGGTATGAGAAAAGGATTATAGTGTTTCTCTTAAATTGTTCAGGCTAAAATTACCATACAATTATGTAGATATTTATGAGGCAAGATGGCTAAAGGTTGTTGTTTTTTAAAACTGTTCAGGCTTAAGTTACCACACAATTATGTAGATATTTATGAGTCAAGATGGCAAAGGATTGTTGTGTTTTTGTAAATTGTAAGACTTAAGTTATCATCTACATGTAATTCAAATAATTTTGAAGCAAGACCAAATAGTACAGTATATGGCTTTTTTTCACAAATCTCACTTACCCTTACCAACTTAATAATTATGCAAGTAATAGTTGTTGTGGTTAGATAATTTTGCATTGAATATTCCATCTGTAGTGTCCCAACAATTGACAGGTCCACCAAACCAGTCATGTCTGCAGGTTAGTTAAACTGTCTGACTACCTTTGTTCAGGAAAACCATAATTTTGGTGATAAAAATAACTCTAACTGCACTAATTCAAGGTGCCTAACATGTAGTAATCATCCAATGGCCAAGAGCTGACAATTTTGTAACTTGCTGATTCTCTCTTGATTTGTGTTAAGATGCGTCGTCAAGTGGTCTCAGAAAAATGCATGTTCCAGCGGAACTCATCAGTCAGTTCCTACGTCTGGCATCTAGCAATACAAGAAAAAACCTTGAAACCTGTGGCATTCTAGCAGGCCGACTTGTGAGTACAACTTTTCTTCAAAAGCCTTCAAGCCTGTAATTTTCAGGAACTTTGAAAGATTTCCACAAACTCCTAAGCCATGATTTATGGATATACTTTCCCATACTTCCTATAAACAGCTGCAGTTGTTCTGCTAGTCAATATTATCTGGGAGCAGGTTCTTATTGGTGCTGTGACACATTTAAGCCCAGCACCTGCTAAGACTCTTACCCAGTCATCTCTTTCAATGATGATTATGGAGTCTTTTAAGTATTTGCAATGTCTGCTGTTACTCAGCACCTTGAAAGATCAAACTCCAGTATCTCAGATTTCAAAATTTTCAATGATAACACCCTAACCTTAAATTCTGGTGAGAGACCACATCAGAATTTTTCCTTACGATTTTCATACCATATCAAGCAGACAAACGATGAGAATAAAGAAAATCAGACAATAATTAGTTGATCCAATATCAACTCCTCCAAACTAACATCATAAGAATTATGTGGAACACAGTTAGGAGAATTACCAATGAGATCTTAGGAGTAAACTTGGGTTAAGCTGAACCAATCATTTGTAAAACGCTTCACCAACACCTTACCAAATAAAAGCCCTCTCGTTAGTTTTTATTATAAAATTTATATAATTCTACTCAATTAATGTAAAACTGTATCTTGTCTCATTTTATTTGTACAGCAAAGCAACATGTTCTGCATTACTCATTTGTTGATCCCCAAGCAAACCTCAACATCAGATTCCTGCACAACTCTGAATGAGGAGGATCTGTTTGATTATCAAGATTCTCACAATCTAATTACATTGGGTTGGATACATGTAAGTTGCCATCTAATGTAGGAGGTTACATGTACCTTCTTGCATCTCTTCTCACTTTTGTCAATAATGCAAGAAACACAGAGTTACAGAGTGGGAAGGACATGGAAGGGTTAAGGATATCCATCTTTTCGTTCTGTGTTCACCCTACCCATGTCCTTTACTTTTAACTCTACCATCCTGATCTATTTTTTACAAAAGCCTGCAGATTAAACAATTAACAATTGGTTCATACATCAGCGTGCGTTCATCAAGATATGAAGCACACGCAAAGTTTGGAGAGCATGAAAGATGTGTAAGAGTTGCTCGAGGTGTAGCCAAGAGCAACTCTAGCTACTTGAGTGCTCTCCAAGCTTCCCAAGTGCTTCATATCTCGATGAAAGCACAGATGACGAATGAACCAATTGTTTTATAACATTTTCAACCCCATGGAAAATTTATTTTCTCAAGGGATTTGTTTGCTGACTTCATGAGTGTGCACAATAGGAATATGAAGCACGCTCGTGCAATTGAATTTGATTAGACAAATTTACCAGCTATGTTGTAATATAGATTAGCAAAGTTTCATATTGTATGATTTCCTTCTGGCTGTCAACCCCCTTAAACAATCTTCTCTCTCTTCTGTATCACCTCCTCCCTAAGCCTCCCTTCATGTAATGAATGAATCACTAGATGACAGGTTAATTTAGGTGGAAAACTTAACTTTATATTTAATTGACTACCACAAGTACCTAATCATTTTAAAATCTGATTCATGAACCAGACACACCCATCACAGACAAGCTTCATGTCCAGTGTTGATCTTCACACTCATTGCAGTTATCAGCTTATGATGCCAGAAGCAATTGCTATTGTGTGTGCTCCGAAGTTTGATGAGTAAGTAGGATATTATGTGTTCAAATTATGTTATCAGCCATATTGTTTACTAGGTGGTATTTTTTGTGGTGCAGATTTATCCTGGTTTCAGTTTTAAGTTTCTTTTGTCTTACTCAGAATTATCCATGTAATGCTTGAACACAATTGAAAATGTAAAATTTAACCAAGAATAAAATCATTTAAATGTGTGACTAATAAATATTTCTGCAGTTGCCAAATTCTTCACCTAACAGAGGCATACTGTAATACATTTTAATTATTTAATAATGATAATAATAATAATAATAATGATAATAATAATAACAGTATCTTTTGATAGAGGGTAACAATTGACTGTAAGAGATTGAAGCATTTTGATAAAACCAAAGCCCTCAAGTAATCACAATGAGTAAGTGAGCAAGAGTGAATTTATTGAATTGCAAAATTGTCTGCTCTAGGGTTATCAATAACAGACTGCAAACTTAACACCACAATTAAATGAAAGACTACAACTACCTCGCATGGCACATCCTGCATGTCCATGCAAGTGTGAAGCTTGCAGTGTTGCTCTTTTCTGTTATAAACCAGCTCTTAAGTGACAAAAGTCTCATTGTTAGATAATTGGCTAATACATTTTGTAACAAAATGTTTCCCCTACACAGTTATACAGTGCTGTTCAATTTCTGGTTCACTAATGCATGTGCTGTGCATTTTCCAGGACTGGTGTGTTTTCTCTCACCCCAGATTATGGTCTTCAATTTATTTTGAATTGTAAAAAGCCAGGATTTCACCCACATCCCAAAGAGCCTCCACTATATGAGGTAAGAAATATTCCTGAGTACGAGGTGAGACTGAGCTTTTGTACAAGTTATGTCAACCCAAAGTTACTCTACCACCTGTCCATTTTCACCAAAATCAGCCCAAGTTACTTAAGATGCTGTAGGATTTTAATAGACTGTTATGGAAGACAATGTTAGGGTACTGGGCTGGGTTGTTCTATGCATGATTAACATAACCCGCTGCAAATTTTTAATTCAGTTTAATTGCCTTGCAAAGGTATTATTCCTTTTTTCTTTTGTTTCCTTTTAGTTCTAAGTCATATTGAAATAAAACCCAACAAAACCTTAGCTTTTAAACACATTCATATACAGGAGAAATTAAAGCCATGATTAACTTTTAACCCTAGATTAAAGTTAAACCCCTTTCGAACAACCCAGCCCTGGTCTCTAAATATGACTGTCTGGTTTGTGCACTGTGTTCTAATGGGCAGGACACTCCTCTCTCACACCTCCTAACTGGTCAATCAGCATGCATAAAAAGCACCATTCACTTGAGTGGTATATACCTATAAGATTTATTTCCTACCCAGCTCATACATGTAGTTAGGAGCTCTTTGCAGTCAAACCATTTAGTTATGCAGAGGTTCCCAGTACTTCCCAATGTTTCAGTCATTAATACAAACTGTTTTTCTTTTAGGAGAGTTCACATATATTATGGGACAAGGTTGCAAGAGTGGATGTTGTTGACTTAAGATTTAAAAAATAGAAAGATATCAGCTTAAACTTGCCACTGAAACTATAATTTTCAATTGCCAAACAAACTGTCAAAATGTAACAAAGTATAAAGGTAACATAGTGGTAGAGAAAATTTCAGTTTAGAACACAAACCACTGTGAGCAAAGTGGAGGTGGCTAATGGTGGTTTATACAATGAGGTAGTTCCTGTTTACTAGCCACCAATACTGAGGGAATAGTTGTTTTAGTGTTTATTAAAACAGTGATATAGTATGGCACAAAAAGGCGATTTTCACTCCCTTATTACTGCTGCAATTACAATATTTTTGGGTGCAAGTCTCTGGTGAGTTGCTTAGAGTTGAGTAGTAAAGGATATTCAGAGTTTGAGTGGCCAATTACAGCATGTCTTCAAGGTTATCTACTGTTTTAGTATACTACATAACATCTTTATCAAATGCAGTACTTCCATATTTTATTTCAGCATTGTACAATGAAATGATGCTTAAAGAACAAGGGGGAGATTAACATTAAAATGAGACTTATTACATAGGTTATCACACCATTTCTACCCTTGTTCACTATGAATGAACACACTCAAACAAAGAAACTGATTTCATCAACACTTTTAATAGTTTTCAAATTCTTATTTGCACTTGAATACTAACACTTATAAATCTGTTTAAACTACTTCTAAACTTGTTTCAAAGTGCACAATGAACTTATTTTATTACTATAACTTTCAATAAATAGTAATGTAAAAATTGGAAATTGTGTCTGCAAAAAGTGTCAAGGTCCTTTAAGTAAACATTTTGACCTGAATATATTTAAAGTTCACACTGAGTTAGGAAAAATTAACAACCTTTAAGGTTTTAGTAAATCAATTTGATGTATGTACATTCATGTATCAATTATATAATTATTAATTCAATTGAAATAAATAAATTCGTAGGCATGGTAGCCCACAGAATAAGTGATTTGTTGCCTTAGTCAGTAAGTCAAGGGACAAAAGCACCAGGCAAGCAAGAAGTACAAGTTTGATTCATATGTAAGAGGAAGAGTGAGAAAAAGAGAGATGGACAGTAAGTTTTCTTAACACCCATCCTCTCCCAAGTGGCTCTCTCTATCTTGGTTGCCTTGTGCTAACCTCTGCTCACCCGAAAAGGCCAAAAAAAGTTGCCTGTTCTGTAGGTGAAAGGCATTGTGACCTTGAAAGTAATTATTCAAATTAAGACATCTGCTACTATCTAAATAAGTCTCAAAGAGGATTACACCTTCCTTATGGCTACTTTTAACTTCTCTGCAAACAACGGTCTGTCAATGAACTTAAGTCTGAAGAATTTGACAACATAAGAGGTCAAATAATTTGGAAAAATTAAAGGTTTACCAATTTTGACAAATAAAAAGCAATCTGAAAAAAATTGTTTTTTAACAAAACCAGATAGTTTTCCCCAAGACTTTTGTGCCATATCAATTAAAATAACAGGATTAAAAAGATGATAGCAACAACCAAAAATATGTCCCCATTATCCAAAAATTTATTTGGGATTACAATGAATTGGCTAACAGAAGAAAATTATTTGCATGCTTGTCATCAGTCAAAAACTGTAATTTTGCAGTGTATCCTCAAGTTACAAACCTGTGCATATAATGTCAAACCTGCAATAGTTTATTCAAGGTTTAACTATGTAGGTATCTGTATTGTCAACAAACAAACAAACAAACAGTCTGGAAACAAATACAGTTCATGGCTACAAAATAATGTTTTTTTTTGTTTGTTCATAAATTGTGTAGAATAACTCCTCAAATGCGTTGTTCTAGAAGACATCCACACCACTCCCATGAGGTGTTCATTGATTTCCACCCAGCCCCAACCCTCAGGAATTTCATTTGAGCCTTGCAATGCTCTAGCTTCAGAGCAGCTTTCTCTTTCCCAATTGTAATTTTAAATGTCTAAACTGGGTGAGTATGGCCAACTCCCTGAATCACACAATGAGGAACCAAATAATGTATTCCACACATGATCATTGACTGAGGAAGATTCAATAGTTTAGTCTCCTTTTTAAGGATTTGCTATGCAGGAAAGAAAGTTGGTCAATGTCTGTAGTGTCTGTTAAAGCTACTTTAGGGTAGCATGCAATTAACATTAAATTTCCTTGTCCAAGAATTGTGAATCACCATCTTCAATGCTATTGTTACCAGACATGTTGACAGAGCTAGGATTAAGAGGAGCACAGAAGTGAGCCAGGAAAGACAGGGGTTATAGAATTAGTTAGCAAGTAAATAATAAGAATTATTCTAAATAACTTCAATATTTGCAAGACATGGCAGAAAATAAGTTAACTCGGAGACTTTGTCAACAGCATGCAGTTACTTAGTATACTTACATGTCAAAGTTAATTTGCAAAGAGGGTTGGTTACAAGAACTATATTATGATACAGCTATTGATGAGCTAGTGACACTGGGGAACAGTTCTCTCTTTGGGTTTCTCTCTTGTTTAGTGTAATTAGTTCTAGAATCTTTTCCACAAAGTTCTTTTTGTAGGAATCACCATTAAAAGTATGAACCCTCAGGAGTTGCTTCCTACAAAATGTCATTCATTCTACAAAATTTTATTGCAGGAAAAAACAATACACTAATAAAACATCTTTACCAGCCTTAAAATGATTCAATGACTTTGTGTATGTTACAAGTGGGAGAGCAAATTGAAGAATCTTATGTGAAAAACATTCTGATGCCCCTCTACTGTTATTAATATCTAACAAAACACTTTCTTGTAAAACATTCCAAAAGGGTATGAATTCCCCCCCCCTCCCTCAGAAAAAAAAGATGTATTAATGTAATAGAATTGAAGGTACCTTTTTACCAAAACTACAATTATAATAACTATAATTATATGTGGTGAGTTATTAGACCTTGTGTGAATATTAGTGTTATGAAGTTAAGATACATTACAGTTAGAGAGAAATTCTTGCACATAAATGTATGCAGCTCTGTCTTTTGAAAGAGAGGCAGTTTCAGGTTTGAGCTTCAAGCATGAAATAAGCAAAACAAAGTTAATGAATTAACTACTTTCTCTTAGAAAAAGTGTTAATTAGAAAAAGATTGGAGCAATTGGTTAGTTCTTTAGATTGTTGTTAGCTTTTGCTGTTAACATCAAAACAAACTGATCACAGACACAAATTTCTTTTAAAATTACAACCAACAACATTAAATATTGCATGTATGTTGGCAAAATGTTTATTACATGACCATAATTAGAATGTTTAAACAAGTGCAAAATTAATATTATTGTCTAATATGCATGTGTCACGATGATAATGTATTTTGCAACCTTAACTTTTCTCATTATTTCTTATTTATATTAATTCAATCAATCAATATTTCTCATTTCCATCTGATAACATCTTTTGAAATTCAATCTGAAATAACTTTAGGAGCTTTTCTATTACAGCTGACAAGATACAAATTTTCCATATGCTGAAACCAATACTCCGAAAAGGATAAATTTTATGAGCATGCATTTTTACACTCAGTCTGCCACAATTCCTATAATAATAATAAAGTTAACTGACATAGCATTAGAAATAGCAACTCTCTAAATTCATGAAATGGCAAAACATTTGTAACAAATCTACTGTTCCAGAATAAGACATTCTATGTTTTAGAATCTAACTCAGCAGATTATGTGTTTTAGCTTCAACTCTACTTTGAAAAAAAAAAAAACAAATTTAGTTTTACCTCATCATTACAACAGAGCGTTAAGAAATTAAATACATTCTAAATGACAGTTTGACTTTTGTTGGAAATGACTGGTACTCAGAAAACCAAGAAATTCTATGTACACACAATGTAGATGAAATTACAAAAACGTTTTCATGGGATAAACATGAAAACTGTTTGTTCCATCTTGACAAAATATTACCAAGAATAAAATAATGAGTATTTCATATTTTTTTTTCATTTCTGATAGAAATAATGACAAAAAGGTTCTTGAGTCAAATCAGCCTTCCTTAAAATTTCAAAAAGTATTTTTCTCCCTTGAAGTTCTTGTTCAGCCTATCAGTTTATCTCCAGTCTTCTAACTTCGATACACAGGAAGAGCAAACAGAATAACTGATTAATGAATAAAGACAGTCAGTTTCCAACGAAACTGTGGTGCTGCATTGGTGGGAAAGTATAACAAGATAATTTGGGATCCATCAACTGAGTTGATAATGAAAATTGGCCACGGTAAAGAGTTTCAAAGCTTATGTTGTTTCGGGCGTTAGCCCTTCATCAGAACAAATAACCGATTGCAAGCATTTTTTCAACAGTAACCAATCAAATAGTATAAACAACCACATACTTTTGTGGCAACTGGATAATTTGAATCATTGTAATAGTTACCTCCTCAACTTGAATTGCAAAAGCAATTGACTCATGAACTTTTTGACAGCAAAAAGGTTTGAACCTCAACCCTTATAAATTGCCATAACATAACTTTCTCGAACATTCCTCCCCTTGTAACCACTGGACAAATCTAAATCCCCCAGGGAACTACAGCGCTTCATCTGCAACATGATAGATTCAACAGACCTGCCGGAGCCACGAGGCTTTTCTCGCAATTTACTCTCCAACTTTGATCCCCGCAGAACATTCACATACATCTTGTATCTTTTGTACTAGGGAAAGAAAGAAATTTTAAATTCTTTGTGGTAAGTCTGAGATCATTACAAACCAAACATATTTCTCAAGAAAGTGCATCATTTACCTCATAATCCAAGAATTCATGTTTTTCTTGCCACTCCTGCCAGAAAAAACAATAATGTTTACAACTAATGCAAAATTATTACAGAAAATAAGAATCATGCCTACTGGTAGCCATGATTTGAAATGAGTTTAAGAACATAAGCCAAGCCTCCCTTCCCCCACTCTCCCCTCCCCCTACTTCCCCCTCCCTGATTAAGTGCTACCCTAAAATAAAGGCCAGCTGTTAAGACTATATCAGAAATAAGGGGTCCTGAGTACGAAATGGAGGATCTATGATAAAACACTTTTTCTGCAAAATCATTAATTCAGAGTATAATCTAGAAAAGGTTTGTACCTCAAACTCTCTGCCAGTTACACTCTGTGGCTTGTTTTGTAAACTTTCAATCAACTGTCCTTCTGCCTCTTTACTCTGGAATCAACGATTACATTCAACAAAACCCACAAATAATAATTCATCACATGGTGATGCTAATTGTACAATGTCTATTACAGCAATATGAACCAACATGTTATCTTCACATGCAGACTCTTCCTCATCACGTATCGAAATAAAACCAAAACTCATTGTCCAGAGATTCTCATCCATATTCATTTAACATTTCTGTCAAACTATGTGAAACACATGGAACAATCTCAGATGTACCAGTTGATGAGTGCTGAGCCTTTCATAGTCACTCTTTACCTCCAAACCTTAAGTGTACATTAGCCAGCACATTGCATTAACTTTTTAAAATTCCTCAAGAAAATGGCAATAAAACACTTCCATGATATGACCAACAATTGGTTCATATGTCAGTGTGCATTCATCAAGATATGAAGCACGTGGGAAGTTTGGAGAGCATGAAAGATGCGTAAGAGTTTAAGTAAGTCTAGCTTCTTGAGTGCTCTCCAAACTTCCCAAATGCTTCATATCTAATGAACGCACAGCTGACATATGAACCAATTGTTTCATAAGATTTTCAACCCAATGGAAAATTTTTTTTTCTCAAGGGATTTGCTTGCTGACATCATGAGTGTGCACAATAGGAATATGAAGCACGCTCGCACAATTGAATTTGATTAGGCAAATTTACTAGCTATGTTATAATTAATAATGAATCCTATCTTACTTACCTTTGTCTCATGGTGTTCTAACTGCTTCATCTGTTAATTTCAATAAGAAAACACTTAAGATTAAATTTGTCTTATCTGACTTCTTCTTTCTGTATTTAAAGTTCAAATTCAATCATTACTTTTAATTATTGTTTCATAAAAGCATGGAAGAGGCGACTTACAAGAGAGAGCTGAGTGCAGGAGAAAGGAAGGACTGGTCGCTGAAATCTTTTGCTGAAAAAATTTCCAGTGAGATACATCATCAGTTTGATTGATTTGTGATAAATTGTCAAGAATCAACGTCTACAAATGTTGCTATATGTGCATCACACTTGCACTAGCATTTTACATTGCAATGAAGCTGTGCACTTTCAACACACAATCTGGTTCTCTTCAGTATGAAGGTAATCCTCTTTTCAAAAAATCATAATTCTCTATCAAAGAATGCCATGGAGGTTCATAACCACAATTATAATATAAATTACAATAAATTGCACTTTTAACTATGCAGCAGTATATTGAACTTTTAATTTTGCTGCAAACTTCTGTTGCAAACCTTGGTAGCACAGGTACTGTTATTTTAGGTAAACAGTATTAGCAGTGAAAGTAATTTTAGTACTGGAAGAAATGCCAGAAATGAAAACAATGAATGACTCTTAAAACCCCCACACAACTTCTGATGTGCAGCTGGATTCTCCCTCTACATTTTTTTGCCTTTCTTTTTGCATCAAAAGTCATTTGAGGGTAACTTTAATACCATGCACCTCATTCTACTGAGATTACGTTGTGCAATTGAAATAGTTACAATGCGAGAAAAAGACTACTCTTAGCAGTTTCAGAGCAATTAAGACGTTGCTTTACCATGAACCAACAGGTGCTGGTAAGGGTGGAGCAGAAAATGTGGCAGCCACTAGGTTAATGGCATCAATCCACTCATTCATATCACGAAAATTCCTACAAAAATACAAAAGGAAAGATAAATAAGATGGCTTATGAGAAAAGAGGAGTTATTAGTGCTTAATTCTTCCCAAATTCCTCATCTACATGGCTATTTAAAATCACAAAATGGTTTCAAGAAATACAGTTTTAGCCACCTAAACACCAAATGTGTATGGAGATTCAGGTGACACCCAAAGGCTCACTGCAGCTTGCTTAATGGGTAAGTTTAGGATTTTAACATCATCATGAACATAAAAATTTCATAACTCACAGGATTTCCAGTGTTAGGATGAACTGGAGTGTATAATACTATGAAAGTTAGCTTTCTTTATCAGAGGAAGTGTCCTATATCTGGGTACATTGTGGTGTATATGAATCCAATAGAGTATTATGAGAATAATTATGAAAAGACTAACATACCTTGCTTGAAAAAGGAATTCTCTCCAATCAGAAGTGACAAATCTAAATACAAAAGGCCTTTTGATATAATCTGTAGCTCGACTGGCCAAAGAGTGATGTACACCTAAACAGTTTCTAGTATGCTCTGGCCCAGTTACCTCATCTGACTGAAATAAACAGAAGGAACAATTCGTTTTGTCAAATGGTTGATTTTACCAGTTGTAAATATTTGAGTGAATTAAAAGACAAGATTGCCTTAAAATTGACCTGACTTGCCTTGTGGAGGAAGAGGATCATTCCTTTGAGTGTTGCAAAAAAAGGCATCCATTTTCTTTTCCAAGCAGAAGCTGAAAGAGGTTACAAGACTTCAATTGAAATTGTACTTTATTACAAATACAGGGCTCCAAACACAACCTCATTCAACATTAATACTTGGTGACCAAAAAACCTTAAAATGGTCACCAGATGTAAAATTTTGGACAACAAGGGAAAATGATATCTTGTGCAATACTACATATATATATATAGTAGATATATATATATATATATATATATATATATATATATATATATATATATATATATATATTAGTTTTATATATATATATATATATATGATTTACAAAACTGATAATGACACCCTTGTCAAGTCGCTACTGAAAATTTTGCCAACTGGCATTGGAAAGAGCCTTACCATATTTACTTGTGTATAAGTTGAACTTGTGTACAAGTCAACCCCATTTTCAAGATCAAAAATCGGATTTTTCATCATTTCTAGTCAAAGAAGTAAAATTCAGAAAGACAGAAATTTCCCAAAAAGTTAATCTCCTATTTTTGAGAATATATTGAAAACATGGGGAATTAAAAAAACTGCAGAGCAAAATGTAACCATTTTTATTTGCACTTGTTAATGTCAAGGATGCAAAAATCGGATTTTTTACATCATTTCTTGTCAAAAATCTTCCTGCATTTAAAATTCATCTTAGATTTAAAAGAAATTTCCCAAAAAGGAACACTTTTGAAGGATCACATGAGACAATGGCATTTGCCAGGTCACTAAGTTACTGAAATCACTCGATGAAAAAAAAAGTTCAGCACTGTAAACAGCAGCGAAGCTGTATGAAAAAATGTCTGCTCTACAGTCCAAAGACACAATAGAAATCAGCTCCAGCAGCTTTGTGTTAAGCCACTTGAATTTTATTATTTCAAACTTTTTTGTTGACAAAGAGTATGCTGAAAAGTGACAAAACTTGAACACAATTAGAACTGGTATTATAAACTAGGTTTTCCAAACAGACTTCAGGCATTTGTTATGCTAATTTCTTGGATTTCTTGGGTCAGGTCTTTGTGCATGACTCGTGTATAAGTTGAGGATGATTTTTTGGGCTGATTTTTAGGTCATATAAGGTCAACTCATACACGAGTAAATATGTTATCTAACAGATGTTTCATCCAGTAAAACTCTTGTCAAACCATACAGTGTGTCCTTGTAATTTTTCCCCTTAACAGCAGGTGGAACAAGTCAGCTAACTCAACAAACTTGGCCTTCCAGCCATTCAGTTATCAGAAAAGGATGAAGACTGTATGAATGTCATCTCTGAAGACAAATCACAAGCGCACACATAGCAATGGTCACTTTACAATGGTTCCTTGACCGAGTTGCCCATCATTATTATCTCTTTAGGAGTTTTGTTCATGTGACTCATCCTAACTGAACCATTTCATAGATTTCCAGTTTATTGTTCAAATTTGAAATTTTTTAATTTTTCTGAGATCACCTGTGTGTTGTGATGACACAAAAATTGAAAGGTAATTAAAATAAGGAATGTCATTGGTTATGCCTCATTTAGATAAAAATTTGACACCTAAAAATTACTCAGTGGTACATGATCAACTTCTTGGGCTTAGTCTGTGTCCCTACTTTATACACCTTCCAAGGTGCATCACTGATTTTTTTTTTTTCCCCTCACATGATGGACATCAAAAAGTATGGACTGCCCATAGTCTAAACTTCTACAGATTGATTTGTACTTTCATGACAAACAGTGTACATAGTAATACCACATCATTTGTCTAGCCTACAGAGGGTATCAGTGCAGTAACTTGCTCAAATGGCAACTGATTTATATAAATGCTTTACACTGTTGTGTACATAATCACAACTGGTACATTCAACTCACTTTTCTTTCCTTCAGAGCTCATGGTGACTTTTCTGTACAAGAGGCCTTCTTTGTATACCTTATCAGAGTCACTACCTCGAATCTAAGACACAACAAAATAATACTTGTCTAAGCCATACACAGGAAAAAAGCATAACCCTGTATAAATGCACTATTTTGATCATGGATACCTGAAGAGGTACTAAAGAATCTGGGATGTGCACAAAGGTAGAGCAGCACCAGGAATGGAACAGTTGCATGCAGAGGTATATTGAAGAGATAATGAACTAAGTTGAAGACAGCTGATGGTCTAAGAAGGGCTTCAGAGGGTAAAGGCAAATAGAGGGCGAGACCCCAGCCAAAGAGAAGGGATAGTAGTAAAGTTCATACCTCTACAAAAGGATTTCCAGGGGTTCCCTAGGACAACAACAAACAGTATTAGGACATTGGATAAACAACAAAAAATTCTACATATGGTGACTGTGAAATGGGGAAATGGGAAGTGGGGTGTTTAAAGGATTGTAGACATTGCTCTAAAATGTCTTCTAGACAGGAAATTACATTTCTGACATCAAAAGATACTCTTGTCAATCTCTAGAAAAACTAAGGCCTCAAATTTAAGTCACAAAAAAACATAAAATAAAGGAAAAAAAATGGAGAGGGACATCAAACCTGAGCTAAAGACACTGATTTATAATAATAACTTAAGAAAGCAGTAAAAGGATTTACTTCATGTACTTACATGTACACACAACTGTATTCAGTAAATGGTTGGACCCAGCAACAACAGTTCATGATACAGTAAGAATAGAAGTGGTAAGTTTCTAAAGAAACTGTTAATAGTGCTGCTCCTATGGGGAGTATTACACAATGGTTTGGTTTTACCACCCAAGTTGATATCGTGAAGTGGGCATCACAAAGAGATTATAGCTAATGTTTCATGCATAAGCCCTTCCTCAGTGCTAATACTTTGTGGAGTCTGATTGTCTGGGTGATAGAAGTTTCTCTATTGTCCCTGTCACCAACAGGAGTTCTTTTTACAAATACCCTGACCTGCACAATCAGACGTACTTCATTTACAAGCTGTACAAGAGACCAAAAAGTGTGCCCTTCTGACGAATTTTACTTCAATTCAGATTATCATAATTGTATTCAGATCAATATCAGCATCTGGGTAACTGCCTACCTACCCTTCCCCTAACCCAACATTAACCTTAACTTGTTGTCAATTGACTGTTGTTGAGTTAGGGGAGGGGTAGGTGGGCAGTTGCCCAGATACTGATATTGATCCTTGGAATCTTCCCACTACCTTTATCCCATTTGGTGTTGGAGTTCTCTTGCCTGGACTTGATGCAGGAATCCTTTCAAAACTGAGATGAGCATGAAAAAAATTAATCAAAAGAGAAAAAAGCACTCCACTGCAAATTAAGCCACAACAAGGTATCAGTTTGATATCATTTATTGACTTGTTTTGTGATAACATCTTTATGAAAACTGCTAGGGTAAACTCAACAAAACAGATATATGACTTAAGTTACCGCATAATAAATAAAGTTGCTAATTGGTATGTGTCTGTTGAGTAATAAATAATATCATAGATGACATTTCGAAGACTGCTAGCCAAGGACACTATCAGCTAACATACCGGCTAGCAAGAAAGGAGAGGGGGGAGAGGGGGGAGAGGGGGTGGAGAAAGGGGGAGGAGAAGGGGTGTAGAAGGGGGTGGAGAAATGGGGGTGGAGAAAGGGGGAGGAGAAGGGGGTGTAGAAGGGGGTGTAGAAGGAGGGTGCAGAAGGGGGTAAATCATACTTTTTCTTCTTTTATCCCATGCTCACAACAATTCAAATTAAAATCTTTCTCTATGTCATTCCCAAGCTCAAAATTTTCCATCTTTCTGACTCTGTTTATGATGTAGATGTTATGGTTTAAAACAAATTTCAGGTCAAAATGATCTTCAGCTGGTTTAAATTATTATTCCCTTCCTTCCAGAAACATTACATAATCCTTCCACAAAGAAAAATAACAAGTCAAACTGGGTGGAGTATATATTAAACTGAATCAATACAGCAACACATAATACAAGTGAAAGAGTAAGAGAGTTCTTACCCGAAACCCTCCAATGGTTTAGCTTTGATTTCTTGGTATATTGCCTGAAGGAAAAATTTTAACATTATCAGAGATAAATTTATGTCTTATTTTCCATACTAACAATAAAACTTAACCACTACAGTTAACCATAAAAGAGAAAATTAAAGCAATTTACAAAATATGGCTGACATACAAAATAAGTTTAATATAAAAATAAAAAAAATTAATACCTTCAGTAAATCTTTAGGAAAGTCTTTTCCATCACAGAGGTCTGACAAATTTTCTATAAACTGTCCTTGTGTCATCTTCTTATGAAGGGTCTGTGGCAAGGAAAAATGTTGATAAAAATCACCAAAATATAGCCGATATTTAGTAAATTTTATTGTTATTGTAAATAATACATGTACTTGACTTAACCTTTTCACTTCAAAGATCTCATCACTAATTCTCCTTACTGTTTGCCATAAAATTCTTATGATGCGAGTTTGGAGAATTTAGTACTGGATCAACTAACAATCCCTTCTTTGAAATTTTTTTTAAATCTCATCAATTTTCTGCTTGAAATTGTATTGATGTTGTAAGGAGAAATTCTCTTGGTCATTTATGGGAGTTTAATAGTTAATCAACTGAAACAAGCATCCTAACAGCTTACCTCACCATGAAGATCAGAATTTAGCAAAAAGATGGCGCAAACTAAAGTGTGAGTTGCATCTGAAATCAATGAAACAGAGAAACAGAGAAACAGAAAAACAGTCAAAACAGATTTGTGTTCCTGAATAGGGATTTAAGTTGTCAAGTTGAATAACTATTGTACATTTTAATATTTTTTTGGTGTTATGCTGTAATATATGAAATATGAAAAATATTGTTCAAGAGAGCTTTAATGCAAGTAATGTAAGTTTTGCAAACAAATTAAGACTAGAAGATGGAGAAAAAACTACTGAAAATGATATTGAAATACCTAATGGAATTTCAATAATTATTTTTATTAGAGACTTTAACAGCTGTACATGTATATGATGTATGCTCCATTTGCCACCCTTGAACTATAGCTGGAAAAAAATGTTACTTTGTCTTAATTTAAAACCATGGAGCCCAGCAAAACAAATTTACAAGGCTGCTGCAATGGCACCATTATATTTATTCGGCCAAGTTTAATAGCCTGGCCATCTCCTTTCAGGATTTTATCAGTAAGCTACTCAATAAATACAACCTTGAAAACTTGTCTTAATTAAATGTTTTATTGAGAAGTACCCCTGCCTCCTCAAAGTCAATATACTGTATAATGTATTGTAAGTAATTGTATATTCAGCAAGTAATGTAAGTAGAGTATTGTATTATTAGTAGTGTAAGTGGCCCATATTGCTATTAATTGTATGTTTTGTAACGATATTCAACTTACTGTATTGCTAGCATGAGTAACCTACATTGTAAGTATTGTAAGTATTGTTCTGTAAGTAGAGTAGCGTAATGAGTCTTGCATTGTTAGAATTGTGTTTTGTAATAAAAGCAAAGGTTTAAAAAAAACGAAAAACAAAACAAAAAGAAAAAAACAAACAAAAAGACTGCTGCAAAGTCTTTGTTCAACAAATAATATTAAGTCTCACTTCATTTGAATTAGTATGACCTGTCGTTGACTGTGACACTCTCTGTCCTACCTTCTGATCCATACTCAGGATTGTTACACTCTTGATATCTCTTGGAAAAAGGAATTAAAATTCTCTCCCTTTCTTGCGTTTCTCCACTCAAATGGAAAGCCATAAGGAACTTCTGAAGAGCCTCTGTGATAGTCTCATTTTGAAAATCAAAGAATTTGAGATATTCAATAGCCACTGCTTTTCCATAAGTTGTGCTGAAATAAAAAAAAGTGCAATTAATTTAGTTAATAGAATAACAAAGATGGTAAATATTGAGCTCAGTAGTAGAATAACAAAACATTTAGTTTCTGCCTTATAATAAGCACCAGATGAAGAAAAAGACAATATGAATCTCCATGAGGAATCAAACAGCACTTTGTCCCACCCTCATGGAACTTCTGAGATTCAATTTCATGTGGGGATTTAAATTATTTCTTTTTCCCAAGCTCAAACTTGATAGAACAAATTACACCTTTCATAAATTTGAAGTTACATTTTAGGAAAGCAAACTGTTGGTGGTCAACAGTACATTTCCCAGTGAATTTCTTTCATGGAGTTTTGGAAAGTTTGCTGTGAACAACACCCCTTGAACAAATTAAAATGCTCTTCTGAGCCACATCTAGAACTACATGCACTAGGCATATTGCAAGCATATGCAGGGTATTAAATTAAGCATTAAGTGCTTCTTAGCTCAGAAGAGAATGCCTTTCCCATATCTAGTTAATCTCCAAAAAACAGCCACAAGCCCTCATTCCATGCACCCATCAATGCTAATCATGCAAATAAAAGGAAACTTGATGGTAAGATAGGTTAGGGAAAGGTTCAAAAAAAAATTCTCCTAAACCATTCAGGAATCATCCATGAAATTGCTATGCCCCACATGAGCATACATGCAGTGCTGAGATTAACTGCTACCTCATGGACCTGAACTTTGTTCACTTGTCATCTTCCAACATTAAGAATGTAAAACCACAACAGATGCTCACTTTTCCACTTACTTTTTACTGAGTTCTGGAGTAACCTCTTCTCTACTGAATCCATCTAAATTAAACAGTCTTTGTGCTAAAGCTGATGGACTCTCGTAAAGTGGGTCATTGTTTTGTCTACCAGCAGAATCAGGGCCTGGCAAGTTCTCAAACATTCCCTTTTCCTTTTTAAGACCTCCATTAAGTACTCTTTTAGAATCACTTGAAGCAGTTTTACTATTAGCTGATGTAATTCCTTTCTCGCCAAGTGATGGACCAGGTTTGTAATTCCCATTTCCATTAAGTTTAGTTGGTGACTGATTGTGTTTAGTTGACAATCCAAATGGAGAAGGTTCTAGCGTTTTATGATTTGAGTACGGGGTTCCCGGAAGGCTTCTTCCACCAGAAGAATAATTCCTGACATGCCCACATTTTCTACATGTTAAATATTTTGATGCCTGAGATGATTCCATGGAATATTTGTATTCTATGTCTTTAGAATAATCAACTGGTTGTCCACAATTAATGCAACTTTCTGGTAAAGATTCCCAACTAGTTCTGTGTTCCTCATTGGGATAACTCTGTCGTTTAAAGTTTTCAGGCCGATTAATTTTATCTGTTCTACTTGAAGGGACATTAACACGCACAGGAAAGTCAGTGATTACTCTTTCTACCACATCATCTTTTCTTCGAACAAATATACCATCAACGCCCTGCTCCAATCCTATAAGACTCATACGGCCCACAGCTCGGACATCTTCTGTACTTGTGCTAGTCCCCTTCTGCATGTTTTTGTCCTCTTTCTTTGTGATTGCTCTTCGAGGGAGTTGATCAGTGTGAGAGCGGTTACGATGATTTGGTGCTGAAGCAGATCTCTTCAACCTTGCTTGGCAAATGGCTAGTTTAGGGTCAGCAACGGAAAATGATCTGAGATATGGACGTGCACGCTCCCTAGTCCCAGGGTCTGTTGAGGTAAAAAGTTGAGACCAATGATTAACATTGTCACCTATTTTTGTATTAGCTTCTACAACAAGATGTCAGTTGGAATAAATAAAACCTAGCATTATAAGAAAGCAATCTAATATCCTATTGGAGAGTAAGACTAAGAAATTCATAAAACAAAGTGCAGACCTTGTCTGTCTCTCTGACAATTATTGTCCTAAGTTATACAGTCTTCCAACTCTGACTAAGGGGCATATCAAACCATTCCAATGCAAAGAATCCTGATGGTTGTAGTTTTAATCATTTTTAAGTATATCTGTTTATTTAAACAAGCATTCACACATAATGTGGTTTATAACTTACAGGAAATGCCTTTGTTTTCCAATACAGTCAAGTGATCAGACATGCAATACAAGAACTGTAATTTTTAACCCCATAATACACTATAAAATACTTTTCAAAAAGAAAAAGGAACCTAACACAACTCTGTCTCAAAAGAGAAGTATCCAAGTGACTGGATAATCATTCAAAGGAAGACACTCTGGACATTTTCAATAACACTCATCTTTTGAAAACAACATTCATACACAGTATATCATGAAGGTCATAATCATAATTAATATGGAATTCACATTTACATGGTGTATATGATTTAACACCGAGATGATTTGTATGCCTTCAAGATTATTGATAATTCATCTACAACAAAATATATTACAAATTAAACTAAATCCACATCATTCTGACCCATGAATAATTTCAAACTTAAGGTTAATATTTTTTTTCAAAGAATTTCAATGAATCATCTGGAACAAAATATTATTTTAAATTACTTTGCCTTTATCACACTGAAACTACACAACACATACTATAAGTCTATGACTCAAACCACCCCTTAGTGGTAAATTAAGAGGATAAGGAACAACGAAAGTGATGCTTCAGCAAATGGGTGTACTGGCATGTTATTGCTTCCTTATTCTTTCATGTTCCAATCAACACATTGTATTCCTCTCCACAGTACACCAATATGACATATATGTGGTAGATGACATATCAGAATATTTTTGAGATATTGCTTTCGATTACCACTAACAATCACAAAATCTGAAGCAAAATTTACATATTAGCCAGACAAAATTTTCCTGATTTCAAGCATTCAAACTACTGGCACTAGTTCATATACATTATGAGTTAACACTTCACACCGTCACTCGAAATCTGTAAAGAAAAGCACAATAATAACCAGTAGTTAAAAATACTGAATGCCATGGTTTAAATAAATTCAAGTAAAGGGAACATTCTAGCATATAAACAATGTACTCATCAGATAACACTTCCTGTAAAAGGACTTAAACAGTTTGTTTACATTCATCATTCTATTGATTTTACAGCACCTTCATGTTCTGAACAAAATTCTTAAAATAAATTTTGTGACGATTTGAATCAGTCTTTATGGCTAATATAACTTGTACTCATGTGAGATTAGCATAGTTTGCTCTATTTAGGTACATCTAGTGAGTGCAGGATATTGTTCACAACTATTTTCAGAACCCCAAAATTTTATTCAGTTTAAAAACATTCTATCACAAGAACAGATTATGAAATCAACCAGCCAACCTGAACAGCATGCAAATTTGAAACACACATTGATATCAAAGTCAAAAGAAAAACTGGCATATCTTTCAGAAAAAGTAAACAATGAGCAGTGTTTTATTGAAATTTCAGCATTGGATCAATTGTTATCAGCTGAAAGCCTTCATAAAATGCTAAACCAAAAGAATATCAGGTTAAAGTTAGATGTTCTCTCTTTATGAATAAATACAAGGTTTCATATTTAAGCAGAGTATTTTGTCAAAATCATTACTGAGATACATGCATAGTATAAAATGAGGGCAGAATTTACAGTATCAATAATGCCTTAACTTTGTACTAAAAGAACTTTGTACTTAAAGAAATTCTTCTTGAAATCACTTTCTGTCACCTATGTTAAGCATCATTATATATACCTTCAAAGCACTGTAGGAGCTGCTGTACCATATCATAATCTTAAATCTTTAACATATGTCAAAACCTTAGCAACTGAGTCATACTCTTGAAAGATAACAACACACACTCTGGCTAATTAAAGTTAACATGTACAATAACTCTAAAAGCCAAGGGAAGCCTTTGGGTAAAATGCAACAAATACATTGACCTTAACTGAATCGTTTTTTCTTACTTCTCAAGAAATTAAACTCACTCAATGAATAACACACAGTATGATTACATTGTGTTTCATACCTACATGTATGTTGCATCTGCTCCCAAAGTAAGCTTTTACGTTTCCCACAAAGCTATAAATATTGAAACTGAATTTCCGAAAGCACAAAGGAGAGTAAATACAGATTTGCTCAGCTACTGAGTCATACCAACACTATCACTCGAATCAGCTTTCACCTCTCAGTTCTACTTTCTGACAATACGATTAATATTGGCACTGAACCAAACTATCACTGAAAATCAATACTGTGAAAATTACATTCTATGTTCCTGTATAAATATTGTTCTATCACCTTTAGGCTCTTACTAAGGAAAACTGAGTCACACAAAATCAAAACCATTAACTTCAGAACAAGATGTGTTCATTTGAAGTGGGAAACATGAGCTTGTTTCAGTGGTTTAGCTTTCACATTACGCATAAAAACAATGGAAAGCCTTTATCTCAACAGGTAGTTAGAAACTACCTACTCATGCAAGTTCAATTTCTCAGCATTGAATGATTAAAACTGAAACAGATATAGATTCAAACCACACGAACCTTGACATGTTTCACGGCAAAGAAGTAGTTTCCACTGAAGTGTGCAATTCTATACAATAGGATTCAAGTTTCACATTCTAAAGGTCATGACATTTCATTCTAGTCCCACAGAGGATGTCTTGTGTGGGATCTGACATGCCATGGCTAACTTGGTAACTTACAAAACAAAGTGATGATTCCAAAATGAAAGTACAGTTGAATTGGTCATTTAAAATATGAAAAATGGGACTTAAGATAAAGAAATATTAACATATTCAGAAACTAAAATAAACATAATGCAAATGAAAAACAGGAAGTTCACAAGTAAGGCTCGGTTGTGAAAAAAATATATCACTTCATGCTGAAAAAACAATGTTTCAGAAAAAGAAATTTGTTTTCATATTCATACAAATGTTAAGCCTAACTTGGAAAACACCCTTTACATCCATAAATTAAAATAATAAGCAGTTTCAAAGTGTTAAATGCCCATTATTTGGGACTAACATGACGACTGAACCAAAAATCTTTCATGGTTTATAAAGGAAATAGCCCACAATGTTTGGGCATAACCTTCCTGTTGATTAAGAATGTTATTTGGCAACGCCTAACTTTTCATTTAATCAAGTGAAAGGCCACTTTTCTTTTTCACGTATATAAAATAATTATCTGTTTATATAGTGGTAAATTTTGATCTATGCACATATTTTCATTTGTTACATGCATAACCAGTAAGTAGAGCAAAATACAGCATCTACTGCAGAAGGGAAGTACAATGTGTAACTTTAGGTTGTTTTGGCTCTGTGCATATCAGTTCTGGACTTTGATAAAGAATTACTCAATAATATTTTTATTAAAATTCAACAAATCAGAGTGGACAAAAAAAACAATATAATTCAATACTTGGTGACAAAATTATACTATGTCACCCAGAGAATTCAAAATCTCAAGGCTTAAGAAAGTGTATTTCTTAATAAAAAAAAAAAAACACAACAGAAACAGTTTAAAGTGTAATAATTTAACGTATACAGACATTACAATTATGTGAACATATTTTACCATGATGGTTCTTCTGTAAAACACAAATTAATCATTCTCATACTTGATTCCCAATGAAAAAAACAAATTGAGTTATCTTATAATTGAACTACCCACAGAAATAATTGCACTGATAATAATGAACATCATTCTATTTTTTCCTGTCACCTTTTATTTATCCATATCCTTTTATTATGTTATCTTAACATGGGTCTAACACCTGATTATAAACATAACTTTTACCACCATACATGATATACAGATAAAGTGTACATGGAGAAAACATTCTCGCAGAAAGCTTTAAATGCATATAAGGGCCACTGTACACATGGATGTAGAGAAGACACACAACCAAGTGGGGCAGAGGATTACAGTATATTGATTAGACACAATTCTGTGATTGTATATCAATTTGACAAGCCAATTAAATGCCAGAGAAAAATTTGACATACCACAGCCTGTTAAAGAGGTATGCTACTAAAAGTTGTTCAATCAAAAATATAAAATTGTATTTGTTGAGTAATAAGAGAAAAAAAAATTGGTCTCACCATCCCTTAGACGGATTCTCAAATTATCCTGTGTGTTGCGAATGCTTTCTACAACTGAAGTTAAAGAAACATTTGGTTAGATTTTCACAACTTTGTACATACAATCGGTACAAATCAAACTTTTAAAGCTTTTGGCTAAAGAAGTTAGAAAAAATATTATAAGGACTCTGATTGACCATCATCACCACAATTCACTTCCAGAAATCAGACAATTAAAGCATATAATGTAACATAATTTGCCTAGTGCTTTGCTCTTGACTTTCTACCATTGAACATCCATATAAATTGAATGTCACAAAACAAGGATCATTTGTAATGCAGTTGAAAGGCCATCCCGGATAACTAGCCCAGATCTACCAACTAAGCAAGAGGAGTGAAAAGTTGGGGTAAGAATCTGCATGTAGCCAAGAGTGTCACCTTGGTTTTCATTTTGCATTTAAGTCTGGGAAGAGGCAGGGCAGAAAGATAAGACAAGGAAGGAGGGAGGAGGGAGGAGGGAGGAGGGAGGAGGGGTAGAAGTGTTGGGGGGAAAGGGAAAAGAAGAACAATTTTACATCACCTTGACTTGTAGTGAACTGTGTAATCTGTTGACCATTAACCTCTAAAATGACGTCTCCAGCAAAAACCTTGATTAGAATTAAATTAAATCACAATCAAACAACTACCACCATCTAATAGCACTACTATGAATTTTAAGACAAATGTGAACATATTTTATTTATTTTGGAGTTTTCAGTGATCAATTGATATTCTAAAATCATATTGGTTGAGGGTACTTTGAAAAAAGTGAACTCCATGCCAATGGGATACCCACCGGTTGAGAAAATGTGATTTTTTTATTCAATTTGGGAAAAAAAATTATTACCTCTTAAAAAAAATTAATATTGGCAAGTGACTTTTTGGTAATGTAGAAAGTCATCCAAAAAGATAAGCTTGGAACAAGTTCAGTCCCTTTTTCCCTTCTATAGAGTAATTCACATTCAAAGTTATATAATCCACTATCAGCAAAGGGAGAATAAACAAAACACTGTCAAGACAGAAATCCCTGAATGAGCTTGGTTAGAAAGAAATCTGCTTTTATCCCACTGCTACCCCCCCTCCCATTGCTCTCCCACTGCTCTCCCCCCCTTCCTGTATCCTTGGTCCTTATAACTGCACCCCACACAATCCTCCACATCCCCAAGATTGCAGATTGCAGCTGCATCAGTTTTATAGCTACTGGAGTTTTGCTATAAGTGAAAAAAAAAACTAGTTCCAAAACTCTCAGCAATTTGAAATAAAACGTGTTCTGTCATATCCCTTAAGTTGACAACTTTCTATATTTTAATTTATCTCCTACAAGTTTTTGCATGCATAAGCTGTTTGTTCTGTACAAATTGAAATTATTTACATTTTTAAATTTTACTCTTTTCATAAATGAAAAAAATATAGTAAATTTAAAACACAATTTTGGAATAGAGGGTAGTCAAGTGTAACTGCTCAACAAGATTCAAAGCTTTAGGATTTATAACAAGTTTAAAGTTACTAAGCAAAGAAAATGGAAAAGGCTAAACAGCGAAAAACAGTTCTAATCTGTTGACACCATTATCACTACCAGATGATGAATACATGCAATAAAATTATTACCGCCATTCATTCAATTTAATCTTTCCAGGTTAACTCCAGGTATGCTTTCATAAAGTTGGCTTCCCACTGAATTTCATGCAAAAAATGTGAGCTCTGTCTACAAATACAATTAAGATAATTTCAGAGCTCCCTTTCAAGAGGACGGCTGTAACATTTGCCCTCTCGGCACGACAGCAATTACTCGGGGCAGCTATAGGATTTCATGCACGCCCTGTAGTCTGAAATTTAATGAAACGAACCAACATCTTCTAATCTCCTAAATCCGCTCTTTCCAATACACATTCTACCGTTTCCTTTTCCTAAATTAAACAAAGAATTATTTATTGAACTAAGTTGACATGAATTGGCTGAGTTTGCACACATACAAGTACAAAAGAATTGTGTACAACTTGAAGGAAAACATTTGTGAGATGTTTTTAGTTTAGGAACACAAGGTGATTTTGAACTCAGCTAACTGAACAATTCACGATTTAATATAAATAACTATCATTCGTCATTGTACATAGAGTAATATTTTGTCCAAATAATTTTCCCCCATGATCTATCATGAAACATACAATTTTATTCAGGTCCCTAATTTTCATCCATACATTCGATGGGATGGTTGTTTTATAGAAGCTACAACACTCGTGTTGCAAAAACGAAGACTACAAAAGCTAGCCAATATAGACGATCCAAGCATATGAATTGAAATAAATAGATTTACTTGTGAGTTTTGTATTATAATAGAGAAAGGCCGGGAAAGTAGATAAAAATTCGCCTGTAGATAAGTTCGCTTCGAAACGAACTTTGCCACGTTGTGTCGATATCATCGGGCCCTAGGAAAATTTCAACTCAGGCATAATCTTTCAAATACACGAATTTCTTAGATCAAAAAACAATCACTTTTGTAAATTATGATTTAACAATAAATTAACTGTCTTATTCTGTCTAGAAATCCGTAACAAAGCTGACATAACTAACCATATCTCACCTTCCCTGTTAGTTGTGCCGATCCATTGTGAACCAAAGCACAGACCATAGGTGGCAGATGCGTATCAACTCCACCGATGACACTAAAACCAAATCCACCGAGAGGATGTCTTTCTAGCTCCACATATCTATCATGAGCCATTACAAGACTCCTTCTTGCACACTCGGTAGAGTCATCTCTCGTCGGCGAGGTTGTTTCGGATTCGGAGCGTCAGAGATCACCCGCGTATTCTTCGGCTTTATTCGGAACGACAACGAGTATCAACGAACATTACCCGAATTTTCAAGGACAGTTTAATGAGCACTGTGAGGGCAATAGGTCAGAAGCAGTTGTGGCCCCGAATAAGGTCTAATGGAAGGTAGCCAAAAGGACTTGAAGCAATTGATATGAAAAGATCGCCTTCGCGCTTTGTCGCTCGATCCGGTAGTTACTTCAGTAAGAAATCATCCACCATATTTCCGGAAGTGCGTCACACAAATTTCTCTCCGGACGAGTATTGCAATAAACCTCAAAACTTTCAAGCCCATGTCTCCCCATAACTACTTAATTATTAAAATCAAAGTAAACTTTATTCATTCAGGGGAGCGTTTGCGAAATACTTCTCACAAAAAGGATTAATAAGTCTAAATAAGGCGAAGAAACACAACCGGAAATTGCTTAACTTTCAAGAGAATCCGGTTTTACGTCATCACGTGACTTTCATGGGACGTTGAAGATCACACAACTTCAAATATTTGTTAGGCTCGGAATATCAATCGTCTTCGACCATGTTAGACAAAACGTTATGGGAACAATTTTTAGATGTAGTGGAACCTCATCTACCGGAATATCTCCACTGGAATGAAATATGTGTTAGTTGTGAACTGTGATGTTTACCGGCCACTGTACCGATGTTACTGTCGTACTGTGCTGGTGTTACATAAGCCGGGAGAATTTATCGAAGATTATTTTTCTGAAACTGCATTTCAACGGTATTAATATATGTTCCTTATGTTAATTTTGTGATCTATTTTATTTTTCTTCCAGTGGACGTTCGTTTTTTACCTGGCCGAGGCAAGACGCCATATTCATCGATGGTGCCGAGGAATGGAAGCATGGGAGGTTATAAGCCGATTTAAAACTTACGTAGCTGCACTTAGCGTTTTTTCCTTTATTTGAATGATTTAAAGTATATCATGATTCTTAGTATTCTTGGCATGTTTTTAGGATCTGTTGTCTTGTATTTTTTATATTAATTGCTCATGAAGACTGCTCATGAACTTCAGTTTCATCACTCAATGAACAAGTGTTATGAAGAGGGTTTACATGGCCTGTCAAAAATTCTCCTAGACTACACGTAACAGTTTATTTTCGAAGTGGTCAAAGGTCGATATTTTATACTTGCAATTGGGCAATTTCTTGCTTTGAAATTACATAATCTCTGTTACGGAGAAATCAGCAAGCTCACGTGTAACTAACTGAAAGTGCAAACGTGTCAAGTTCTGTGATTGTGTAAACAATAACATCAAATGAGATGAAATATTTTCTCGGATGTTTATGTAAGAGGGTGGCAAATTATGATCATGATGATATTGTCATATGGCTTTGTATGTGTGTACGGCTAGTAATCCAGGGCAATAATCCCGGATTAAGATAAATAGGAACCCGAGCAAAGATGAGTTATATCATGGTTCCATCTACTTTTAATTAATTCTGACAAACCAACCAACTTGTTTATTCTGTATAACAGATTGTTGTCAATACAGTGACCTACTGCTTCTTTGTTTGGCTTGCCTTGGAAATTCTACGCTGGGTGATTGGATGGGCATTCTTCAGAGAAAAAAGTTTGTATTGTTTGATGCAATTTGTGAATTTAATATTAAGCAAGCTACCTATAATGTCAGCTGTAATGGCACCACTTAACATCGCCTAACACAGCAGTCAGACGTCTAACATGTGCAAATGGATCAATTCTGGCTAGCTGTGCAACAAGTTCCCTTCGCAAAATTTCAAAGAAATACATTCAATACAACTGCTCTCATAAAGTAAGCTAAAGAAAACTGAAATGTTGATAGCTATATGAAATTAAAAAGGAGAATAAAGTCAGGAAAGGAAAGCTTGAATCTTTTTTTGACTCAAAGCATAATCAATTACAGGTATCCTGAAGGCATGCCATTCTATTTTGAGCTTTACTAAAAACCTGATATGTTTTGGAAAAAACTGAGGTAGACTGGCTTGTGTGGTTGGTTGTAACTGGCGTGAGACAATGGAGTCAGAGAGCCTAAAAGGACACCACTTAGTCATAACAATACCAGCACATGTGTAGACATTTGATTGTGTGTTGGCCAGGGTAATTTTTACTAATCCTAAACTAATCTTTACTTTTCGCATAGATAAAAACATCCCCAAAACATTCTTCCAGCTATGCCCTCCAATGGTTTATACATACATAAAGAGATTCAACTCTTGAGTTTTTTTTCCTTTTTTTCCATATAAGTAATAAAAGGATGTGTTACTATAACAATTTGAGCGTTAAAAGGTGAAGATTGATTGAAAGAACTATAGTAACTCCTGAGATGTTTCCAGTCTTAAGCATACTCTAAAATTTTGCAAAAAGTCAAGATATCACTTGCTTAAAGAGCATGGTGCCATTACATGTTACTGCATTACTCTGTTTATTAACACACCCATCATGTCATAGAGGGAAATTCAAGTAAAGGCCACTTGTTTTTTTCTGCTTTTTTTCATAGGATATTCAGTCTCAATTTTTGGCAAATGTGCTTGTTGCCATATTACACATTAATTAATAATGGTATTAGGACCAAGTGGAGTCCAATTTGGTTCATGACATATGAATGATTAACAAAATCAGACAACTGCGAAGCGGGAGTCCCATTGTTAATCACAAGTATGATTACTGACAGAATTCAACAACAAAAAATTTTGTTACCAATTAATTATAATCATTAAAATTTCTGAAAAACAAATATACCTAGAACAGATATCTCCAGTGGAGACAATGTCTTTACTTAAATATTCCTCCATTTTGGAAATTGCCTTGTTTTTCGTTGGATAAGTGGTTGTTGCTGTGGTTAATGTGATCAATTCTGTGATTGGTGGAATTATCTGAGTAGACCTAGTATAATTGGCTGCTTCAACTGTCGAATTACAGGTGTCTGATTACAGCCAACTGTCCAACTACAACTGTACAGAATGATTAGTCAAAAATGAAGCACCAATCACATTTGAGTTAATTGTAATGGTTATGATTAACAATTTTACAGCTCCTTTCATGTGATATCCTGTGTGAAGACTTTCGTGTAGCAATGCAATTCACTGCTGCAAGATAGAGAAGTTACTGCTGGTCTGAAAGGAAAGAACGATTCTTGACTTATTTACATTCTTGGAAAAGCACAAAATTATTCTTGTCCTCTTAATTTTTAAATTGTCTCAATAATAATTTGACCCAGTGGCTAGTGCTGACATAAGATAATCTAGACTAATCAATCAGCCCATGACTCTTACAGTTCCCACGGCTTGTGTTTCACATCATATTGTTGTTAATGTCAATGTTATTTGATGTCATTCAGGTCTGATAGAGAGAGTAAAGAAAGGATTTTTTCGAACGTTGAGAAGAATGCCATTTATAAAAGATAAGGTGAGGATACAAGTGTTTTAGATTGACAAAATACAGTGTAAGAGGGGAAATATTTCAGAACCTCTCCAATCTCCTGGTCATGCTATACATACCTGTGTAATGAGGATTTTAAAGTCAAAACCTTTGCTGGGAACCTATCAGAACATTCACTGTAATAGAAAGAAAAGTACAAACAAGATACATGTCAGTTGACAAAATTTCCTAAGTCAAATACTTATCCTTGTCTTTGAGTGTCTGGACACAAACTTTACCATCACTTCCTTTCAAAAAGTATGGTATGTTAAAGTTGCCAGTAAATGCTAGAGACCTTCATCAATACTAAAGAAGTCCACTGCATCTATACTGTACTTTGGTATGTTAGAAAAGTTGATTTTTTCAACTCAAATTGTTTATTTGCTGTTCCACAGATAGCCAATGAAATGAATAAAACTGTGGAAGAAATGGGCAAAACAGTATTTCCTGTGAAGCCAGGAGAGACCTTTCATACAAGAGTACGTCATATGAATCTTCAAACATCTAAATGTACACACTTGTACTCTCTTCAATTGTTCTGTTTTCAATGATGTACACTGTAGTGGGTATCTTGACAGATGTGTATGTAATTTAGATCATTGTTAGACAAGAAACTTGATTGAAAGGAAATGTGGAGGAGAAGGTAGACTAGTACACTTCCTTCCTTAAATGTTACCTTCTGGAAGATGATTGTTGAATCAATGTCATTTTGCAAATTTAAAATTTTGCTCCAAATTGTGACGCTAACTGTTCTGTGTAAGTTCATGTACTTATTTATACTTTTTTTAAATTCAATTTTAAGCTACCAGCCAAAGGAATGAAAGAGGTTTGTATTTTGAAATGAGTTTAGTAATTGTAAATGATTTTAAAACTGTTTTATATGAAATAATTTTCATCTGAATTTATGTTTGGTGTTAAGGCTAGATAATTATTATATGTTGTGATCTGAAGTCTTCTTGGTTATGAATACTTTAAACCAGTTTTATTTTAAATTTCCTTTGTTTGTATTGTTATAATTATCATGACTGTGAAGAATGTTGTGGGCTGTAGGTGGAGGGAGGGGGGGAAGGAGTGCAGGAAGTGGTCCAAAATCCAAAACATGTTAATATTTCAAACTTGCATAGGTGTGCCTCTTTGCATGTACACTAATTTAATACTATGACACATGCTTTTATGGTAATGAAAAGCTTTATTTCATTCCCCTGTAGAAAGATCTAATGAAAGAAATTGAAAATTACACAAAGCTTGGTAAGTGACATCTACATCACTACAACAGCAATAACCTTGGTATCTGTACTTGTAAACTTTTTTTGTTATAGTGGTTTACAAGATATACATGTATTTGCTGAATTTTTTTTGATGACAATTATTATAAGTTCTGATATACTAATATTAAAAATTTTTTTAATAGTCTCTCAAGTTTCAAACAGTGTGTCATTTTTCTCCACTAAGAGTAAGCTACACAGCTGAACCGCTACAAATCTTAATCTTGGGAGATCATTTGATATCTAGGAGGATGTTGTGCTTATGGACTTTAATTCTTTAATTTTATCAGTCTCTTACATTGTAATCTAATCATTCAATGTAGGTGAAGTGAAATGGGAGGAAGGACGTGTTTCTGGAGCAATTTATTGTGGAGGAAAAGAACTCACAGAAGTGCTAACAAAGGTAAAGAAAAAGCCTTGTTTAGGGGCATTAACCTTTTAACTTCCCTGAGTGACCAAGACAGAATTTCTCCTCACTATATCAATACAATCTTAAGCAGACAAGTGATGGGAATAAATAAAAATATCAATTGCCGGACTAGAAGTTGATCTAATACCAAATTATCCAAACTAACATCACAAGAACAGTATGGCAGACAGTAAGGGGAATTACTAATGAGATCTTGAGAGTTAAAAGGTTACAGGAAATTGAGAGACGAATTTTAGACTCATTGAATGTTATGAAAAAGAAAAAAGAAAAAAAATTCCTGTATTCTATCAGGTATGTTGTTTACATTGTGGATACCTGCACATTTTTAGGCTTAGATGAGTTTTTGATGGTCAGAGTTACTAAACAGGATGAATAATCTGTCACTAAAAATTTAAACTTTTAACTGAAATTCTTGTGCTAACTTAAAGAAGCTTTTATGATCAGAAACAGCATCAGCCTTCCTTTGATTTGAATTATTTTACCTACAGGTCTATTCAAAATTCACTTGGGCCAATCCACTCCATGTGGATATCTTTCCTGATGGTAAGTAAGCAGCTCACAATGTAACCTAACCAACTCAAGTTCAAGGTCCATACTGTAACCTTTAGATCAAGTTTTCCACTCTGAATTGTGACCCATGCTCAATGCTTGGAGGTACAACTCTAACTTACAGTATAGATAGATAAAATGAGTTCAGGAAGATATTTTTTATATTTCTGGGTTCAAAGAGGGGGAAAATTTCAATTCAATTAAAATTTTGAATTTAGCAGGCCATGCAGTGAAACGTGGCCTCCTAAATTGACCAATCATAGGAAATGTATTAGCTGAGAAATGTTATGATAATTTTTATTCCATGGAGTGTCATTACATGTGTCATGAAAATGGCATAAGTATTTTTTTTTTTTTAATCCAACAGTGCGGAAGATGGAAGCAGAAGTTGTTCAGATGTGTGTCAATATGTACCATGGAGGGAAGGATGCATGTGGAACAGTAAGAATCATTCATGAAATAATGCAATAAAACACCAACTTGTCAACAGTTACATTCCCTCTACACAGCATAGGAATAACACTGCAATTTTTGCTTTAACCCTTTAACTCCTGCATCTGATAGTCAATTCTCTCCTCCAGCTACAACATATTTCCTTTTAAATTTGTTACAAGAATTTGGTGTTAGATCAAGAGAGCAACTTCTGCTTGATGTGTTTGAGTATTCTCATGACCTGTTTGCTGGATAATGTATGGGTATTGCAGGGAGAAGTTAGTTGTTAATCACTTCAGGGAGTTAAAGGGTTAAGTAATAATCCTCTTTTTTAAACAGTCTAGTGTGTTCAAGAAATGTTTTAGTTTATTAATAGCTAGATTTAAATGTTAATTATTTTATGAAATCGACAAATCTTGCATAGAGAGCATAGATACCTGAGTGTATTGTAGGCACCAACAATCTGATCCCTTAAACTTCATTTTTTAGTATTCTTGCATAAATGTGAAAATTTAGAACTTGTTTGGACAGTGTTATTTTGCTTATTTATTTCTGTATGTATTTATGACTTGCCACTGTTTAATTTAAGACTCTCAAGGACATTCACAACTGTAGTAGAGACTACTATGTTTTTTTTACTTTTTTCAGATGACCAGTGGAGGAACTGAGAGTATATTGATGGCATGTAAGGCATATCGTGACTGGGCAGTTGACCGTGGAATAACACACCCAGAAATGTAAATACCATCCTGTATTGAATGATTAAGACAAGCCTAAAAAAACACTGGCTTTTCATGCAGAAATGTAGTTGCAGAATAATGTAAAATAACTGAAAAATATCCTCCACATTTGAATTAAGAAAAGAAGCTCAGGGCATTGAAATTCAACGCCAAAATTTTTCAATTTCTAGCTCAACAACACATTGAAAGATCTGTGCATCTCACCTGGTCATGTATATGTCCATAGGAATAGGTGTAAGTTGGGAAAAATTGAAAAGTGGTACTTTAAAATTATCCAGCACCACTTACATTACAAGGTAATGAAGGGAAAAAAACCCTAACCACGAGATTCAACCATTGTTACATGACATGCACTGACACATGTAACTAGTCATTTGTCAATCTAGTTGTTGGGTACTTGCTACAGATTTAGAGCTATTTAAAAAGGGCACATTTTTCTTTATTTCAGTGTGGCACCTATAAGTATTCATGCAGCATTCGACAAGGTAAAAATACTGATACTTTATTTTGAATAAGTAGATTTCATTTGAGTTGACACTGTGTTTTAAGTGATCAGTGAATCACTAATTTCAATTTTTATTCAGAAATATAGTCAAAAGGAGACAAAGTCATAAAATTATGTCTTTGGCAAGGAAACTAGGTTGGGGGAGTAGGCAGAGATAGGATGGTGTGAGTTGTAGGGTGGGAGGATTTGGGGAAATTAGCAAGGAGATGGAACACGGGGAAAATGTCATATTCTATGTTGAAATGAAAAGTCCATTTAGAAGAATTTTTGTATGTAAGTCTAGAGGTTAGGAACCTTGCAAGAGATTCAGTTTCTTCTACTTTCCATTACTGCAAAATTCCCCAAGACAACTTTATTCTTTGGATGGTTGGGTTTGCAAGCAGAGTTTATGGCTGAAAAAATTTGAAATCACTGTTGCTCTCTGCATTTCAAGTTTGTTTGTGCATTGGCCTGGTTGTTTGTTTGTTTGTTTGTTTGTTTGTTTGTCTGTCTTTGTCTGTCTTTGTCATTCAGGGTGAGTTCTACTAATCAGTGACTCTACGACATACAAGTTGAACCCTCTGGTAGTATAGTTATAACATAGCTCCACCTCTAAACTTGGTTTTTTTTCTTGGTTTTATAGGCAGCTCACTATTTCAATATTAAGCTTGTTCATGTTCCTGTTGATGAGAAAACAAGGAAAGTTAACATCAAGGTAAGAAGTGGTATTTACAAGTGTTAGATTTGGAACTTGAACTTTATTTAAGAGGTTAAAGACCAAAGCCTAAATGTTTGCCACTCAGTGATATGTTTTTTTTTCTTGCAGGCCATGCGGAGAGCAATAACAAAGAATACCATTCTAGTATGTTCAATTTGGTTCTGCAATTTGTGAGCTGTTATTGTCATTGGTTCTTTGTCTTTTGTCTTTTTCATGTATTTTGTTGTCTCATTGTAACCTGCTTTGGAGTGCAAGATTTTGTAATAGTGAAGGAGTTGAGGAAAATGTTAAAAAAAATTGAAAGTCTGCAGTGATAGATCTTCACTAGTTAAAGGTGTTTGCCATTAGTCCAAAATGTGGACTATTGTTAAAAAACGGCCACAACTGTCACCCTCTACTAAAAAAAAAGTCATGCCTAAATGCAAGTTACTGTTATTCTGTGTTCACTGTTTGTATGTGGGTCACTTGTTGTGGTTTGTTTTAATTTGTTTCCTTTGTCTGTTTGTTTATCTTTTGTTTGAACCTGTCTTCCTCTCTGTCTTCATTTTCACCTTTTAGGCAACATCTAAGTATTGCAGTTCCTGTTAATACACTGTTACAGTTATGCTATTGTCTAAACAATACATGAATGCTCTGTCTCTGTTTCAGCTTTGTGGCTCAGCACCTCAGTTTCCTCATGGTGTTATGGATCCAATTGAAGAAATAGCCAAACTTGCCAAAAAGTATAACCTTGGTTGTCATGTAGATGCCTGCCTTGGTGGTTTTCTGATACCATTCATGAAAAAAGCTGGGTATGTCTCTTTTATAACACAATCCCCAGTGGTCTTTCCGTGCTTTCATTTGGGTAAAAAAGATAAAAGGTAGAAATACCCACAAGCCAGAAGGGTCATCCTAACTGAGCTTATCCTGCCCTCCAGAAATATAAAGCTTCTGAAAATATGGCTACTCCCTCTGGACTGGATTCCGTTCCATAACAGTTGCCCCTCCCTTCCCCTTCCCCTTTTCTTCCCCCCCTTCCCCCCCCCCCCCCCCCCCAAAATATCTGCATGATAAGAAATTGGGCTTTCATCTCACAGATTCTGATTTTGTATCATATGATATGAATACTAATATTGCATATTTTTGTTGATTTGTCCAGGTTTAGTCTTCCTCCATTTGATTTTTCTGTAGATGGAGTTACAAGTATATCCTGTGATACACACAAGGTAAGTCAGAGTGAGAGGTTTCCAAAGTGCCTCTGTGTATATATATTTTCTCAACCCTATTTTAACATTGAATGCAAAATGAAATCTATTGAGTTTAGTGTGTCCTACTAGTATTCATGTCTCTTTTTTCTTCCCTTAAGTTTATCTAAGTTGTTTGTTGTTTTGCACTTTGATCCCTAAGTGAAGACTGTCTGTTCTCTCTTCAGTATGGATTCTCACCCAAAGGATCTTCAGTTATCTTGTACAGCAACAAGCATCTCAGGCATTTTCAGGTGAATTGATTCAAAGCAAACTTTACTTCTTAGAAACCTCTATAGAAAATACTATTGACTCTTAAAACCTTCCCTCTTAACCCTTTAACTCCTAAGATCTGATCGTTAATTCTCCCCTCTAGCTGCTACACATTTCCTTGTAAATTAGTTATGAGAACTTGGTGCTAGATCAAGATAGCAGCTTCTACCTGATGAGTTTGAATATCCTGATCACCTGTTTGGTGAAGAATGTATGGATATTGTAGGGAGACGTTTTATGTCAATCACATCTGGGAGTTAAAGGGTTAATGTACTCAGAATTGCACAATTAAACAAAAATCATATCCTTACCTTTTGTGTAATTCCTTGCAGCTTTTGTATGCAACTACTGGTAGTAAATTTCCACAGCATTAATTTTGTATGAATTTTTATTTCTCATTGAAACTTAATTTTTTTTTTTTTTTTTTTTTTTTTTTTTTTTTTTTTTTTTTTTGGGGGGGGACACCAAGATTACCAATTGCTGACTTTCCACAAAATTTGGCCAAAATTTAAAATGCATGAAATTCTTATGCCAACATGGGAGGTGCAGTATACCAAATTGTGGTTCTAGTTTGCTGGCAGTTTGCTGTTTTTTGCAAAGGAAAAACAATAAAACTCATTTAGTTATGCAAGCTGCACATTAAAAAGAAAACAACAACAGAAAAGGCCATGCTGAAGTAGACATTTTGTTTTTATCAACTGAGTTGATAAGGTGAATTGCAGGGCCATCATAAAGAGATTCTAAAACTGACATTTTGAGCATTAGCATTGGAAAAAGGTTAAGTTTTCCTGAAGATGGGGATTGAATGTTGCAAAAGCTGCTTTGTTTACTCAAAATGAAATTCACTTGTGCGTCAAACCTAGTGTAGAAAGGATGCAGCTCATGTAAGGAGATTTACAGTGTTTTTTTTGTTTAGTATTTTGTTGCACCTGATTGGCAAGGAGGAATTTATGCCTGTCCATCAATACCTGGCAGTCGACCTGGTGCAATCATAGCAGCGACATGGGCTACAATGATTTACTATGGAGAGTCTGGTATGGAAAGCTTATCCATATAGTGGATGATTTTTGTAGTTAACTAGAATTTAATTTAAAATGTTTGAATGAGAGTGTAATTCATTTGGATACAACCATTCAGCAGTATCTGCCACAATCAATACAAAAATGGCTTTTTTTCTTCCAGGTTATGTTGAGAGCACAAGAAAAATTATATCAACAAGAAAGAAAATTGAGGATGGGTGAGAAAGATTATTAGTTTTGTATTTTAAGGTTTATTTTGCAAAACCCTCAGCTACCGTTGTGGATATTAAGTTTTGCATGGGCTTTTTTTTTATGGCTGATTTTCAGTCGAAAAAATGTATGGTAGACATGAGAGAGATTTTGATATAGAAATCGTGATAGTGATAGAGTTACCCATGTGACTTTACAACGGTATGTTAAGCCTTATAATTCTTTCCTACAGAAGGGAGATGCAATGAAAATGAGATTGAAATTGAAAATTCATTAATGTTTGTCTTAAGTTAATGAATGGAAGTTTTTCTTTGCCTTGTACCCCTATAGCTTGCGAAAGATCAAAGGTATTTTTGTTCTTGGAAAACCTGAAGTGAGTGTGGTGGCGTTTGCTTCACATGATTTTGATGTTTACCACCTGGGCGATGCTCTCACCAAGAAAGGCTGGCATCTAAACACCCTTCAGTTCCCTTCAAGGTTTGTATTCGCTGTTTCTTTCAGTCACTCAGTTTTCAGAACTGTACCTAACAGTATAATAATAAATTGCACTTGACAATGACGTAGGCTTTTACAAGCTACTTGTTCCCAGGGTCTCCTCCCTTTAAGGAGAGAGAGAGAGAGAGGACCTGGGAACGAGGTTGGTTTTTAATACGCTTTATTCTCAAATGTTCGACCAAATTTACACTGATTTAATAAACAGAATTCTTAAAATAATGAAATGAAAGTTGTGTATCTGTCCATGGCTGATATGTTGTAATCGTTTCGATTTTTTGCAGTATTCATATTTGTGTGACAGCTCTGAACACACAGCCAGGTGTGGCTGATCAGTTTATTAAGGACGTCAGAGAATGTACCGCTGCACTTTTGAAAGATCCTGCAGCAAAATCAAGCGGCATGGTGAGATATTCTGTTAGCACAAATAAATGAAATAAAACGAATTTGACCTGTGGATGATAATTATTAACGAAATAATTATCACAGATGAATCGAGTTGAAGAAACTGCAGAAAAAGGCCCCGAAAAGTCAGGTTTCGACAGGGTGTGAACTCGATGGTGGTAGAGTGCCACTAGCCACCGAACTTGGTGGCGAGGCAAATTTCCTTCTTTGAAATGGTAGTAACATTGAGCTAGTATGTGAGAGGAACTCTTTCAAAGCCTGAATTTTTTTAGGTTTCCATATCTGCAATTTCGTCTAATGCAGTTGATCTGTGAGGTTTTGTCCGTCTCGTAATTCAGTTACTGACCTAATATGTGCGTCGTAAATTTTTAAAGTAATACGTAGTGACGTATCGGTTTTTCGACAGCTTATTGACTTTGCTCTTATTGCAGTCTGCCATCTATGGTATGTCCCAGAGCATTCCGGATAGATCCATTGTTAATGAAATAGCGTGGGGCTTCTTGGACTGTATGTACAATGTCAATCACGAACCAGCTCATGAAAATGGAGTCGTCAAGCATTAATTTTGTTTTTGGTACGAAGTAATAAGGTGCAAGTCACACAACTGATTCGTTAATTTACCTCCACGCCCGAGGTGTCACGCAACCTTTCGTCCAACTCTTTTTCGACGGAAGCGTTGCGTGACATTCCAAAGTTCGGCTACGCAGGGGCTCTCTGTCTCTTTATGTACTGCAAAAGATGGAACGCTTTTTCAGTCGTTTACCTTTGTATTTATCGGGTAAATTAGATAGAGTCTATTTTCCACGGCTTTGATTGTTTTTGTCAGCCCTAAGGATCAACAATTTCTGGAAGAAAGCGATTTTTCGTTACATCTGAGGGACTAGTGAGTCAACGATCGTGAAATAGACACAACATGATATAACGTTTCAGCGGTAGCCTTTTGGGTACCAAGGGCCTTTTTATTCATGGTACTGACCCATAGAAACCTAACTTTGAGAACAAGATATTACTAATATATTGATCATTCCTGGGTGAAAAAGAATAAATGAGTATAACTTAGCAGCTAGAATTATTTTAAAGAAACACCATAGAAGAAATGCACCTATAATCTTATTACATTGACCTATTATCTTACTTATTATTGGCCCTGATTTTCTTTAATAAGGGCGACAGGAAGGGAACTTAAACCATTAGCCTAAGGAGCAGGCATTAATTTATAAAGCGTGGTTACATTAATATAAGCTAGAGGAAAAAAGGTTTTTGATAATATTATTTACCTATTTCAGTGCAAACTATAAAGGCTATAGAATTGTCAGTTGCATCACGGGGCGCCAACCATCAGCTAGGATTTGCTGGCCAGGTCGGCTTATTCTCATGAAGAATTTGAGCCTACGTATCGGGTGCTCCATGCAACCGCGTGCGAGTGACTTAGACCGTCACGCGAGATAGAGAAATGATCGCTCGATTTTCGTTTTTCTGTGTTTGGTTGTTCGTTTTTAATACATAGCATATCGAATACTTTCTTATGTATGGGAAGCAAAACAACCAAGGGTATCACATATTTCAAGTGTTTTTTACGATCGATCCGCCCTTCTTCGTTGTATTTACTCAGGCAGGTCCTAGGGTATCAAATACGCATGCGTCGCAGGCCTGGATACATTCCGGTTAAAACTCAAGGGAGCCTTTTCATTTTAAATTTTTAATGAATTAATGTAGGAATGCGGGGATTTTTTTGGAGTTTGATTAATTAATGATTATCTAGAAATTAGATTTAATATAGATTTGATTAGATTTGTTCCTGTGTTCACGCTAGGCTGGAGCATGTTTAATTTGATCAGAAAAAGCTAGATTGAACACGATAGACCTGAGAAACGACGATCGGAAAATATTCTCTTTTTGTTGGTTTCGAGCCCAACAATTTGAAGAAAATATCGAGATGACAAAGAACAGGATTTTCAAATCAATCTTTCCTAGGGTGCGGCATTGTTGCCTTCTTATCATATTTGAGGCGCAGCTGGTTCTTTGCTCATCCACAGGTTGAAGTAGCTTTTATTTTGAGATAAGGGAAAAAATAAAGGGTGAGACTTGGGGACGCGAAAATTTTTCATGATTACGCCAAACATGTTTCAGTTCTAAAGTGAACACACCATAGTGAGTTAAGTTTCGTTAAAACTCGTTTCTGTCAACTCATCATAATTGTAGTCATTGTTTATCTTCACTTTTCCTCTTAATATTCAGTCCTGCTCAGACAATTACAGCATGAACCGTTGCTTGTTGCTTTTTTGGATGTATTCAGACTCTTAGCAAGTCGCCAATTGGGGTTTAGTTGTTAAGAAGAGGGTGGAATCCAGTGGATTAAGGCGCGTGGGGACTCACGGGAAGAACATGGCGGCCGAGTACGAGCCTTTACCCATTAACTGCCAAGATTTTATTGTTAATTCTCCACTGTTGATACTGGATGCTTTCTTGTAAATGAGTTGTGAGAATTTGGTGTTAGATCAAGACAAAAACTTCTCTCTCATTAGTTTGTATATTCATAGTACCTGTTTGTTGGATAATGTATGGATATTTTAGAGAAAAATTTCATGTTAGTCTCTTCTGGGAGTTAAAGGGTTAACCGCGTTTTGTCGTTTTTGTTTCACCATCTATTTTGCCAACATTATATTCTTATTCGTATCCGTTTATATTGTAGCAATGAAATGTAATTGATTTAGCTAATATGAGTGGTTTTTGTGTTCTCAGTAATAAAGTTGTTGATTTGTCATTCTCATTGGAGTATCAGTTGTCTTAATCGATACTTCCTTTGTTGGACAGTGTTAAGCTGCGGCAACCTCTGGTCTGGACGGTCTGTTTGTAGAACGAACAAGGACGCAGGGCAAGCGAAAGTTGGCGAGAGAAAACGAAAGGGTACTAAGGAAGGATGGAAGAACTCCTAAAATCCCTCTCCGATTTTTTCTTGCTCGCGAATTCATTCGTCTCTACTGACCAATTGGAACTTAGCTAATTTTATCCTTCATATTGTTGTATATTCACCGTTGGAAATTTTTTGAGTTTGCATCTTTGTTTCCTTTAATGTCTGATTGAAACATGGATGCTAATCTTGTGTGTGACATGCTCCTTAATGTGAAATGGCCGGAACCGCTCTCTTCTAAGAGGACGAAACGGTAACACTGCCTTTATTATATATCTGCCTGCGACCGTAAGCGCAAACAAATGATTCAGAAAACGATTTCACAACAATGATTGAAGGCCTTAATGAAGACTGGAATTCTGATATAAAGTTAGAGCAAACTGCCGCACAAAGGAGACTGCAGCTCGCAATAACACAGTCCGTGAGATACGAGCGGTCACTGTTACATTCACTGTACCTCACAATTCTGTCAGTGAGAATTTCTCAACACAGTTCATTTCAGTTCAGAAAGCTTGTCAACTGCCTCAGGGAGCCTAGCAACAGGACTTATCCTTGATGAAACCGCTGTTGATAACTCTCTCAACGCAAACGAAGGCGGCGTTCTTTCACTTTGGCGCGTTTGTTGATCCTGGTGATAAATGCCAAACAGTGAACAAACTGCCCTCCTAAAATCTGGCATTCTGAATGCGTACAAAAATGGATTCACAAGAGAATTCCCAAAGTTAAAAAAGCTCATAATGTTGAGAAAAAGATTGCTCGTTTTTCTGTTGAGAGCGAAGTACTTGACGCCAAGTACAACCATTGGAAGATAGGCGACTATGGAGAAAACTGTAGCCATGAACAAAGTCACCGTTAATTTGCGCTCTCTGTCCGATCTACGTTGGTCAGTTCGTCGCATTTTTACAAATAGAGCTGAGTACGACCCACAGATTACCAACAACAAGAGACAAATATAGGGCAACCAGGAAAACAGGGAACCCAACGGTGACGAATACGCAAAAAGTGCAACCGCATACGAACTCGTGATGACGGCAGACAGCATCCAAATAGAGGCAATGAAGAACAGAACTTGGGACTTTGGAGTGGCGCGATGTCTCCATGGTAACATGGTTGCGTATAACCTCTCGAGTGATATGGCGGCCAGGTTTGAAATCGAGGCAACACTTGCGAACATGTCCAACGTCAGGAAAGTGATGGTTTGCCACAGCTCACCCAAGCCTGTCACCTGATAAATCCATAGGGGTAGAACAATTAAGCCAATGCACAGGTCTGCCAGCGCCAAGCTGATAATGAGATAAGAGCTTGGCTTTCTTAGGCGGTAATCTCGCGCAAAGATAATGACAATCAGAAGGTTTCCTATTACTGTGACAAAGGCTTCGATGGCAAACACAGTACACCATGTTGCAACTTCAATCTTGCGTGTTGACTGGGAAATATCGTCGTCTGAGGATTTCACCGTGGAATTCTGCATTTTTAGATCTGGAAGGAGAACACTAACTATTGTCCTTCTCACCAAAGTTTGATGAAGACTCCTCGCTAAACTTATTCTCAAATTACAGCTAACAATTCTATCAAACAGCTTCGGTTCTACTGATGGTATTAAAGTGATTCCCCAGTATTGCGCTTCGCATCCTGAAGTGCGCATTAAAATCACGTAATCAGGCGACTTAGCGACGTGCACATTGTTTGTTAATCAGTGGTGATAAGGTACGATGGTCTTTAGACCTACATTTTTTTATTACATAACTTTGGGGTACACGTATCTCCTTTTAATTGAAGAAATTATTTAAAAAAAACTCATTGAAGAGCACAAAAGAAAAAAGCTTGCAGAAAGCCCGTAACTCGAGGATGCAAATTATGATCTTGAAAGCAAAAACTTGAGTAACGTTTTGAGTCGATGTCGGCTAAGATTGGGTGATTGTGTTGATTGTTCCACAAAATCTGTATTAAATTTTTTCATACGCTCGAGACTTTCTACCAATCAAGTCTTTTCAAAGTGTTACTTTAAAAACTTTTGCCTTCAGCAACTGCAAAATGTACCGCGAACCGAGGAAATGAGGCGAGTGATTAGTGCTAGTACATGTTTAAATGAGGTAACTTTGACCCATCATTTCTCTTAAACAAGCTCAGTGACTTTTTCATTTCATTTTTCCAAACATTAGTAGGGAACATATATTGTAATGAAGTTCAGAGATGAAGCGCGCTGTCGTTGGTTGAAAGAGCGTGCTCCATGAGAGTAAAGAGCATAGAGCTGAGTTAAAGCTGTCACGCCATCTGCCAAATTGTACTTTGTCCGACCTTTTCCGGGACTTTTCTCTAGTTTTTTTTTCTTTAATTGAAAATGAAATTTCGGAACAGGCGAATCGGCAAATAGCAACAGAAGAACCAAACAAAGGTTTGCAAACATGCCAGGCGCTGCAATTGACGTTATTAAAACGTGAGTGGAGACGAAAATCCTCGAAGAGTAAACGAAATGGACGGTCCGAGTTTTTAAGGTTTTCACACTCAGTTAGATTGCAAGGTTACGTACGGTATTAAAAATCAAACACAGCGAACACTCGTGTAATATATGGTTTCGTGTTCAAAAACAAAAGAGAAAAAATCAGAAATGATTAAAAATATTATTACACCCATTTTGAAATCACTGCTGGTCCCTGTAATCCGTTGGGCTCTAATCGGTGCGATTTATTCACGAATCGCACTATTTTTTGCTTTAAATTGCATCTTTTTCCCAGCCAATGAGCAGGCTACACTAAAAACAAAACAACCAATCAGATTTCAAGGCTTGTTTAAAGTAACCAATCAAATTGCAGGAAAATGAAAGACAAAGATTATCGTATGGCAAATTTTGCTACTTTTGTTTCCAAAGTTCTTGTTTTTCCCCCAAAAAATGGATGAATTTAATTTCAAATCAGTTCAGTACTGCATCAATAAAATATTTGAAGTGACCAAGTCCTGTATTTGGGCGATTTCAAAATGGATGTAATAAAGTGGTAATTGAACCTCGTGTCGTGCAATCGAAATCGAAATTTGAAATCACGCGTATGATTTCAGCCCAAATTGCACTCCACTCAGTTCAATTACCATTATTAACCAAACTGGCAAAACCGTTAAAATTCATACAAATCATGACAGTGTCAGAGCTCGTCATGGCGATCTCCGGTCATCGTAATCAAGTTCGCCTCAGAAATTACATCGGCCGCACAGCGAGAGAAGGCCACATCAGTCTTACGGCGCTGTCATCCCGAGCAATCCTAATGTTCCGGTAAATTCGGCTGTCGTTCATTCAGGAAACACACGCTTGAACATTTTGTTTTCTAACTATCACGTGATAAAACTTACGTATTTTTAAGAGCCACAATGGGGCCGGATTTCACTGAATATTTCACTTTCAGAATCTGTCTTAAAGACTAAAAAGTGTCAAATTCGACCTGCCGAACGCGCAGAAGGTGAACTTTGATGGTTTGACATTTTTGACAGCCTTAGTCTTGTACAGCCAATCAGATTATTTGAACCATTCTAACGGGGATTCTGATTGGCTTATTGTAGCAAGCTTTGTGAAAGTATTGAGCATGCTGACGACACTGTAGTTCTCTTTAGAACTAAAGTTTGTTTTGAAAATTGAAAGTAATACGTGGGGAATTTAACAGATTCTTTATTATATTACAAATAGAGAAGCCTTGACTGTGCTCTGTTTTCTTGTGTAAAGCACGTAGGAAGCAGCTAGAGCACGAAAGAAGTAGGGAGAAATACTCGACTACGTCTCGTGTTTCTCCCTACACTTCTTTCGTGCTCTAGCTGCTTCCTGCGTGCTTTACAACAGAACAGAGCACAGTCAAGGCTTCTCTATTTGTTAATTGTGCGATAACTTTTTTTTTCTGAGGAATCACCTTTTCAAAAAATTCTGACTACATGCAAGGTAAACAACCAGCTCCCGAGGCTAAGCTAAGTGCCTATTTAATGTAGCTTAAGAAAGTTCTTCCTTATTCGCAAACGATTAATGTTGAGATTACGACTGTTTTTGGTTTTTTTTAGAGGGTCTGTTCTTCTCCACGAGAACTCCGCCGAGTTTGCAAAATTGGAAAACTACAATTGCATAGTTCTTTTTATTAATTTACTCAATTGAAGACTTTCGATAACGAACACGGGAAACAAATTTTCTCGTACAATCAGAGGAAAGGTTGTTAGAGACTTAAGTTGATTTCGTCATTGAATTGTGAAAAAAGGTCACCTACCTTGAGGATAGAGATGCCCTGTCGCTATTAGTTCAAGGTCAAAGATGGACCAAAGAAAAAAAAAGCATGCATCCAGTATGGCGTACACAAGAAGAAATTGTCGGTTTCGTATCTCTTAATATGACAACTAATCAGAACAAGATTGTCGTTACAGCCGTGAAGGTGCGTTTTTGAATGGATGCTTTTATGTCATTTTATTGTCATTTTGACAAGCAATTTCGCAAATGGATGGCTTGCGCACACACTTTCTATTTGGTTGCCCCATTTTGCGTGAATTGAATTATCATATAAGAATTATAAAGAAAACTTAAAATGGTAAAATGTATACTATATTTTAAACTAGACACCTGCAACCATTTTCTCGGGCTACTTATGTGTAACGCAGAAAGATTATCTTTGCATTAGGACTTTAGAAATGAAAACAATCACTTAAACACCGAAAAGGAAGTCTAAGAGGCTCCATTAGGCAAGAGCTTTGAGCGTCGTGTATACCTTCTACAATTTAAGCTTGAAGTGAAGGGAATGTAGCCTTTGTTATCAGATAGAAATGGAATGTTTGAAACATATTATCTATCTGCAAAACTATAAATAAAAATTGGCAAATTCACCTTCATAAACATATACATCCATTGCTTTTTTTCACATTTGTTGTCTGACGTGGCATACCATTTACCCTCTTCCAATGAACATTAGGATTTACTGTTATGTTAATTTAAAGGAAGTGGAAATCAAGGGTTCATTAGGTGAATTTTGCAAAGATAGTTAAATATCCTGTATACTTTGTTTGTATCGAGGTTTCCCATATCTGCATTCCCCCCCCTCCACGTATTGCCCAAGCTTAATGTTTTCTGGGAATCCTGAAAATTATAAAAACCCTGGATAAAGCGTAGGGGATACCCTAGGTTTAAAGTAAATAAAGGCGAACTATTCTAATATTCTGTATAAAAAAATTAAGCTACCTCCCCCCCTACAGCCAATCTAAAATAGTCTTGAGGCCCCTTTTTTTTTCTCCCTTCCTCTACATAAATAGTATCGGTCCCTCAACTCATTTTATGATGCTAACCCCCCTAAAATTCTGTATAAAAATTTAGCCACCCCCTCTAGCCAATCTAAAATAGCCATGAGGCTCCTTTTTTTTTTCTCTCCCTCTACATAAATAATATAGGTCCCTCAGCTCATTTTATGATGCTAACCCCTCTAAAATTCTGTATAAAAATTTAGCCACCCCCCCTCTAGCCAATCTAAAATAGTCTTGAGGCCCCTTTTTTTTCCTCTCTCTCCCTCTAAATAAATAATATCGGTCCCTCAGCTCATTTTATGATGCATTTAAGTACTATCTACTCAGTTAATCATCTTAGAGGTAGTTTAGAAAATGGAAAAGGACCATTTCGTGATTGATATTCAGTGCAATGTAAACGTACAAAACGGGGCAAGATCGTCTCCTGCTTCCTGCCACCAAGCAATCTCGCGTGTCATATATTGTTGATATCATTGATAAGTTTTTTAAAAAGTACTTAATTAAATCATTTAAAAATCATTAAATTTCTTGATTGCTCAATATTACCAGTCCGAAGTAACATAAGTATCCAGTGGTTTTTGTCAAAACCTACGTTGAGCTTTACAGCTTCTAGAAAATGATAAAAGATGGATATAGAAGAGAAAGTTAAATCATACATCCATTTTGAAATCACTTGTGATCCTTGCAATCTTTTTGGCTTTCAGTAGTGTGATTAATTCACGAGTTGCACCATCCTTTGCTCTAAATTGCATCTTTTCCCGAGCCAGTGAGAAAATAACTCAGACAAAATTACCAATCTAATTCTATGGCCTAATTAACAAATCCAACTGGGGAGAAAAAGGCCATCGAATGGTGAATTTTGCTACTCTTGTTGCTGAAATTTGCTTTGGAAAAATGAATTAGTTTCGGGACGTGCAGTTTCTATTTCTGCCGTCAGTTGCGGCGAGTAAATTTGGCCACTTTTGAATAGTTGCAAAACAAGAGAATATAAATTGATATTCTCTTGTTGTAAAAGTGTGGCAAATGAACGTCTTGTCGTGCAAAGTTGATCTGAGATGATGCTATTGATTTCAGGTGCACTTGTACTTTGCTCAGTTCAATTACCGGAAGTAGAAGCATATAGCTATCACAGTCGCATTTACGTGTTTACGTCACGAACCTTTCTGTGTCACGGATGCCTAGGTCACGAGACCTCTTCTGCGTTACGCTTTGCTCGATCAATCTGTAAGAGTAAGAGTACCCTCTTGTGATCGAGTTTGTTTGTTCTTTTACGGATTTTCCGGCGAGAAACAATGTTTCGGACATTGGGTTTTGGCATAAGTACAAGCATCCTTCTTATACCAGCCCTTTTCCTCGATAGACAACGGTGCACTGTCTCTGCAGCTGAGAAAAACGCAAAACCTAACATAGCAATCATTGGAGCAGGCATTGGTGGTTCGAGTGCCGCGCATTTCATTCGACAACTCTTTGGACCCGAGGCAACAATTGATGTTTACGAGGCATCAGATAGGATAGGGGGACGTTTGAGTACCGTGGAAATTGCTGGGAAAAGGTTTGAATCAGGAGGATCGATAATACATAAGAGTAACAAATACATGGCAGATTTCGTCGAGTATCTCGGTACGTAACTCAGTTTCATTTCTGCTTAAAGACATTCTTTTGTTATTATTGGTGCTTAAGTTAAATAATCACAATCAATAGTGATATATCTAGTTCTTTTAAGATTCTCTGACATCCATTGATTGGATCATTTCGATTTTACAGAACAACAAGGAACGCTTACCTCTTTTGGTAGATCGGAAGCTTAAGCTAGAGATTAATTTGTCAGATTTCAAAGTATTTTTCCTTGATTTTTACTAAGAAGAAATAAATGAAATAAAAATGAAATTTAAGTAATGAAACACTTCCAGATTTTGTTGATGGGCTACGAGAGGCAAGATTGGTAAGAACAAAACAATGACTTCCTGCTAACCGCATTCAGGTGTTCCCACTCTCCCCTCAGGAAACTGGTAATGACATAAGATAAATGAAATGCATCAAAGCAAAACATGAAAAAAATGGAAAAAAATGATAGAAAAAGTTATGACAATTTTTCAGATACCTACCTCTAGCTTGTAACACTTTCATATTCCTAATCCATGGCACTTAGCGAGGAGTGGATGTATTAAACATTTAGAACCCTTATCACAACTTAACCCTTTACACCCTAACACCAGTATGTATATTCTCCATACTGTTCTCCATACATTTCTTAAGATGCTAACAAGGAGAATTTTTAACCATCAAGAACTTCTTTAGTTCTTGATCATTTCCTTTATTCTCATGACGTTAATGTTTTATTCAGGGATGATTTACAATAAATAAGATAATACACAGGTAATTGTGAGTGAGTAAGATATCAAGTTGAATACTCATAGAGAAATCCCATATCTATGTTTTCCCATGTATTATTCCCTATATATTTGATGTAAATGTTTACTCCATGTCCATTCTAGACTTCAAACACCAAGAAATAAAAATGTCATTTCTTGCTTCATGACCATCAAATGTAAGCCACCAATTGGAAACCTTCATTGCATTTTTTCCTCCTTTCCGCAGTGACCAAAACAATAACAGCTTGGAGCATGTGACATATTTATTAATTTTCTTATTTTTTCTCCATAAACAGGGTTAAAAAAACTGAAAAGCAGTGAACCTAACAGTCTTCTTGGAATTTATAATGGGGAAGAATTTGTCTTTTATGGTAGTAGATGGAAACTTGTGAATTTCATAAAGCTTGTTTGGCGGTATGGCTTGTTTGACTTGTACACCATGAACAATTTCATCACAGAAATGTTAACAAACTTTTCAAATATTTATGATCTACAAGTTAAGGAACAGGCATTCAATACTGTGCCAGAAATGTTGCGAGCTCTAGGTGGAGAGAATTTCTATGAGTACACACAGCAAACAACACGACAAACTTTGGAGAATATTGGTCTTAATCAATTGTTAATAGATGAGTTAGTGACAGTTGTCATGAGGATCAATTATGGTCAAGATGTGACTCTAAATGGGTTTGCAGGTAAGTTGTCTGACTCAGTGCATTATTAATTTTTTCCAACTGGTTGGCTCCACAAGTGGTCAAGATAAGACAAATACTGTGTTCTAAGCAGGCATGGTGGTCCTGTTTTGCCAACTTAGATTGGGCACTGTGAAACAGTCACTGTGACTGGTTGACATACTACATAACTTTTGACAATTTTTTTGATTGCAAGCAAATCTTTTGTAATGGTATTTACATCACTGGGATCGCATGTCTTGAAGCCAAGAAACAAAGAAAACTGAGACAACATTACTGAAATTCCTTTGTTTTTCCCATGGCCTCATTTTTTTGTCTGAGCCAGAGGAAAGATTCTTTGGTTAGTGGTGTAAATTTAGTTGTCCAACTAAATTTGAATTAAAATCAGATCCTAGGTCAAAAGGTGGAGTGGCAGAGATATTGTCATTTGCATTCACTTTTTGATTTTCAATTTTTCCTAAGTTGAAAATCCTAAAAATGGATCTTGTGGATAATGCCCTTCAGTCAGTGTTTTTTTTGAGACACTCTACTGTCACAGGAGTTATCTAATATGAATTGTCAAGGAAATTTAAAGAACTAGGGGAGGGGGTTGTTGTTGCTTTTTCCAAAGATACCAAGGATATGCCAGCAGTTATGGGGCGTTGGGCCTCTTAAAGTGCCACCCTCAACATCAAGGTAAAATTTGCACATTGGGCACAAGAAAAAGATTAAAAAATATTATGACATAGCTCCTTTAATTGTTTGGGATGCCTAGTTGTGAGAGTTAAGAGTGCTCAGCTGTGCCTTGCTGTGAGGGTTTTGCCTTCAGGTTCTCCAGATTTAAGAGTTTCTCAACAGAACACTGAGAATGCTTCAAATTCCAGTTTGACTTCGAAACAGTGGATGAAGAGCCACTTCATGGATCTGCCACTGCTTAATTCCATGATTACTATTAAAGTTAATGATTTGAATTTGGGAGTAACAGGTGATCATTTAATCTGATTGTCCAGTTGAGAGTAGTCCTGGGAAGTCCTGTTGTTGGTGGTGATGACTGATGTTTCCACAACCTTAGAGGAAGTCATCATCAAAGTCGATGCCACTCTGAAAATGGTGTCCTCTAAGGCTGTTGAAATGGTAGTCACCACCACCATCAACAGTCCTCAGGACCATCCTCAATTGGACAGTTAGAATACATTATCCCATTATTTCCATCATCATCATTATTATTATAATTATTGTTGTCTATCTGTTTTTTTAAAAGGAGCAGTGTCCTTAGCAGGATCACAGGGTGGTCTTTGGTCTGTTGAGGGAGGGAACTGGAAGGTTTGCGATGGATTACTTTCCAGCTCAAATGCTACTGTGTACAAAAACACCAAGATATTAGAGATTGTGAAAAGAAGTCAAGGAAGTTCTGTATGCCCTGTGTACACCTTAAAAAGTGACAGCCAAATTCCAGATCAGCATTATGATGTTGTCATTGTTGCAGCACCCTTAGAGATTGCAGATTACTATTTTGATTGCAAAGACTGCAACAACTGGCCTACTCCAAAAGACCTAGGAGAATTTTGGCGCACAATTGCTACTTTTATACATGGTCAAGTCAACATGACTCATTTTGGATTTTCAACTGAGGATGATATTCCAGAAGTGATAGGCACAACAGAAACACCCACAAACTTTTTTAACTCTATTGGCAAGCAGGAGCCTGTTGAAAACAGGACAGAAATTGATCCAAAGGAATTGCCCATTAACAAAATTTTTTCACGCTCTAATCTGACTGCATTGCAACTTAATAAACTGTTTAGCAGAGTAGATGAGATGAAGGTAGTATCATGGCTGGCATATCCACACTTTACCCCTCCTGAAAAGTTTTGGTCATTTGTTTTGGATGATGGAGTGTTCTTTGTCAATGCAATTGAATATTCTGCAAGTGCAATGGAGATGTCAGCAGTTAGTGCTAAAAATGCAGCTTTATTAGCACATCATTACTACTCTGGCAAGCTATCAGATGCACACATCAATGACAAGCCCTCAAATCTCAGGAGTGAGCTATGAGATTAGATAAAGTAACATTTACGTGTTTACTAAACTGTTTAAGCTTATTTTCGAATGACACCACAGTAGCCTTATTGGTCACTTAAACAATGGTATGGCTCCTGTGTTGGTATAACAAGTCAGACCTTTGTGATTTTTGAATATATTTTGTTGTACATGAAACTTTCTTTCATTCCAAGAAATCTCTATGGCTTCCACCATGGGATTGTAAACACAAATATCTACAATAAAATGCCCCTATAAAAAAATTGTATACCAAACTCAAACGTCAAATATTTTTTCCACTTTAATGACAACTTTTAACAGCTTTTATGTTTTGAAAGATGCTTAACAATCAAAGAAAATATACAAGACATGAAAATCTTTTAAAGTATGTAATAATGATAACGTCTCAATAGTCTCACAAAAAAGTGCTGTTTTGCACTACAAGTGTATTATTGGAAAATCCTTAATTTTTCTCATATGTTAATTTCTAAATTTTTTGTCATAACATACAACAATATTACCTAAAAAGTTATAGGCGCAAATTGATAGCTTCTAAACAAGTTTATTAAGTCTAGATTGTATCCACAAAGCCTTCGTTCTTTCTTATAAAACACTTACTAATTAAAATTTTAACTGTTCAATATTTGTTGGCGGAACATATTTTGCCTGAAAACACTTACTATGTCACTGTGCTAAAAACGTATTAGTAGGTAAGGAAAAAAATTCCCTAGAAAAATATCTTAGAGCCAAAAAGTTGCAAAAGTTTTAAAAGATATAGATTATGTACCCTACTTTCGCCATGTATATTCGAATAGCTAACGCTGCTGGTTTCTAAAACACAGTATTCAGTTCATTTTTAATGAAAGATTTCAATTTTTTTCACAAGCAGTACTTTAAAACTCTTTTAAGTACAAAGTAACGACAAATTTTACACCTTTTACGCTGAAATTTTCAGTGGCTAGTTAGAACTCGAGAAGTGATTACAAAAATAGATGTGCACTTCTAGATTTCAGAGAATCAAATTACCAGTTATACCAAAACTTCTAAAAGGTTTCAGAGCACTTTTCAAGAGTGTCGTAATATCAAATTCACAGTAATCACCACAGCCAATCATAACAAAGGAAAATATCACATAGGTCTTTTACGACTCTGATTGGTTGAGAAGATCCCTAAATTAGGTTCGAAACTCAGTTGATAATTTCCTCTTGAAACCTTATTCGGTTTTGCATTGAGGCCTGATAAATGCTGTGTTCGATCCATGTTCACGAGGAATACCAGTTGCCACTTAGAGAAATCGAAGGGTGTAAGGTGTAGTTCACCTCTGGCTTGGATGCTATAAAAATAATACCAGAGAGAAGAAAAAGAAGAAACTTTCAGTAGATAATTCGTCATCATCTGCAAGAATGTTTTCAACATGGCAGTTTCGAACCATGAATAAGATTGGGATAATTATAATAAATTAATTTATATAATTGCATGTAAAAATTGCGAGCTTACATTCGAAACAATCTGTTTGAAAGAGAATTTGTCCTTGGCGGTGATGGATTATTTTCATTGAAGCAAGTCGTTGTAGTAGTCATTTATTTATCACCTACTATAACACAATACTTTACAATAATAAAGGACGGCCTAGGAAAGCTTTCCCTAAAAATTGGAGAAAGCAGCAATTCAAACTTTATATATTGATACTGAATAATACTAGGAACATTGAAGACTAACCCTCACCTGATGTTTGTAAACTTTAAACTGAAACCTCCATTTCCTTACGCATGTCTCTGAGCTTTTCCAGGTTTTTTCCCTTTACCTTTTTTTGTCTTTGTAGTTCCTCTTCCTTTTCAATGCATATGTCCAAAGGATTCTTTCCTCTTTTGTTTCGCATCTCTCTCCATTCCAGCGGCTTGAAAAGGGGAAAAATTTTATCAAAGGCAGTTTTATAAATCGAAATCACACAATGATGCAGAGCGGTGTTTCCATTATCGTCAAAACTTCTTACTTGAATCCACGTTGACCTATTCATAAACGTGGAGACTGATTTTACATTTTTTTTTCTGATTGCCACGGACAAAGAGGACATTCCTGGAACTAATTCCTTAGCCTCTGAGTGATTCACATCAAAATCAGAAGGAAGCTGACAATTGAGGTCAACCTTTCTTGTAGTGATAAGGTACTGCATTACATGAGGACTCATAGCAGGCAAGGAACAGGCTTTAAGAAGTGCATTATAGCCTCTTTCATCTGCTGCATCCAGTTGATCTTTTGAGAAATGCTCGAGTTTGTTCTGAATTTCGTCTGTGGTTAGGTCGCTTCTGCCCTTTTCCTCAACTTGCGTTTGCATTTCTTTATACTCTCTCCATAAATCCACGATAATCCCGGTGACACTGTTGGTACCATCCATATGCGCGGCGGCATCTAAAGATTGGACTATATCAGCTTTCTTCCCCAAAGTATCGCGCTTAACGCTTCCGTTATCACTGGAGTCGTCACCAAGACCAATTTTTCCGCCTCCATCAACAGCTTTGCCAGGAACTACTTCTTCTACATGCTGGCCGTAACCGTCACCAATTTTTGGTCGCTTTATTTGGGTGGACCATTCCTGATGTTCTTCATTAAATGTATTTACGCGTTCATTTTGATGGCTGTTGGCTTGCTTTCCTTCAAGAGAGCCATCATTCATTAACGGCTCTTTTTTTAAGAAATTTGGATGATAATTAGACTTCTCGCCTCCCTCCATTTCTTTAAATGTTTGTACGCGTTTATTCTGATCGCTGTTGGCTTGCTTTCCTTCAAGAGAGCCATCATTCATTAACGGCACTTTTTTTATGCAATTTGGATGACAATTAGATTTCTCGCCTCCCTCCATTTCCTTAAGAATGAATGCAATGGTCTGTTGGTTACCTTCGCTCAATCTACTCCATTCCATGTTCTTGGCAATGTCTAAAGGGCTCTTTCCCTCACCGTTGATCATCGTTTTCCAATTCTTGTTCTTGTATAGAGGGAATACCTTCTTAAAGGCAAATTTAGAACAGGATAGAACACAGTGGTGAAGAGCAGTATTCCTCTCCTCGTCAAAAGTTCCTACCGAAATTTCTTTTCCTCGTTTCGTGAAAGTTTGAAGCGTTTTGGCTTTCTTTCCACATTTAATAGCCACTGACAAAGCAGACATTCCTGGAATCAACCCTTCGCCTGCTGGGTGGTGCCTGTCAAAGTTAGGAGGCAAACGAGAGTTGATCTCTACTTTTGCATCATTTATGAGATACTGCATTACATGAGGACTCATGGATGGCAAGGAACAGGCTTTCAAGAGCGCATTGAAACCACTCTCATCTCTTTCTTCTAGCTGGCTAAGAGTGAATTTCGAAAGCTTGCTCTTTACATATTCCATTGTAAGATCGCTCGTTCCTGTTCCCTGCTTCACCTTTTTAGTGCTCCCTGGAATTTTCTTGTATTCCATCCAAAGATCGACGATAGCTTTAGTGACCTCACTGGTACCTTCAAAATACTTGCGATTGTTACATCCATCTTCTTGTCTCCTCTCTTGAGACTGCGGGGTTTCGCTAACGATACTGGCGTCAGAGTTACTTTCGACTTCGGCATCTCCTTCTCCACCGAACAAAGCTAAATTGTCGACTTCTCTCACCGAATGGGGAGATTTACTACTACTTTCTCTCTCTTTTCTAACCGCTGTCCCATCTGCTGACATCGTCTCGCCTTCTTGGTTGTTACGTCGTTTCTGGCATTCTTCTTGAATCTTTTGCCTTTTGAATGTTTGGCAGTCATTGGAGGATTCCTGCAGCGATCTCTTAACTCCTTTCGTCGTTTTGCCTGTATTTTGCTGGTTAGACGAGGTACTTTCCTCCAGAGTTAGCGCATTTCTGTTGTTTTCAAGGCTTTTTTCAAAAGCCTCAATATCATTTGTGCCCATTTCTGTCTTAACTACGTCGTTGTTATGCGAGAAGGATGCTTCGATCAAAATCCAACGCAAACGGTGCCTCTTAGGGTCTGCCGCGGAAAAAATGGCAAATTGTGCGTTTCTATCAGTCATCTCATCGTTGTGACAAATACCGTGCCTGGTTGATATGGTTTGCACAGTCATTTGAGGCCATCGCCTATTTGCTTCTGTGGCACTTGCAACGAAAACAATTTTCTTCTTTGTAGCACAGAAATTTGAATCAAGGACATCTAAGGTCTCTCTTCTCCGATTTCCTGGAAAGTAGGAGAGAACCAGGATAGAAACTCCCCTGGTGCGATCTCCTTCTGCAACCATACCCACATCAAGTTGCTCAAGGATGCGAAGGGGAGAATCTACTGCTTCTTTATTCACCGGTCTATCATATTCAATTCTCTCTTTGAAACACTTGTCAGGACCACTGGAGTTCACAAAGTTGCAAAGGTGCTCTAGGATAATTTTCTCTTCCAGGGCTTCTGGTAGCTCGCTTTCAACTGGTCTCTCCACGATTGAACATTTCTCATCCCAAGGGAAGACTTGAGGCAGGACGAGGCTCTCAATCCAGGCTTTGTACTGAACTTTGACGAAAGAGTAACGGTTGCATCTAACAACCCATAGACCTGCTTTGTCACAATCATCGTTGAAGCGTAGATCTTCCCAGCAGGGCCATGGACGGTAAAAGACGCCTTTGTCCACAGTACTTTTGACATTGAGCAAGACCACAGCGTACACCTGGGTCTTCATGAACGGACTCACTGCTTTTGGGACACTTCTCATCAGACCAAGAACACCATAGCTCCCATGTTGCTTATCGCGGAACAATTTCGCAGGACCAGTGTAGGTATACAGTGGAAGCCTTGGGCTTCAAAATCATCTTTTAGTGGATGCGACTCGTGTTCCCTGTCAGCCATGGTTGGAGTGTCCTTTCCCTGTACTATTTTTTGAAGACTTGACAAAGGCTTAAGGAAAGTGCATCGCCGCATTTGCATCACCCCACTGTCATCTCTGAGTACTTTTACTTCTTTTCCAGACATGTGATCTTTTGAAAATTCTGCTTCTGACATCATGGCGATATTGTCATCAATCATGAAGACGTATTCAAGCTCTAAAGAAAATGCGAACTTTTGAATAAACAGTCTGGCATAACCAATTCCTCCATCTTCCGGTCCAAGGCCGCAATTGGGTAGTTCCTCTGGAAGTGGTACAATGACGAGTACCTTTCCCCAGGTGGATCTGTAGGCCTCGAACTTTTCCTTTCGAACAACGACAACTTGGACATAATTGATAACGCGTCCGTTTTCTTGCATTACGTGGTGGTAATTCAAAGTGCACTTCCTAGGATCGTCTCTGTGTGAAGGATGAAATATCCAGTATGGCAAAGTGAGACCATCCACTAGAGATTTACTGCTCGTTAATTTTTCTTTAAGTTGAGTGAATGACGGACAATTGCTGGGCAAGGAGCATGTAACAGTGACGGGGATTCCAGCAATGTGTACCACCACATTTTCCAGCTTAGATTCTTTGCCCTGTAGAAGTCTTCCACACTCAGCACATTTCTCAAAATGGTACCAATGCCAAGCACGGGGGCCATTTGAACAATCATCAGTCTTAAGGTTTTGATGACCGGTCTTGATTAGCGTTTTCCCTTCCTCCTTCAGAAAAATGAATGGATTTTCCTCCATGTCATGAGAGTAGAAGCACCCTCCTATTGAATACTTCCCCATCTCAACCGGTTTGTCGAGCAGGCTTGGGCAAGTCGCGATTGTCTTCCAGTACGGAAATTGCCAGTATTTGCATTCATCTACATCTGTGATAACCGACTCGTCAGGATTATTTCTTTCCTTCCACTGGTAAAAGGAACCTTCGTCAAATGTAGCAGGTGAAGTGAGCAAAACTCTTTCTTTTCCCAGAATATTCAGTCGCAATTCTCTTATCAGGCACAAGTACGTTCCCGTCTTGCCAATCTGAGGTTCGGCTTGCAGAAGGATTCTGTTGCAGTGCGTTTGTGAGTTTCCATAATCGTAGCTGTCTTTATGTGCTTCATAGTTTAGCCATCGCAAAGCCGATGATTGTGCGTCTTTGATCGAGGGCGTCTTAGCCATATACCGGTCTGCTTTAGTGCAGGAAGTTGCACTTATTGATGGAGACGTCTTAATTGACGTCTTGAGTCTCTTGAATAGCTGTCGCCCAATCAATACATATGGAGTCGCACTTGTGGGAACTTGAGTATAACGGCACATTCTTCCAAGCTCTTGAATAAGACTGGATAGATAGACTGCCGAGCCCTCCTTAAACTCTTGACTACTATCGTAGCTAAGTCGCAAGTCGAGACAGTCAAAACTCTGGGGAAATGTGTCTCCCATGCGGCCTTTATCGACCAGAATGAGTATGCATGCCAGATTTTCCAGGTCTTCATACTGCGTTATCAATTTGTGTACGTGCTGGCAGTTAACACATATTTTATGTCTAGGTTGTAGTTTCAACTCACTGCAATGACAATCAAACTTGTAGGTGCAAGCTTCTGGTTGAAGCTTTTTAAAGAAGGGATTTGACGATTTCATAAGCTGGTTCTCAATCTGAATACCTCCATAGTCTCTAATGACTTCAAAGTACTCTTTGAGACCCGAAACTTCTCGCGCTAATTGAACTGTGTAATAAAATTGATCAGCAGTTTTCATTGTTTTAGCTCGTACAATTTTCATCTTTCCTAGATCTCCCTTTCCACTCTGGATTAGATCTTCCACTAAGGAACTTGTTTCATGTTTTTGTACTAGAGAGTGCCATATTTGTACCATTAACTCACAACCATTTGCTTGCAATTCTTGTTGAATGTTTAAGGGTGTGTAGTGTTTTAATTCCTCGAGTTCTTGTGAAGGAAGGTGCATCATGCATTCAACAAATGAGATGGCCAGGTTGTCTTTCGATGTCTGCAATTCAATACACTCAGATGCCTTCTGTTTCTTCAGCTTCTCCACGTTCTTCAAGTCTTCCTTAAATTGTTTTGTTACTCTGTCGCAGATATTTCTTTGAATTAGCTCGAAGGCCTCCGAGTGGATGTACTTTTCCACGTCCGGTGCATTGAGTTTCTTCTTGAACAATGTGAGACGTCTGTGGAATTCATTAGTGGGTGATTCTTCGACTTTAACAGTCAGTGCTTTACATATCTCGTCACCTCTGTTGAAAACGCTCGAAAGTATAATGTGGTAGCAGTAATCAGCACAAAGCAAGGCATCAATTGGAAAAGAAGTCGAGCCTGACTGTGAATTTTTCCATCCTCTCTTGGCCTTGTCCACAATTTTTGAAAGGTCTCATCTTCCCGAATTTTCTGGTCTTTCTTGATGGGACTGTTCAGGGTGCTGAGATAGTAGTTCAAACTCATATACTGCTTCCCAACCGTGTTCACCTGCATCGGTGCCGACTGATCAGTGTAGAATTGGAAAGAAACTTCACGCAGGTCATGTTTTGGTTTCATAATAGAAACACCACATTTTCGCTCAATTTTGGCGGTTTCCAAACTGACGCAGTGATTCTCGTCAACAGAAATGTAGCGATCTCGTTCGTCGCAAGATCGAAAAGCGACAACTCCAACTCCAAAATCCATCTTAACCTCAAATTCTGTTGGTACTGGAGGATCACTTTTGGCTTCTAAGTTTCCATGGGTATCCGTGGTGACCGTCAACAAGCGTCCTCCTTTTTCTTCTGCTTTGAAAGTCACTATGCCGTGGCTACCTTGGATAAGGAATTCCGTTGCCTCTTCTGGTACAGATGTGACACCTAGGTTTCCCTTGGTAGAGAGTTGAAGGTACTTGTATAGAGAATCGTCAATGTTTAGAGTTGACTTGAGTTTCATTCGCATTCCTCTCTCAAAGTTTTTAAGTTCAACTTCTGACCAGTGGACAACGTGAAGTTCAAGTTTCTTTGAGGTTTCCCCTACTCGCTCCAAGTCAGGTTCTTGCTTAAGGACCACGAGATCGCCTGCTTGGTTGGTTGGAGAGACGTTTTCCTTGAGAATAACGCAAGGAACCAGAGGAAGACGAGAGTTCTGCGTCAGGAGGTTAAACGGTGTCGCTGAGATTTGTAGAACAATAACATTTTTGGGGGGGTTGCCTTTGGACCATTCATTGATGAAAAGATTATGGGCAGAGGGTTTGCTCGCTTTGTCTTTGGTTATTCCCCAGTGGCATTCGTCTGCTACAATGACAAAGAGTGTCTGGGGTTTTTCCTGAACATCTTCTTTAAGTTTTTCAAAATGCGTATCCGTCTCTGCGCTACGAACGTACATGAACATCCGTTTCTTTCCATCACGTTCACAATTGCACGACTCGAGTTCTTCCTTTGAAAGTACACCTGCGTCAGGATGGCGAATCCTCTTCTCCGTCTGATTGCTTAGCATTCTGTACCGGGCTGTGTACACTACGAATTCAATATCGTTGAAGACCTCCTTGAGTCTTGAAATGTTATGGTAATGGGACATAATGGCTTCAATTCGTTTCCTTAAAATCGTTGCCATTTCTATTTGGGAAGGATAATAGCAAGGCTTGTCCGGGCTTGCTTGGACTTGCCGCTCAACTTCTTCATCTTCATCTGACGAGTAAATTTCTTCAGAATAAATATCTTGGCTTTCCTCCTTCTCATCCTCTGCATCGCTTTCAGCATAAAAGGTTGCTTCATTCAGACGAATTTGGTCGATTGTTTTTCTTATCTCCCCGGAAGGATCTGTTACGTCGTCTATTCGAAGATGTACGCTTGATATGTTTCCCAAGGAGGGGTAAAGTACAATTATTTGTTCAAAGCCAGCGAGGTTTTCGCGTAATATGGATGTGGCGTCCTCGTCATTTCTTTTCAAAAATTTTATACGTTTCTGATTCAGTTTTTGTAACGTTGGAAGTAATTCTGAAGTAGGAAGGAGGAGCTCGAGTAATCGGCCCGTTTCCTGATTGGAGACTTCAGTCAAGACGATTTCATTTACGACTTCGATTAAGAAGTCAAGAAAATAAGATTCAGTCATTCCAAATGGAGCTTGCCAATAGTAAACCCTGTCATGGTCACCTTGCTCGAAGAGGCACGCTGAATCTTCGTTAAGTGAGAAATTTACCAAGAACGGGAGAGTATCATCGCGAAAGACTTCACCTGCAACTAAATATGTTACCATTTGGTCACCCCATTAACCTATCATAAGCAAGTTCGTAATGAATCCTCTCTCAAGTTTGAAGTAAATATTTGTAACGTCTTTTTATGCCAATAATACCCATTTCACGATAAATACAGCCTGACAATGCTCTATCGTTTTGATCCTGAATGACGAATTTACAGGAATTTGGTAAATTTTTTTCCACGAAAAAAAAAACTACCGAAAACTGATTAAGCTCTGATAATTATTAAAAAGACCAGTAGACGGCGTTGGTTCTGTAGCAAGCACTATCTGAAAAGTTCACGAAACAATTCAGCATTCCTTGTATGTGCAATTTTTTTACCGCTGCAATGACCTTTCTTCTACAATCATAAAAATTACAATTTCCTTGACTGTGATTGGTTTGAAAAACTCTTTTTTTCCACCAATTCACTTGCCAAATTGTTATTGGATATTTTGTCGTCCGATTATGATCATGTAGATGCTGACATAAAACAAGATATACCAGAAGACAGCATCAATTCTGTCTATATACTCTCAAAAGCCATTGGCAATGCACCCAGAGACATTTTATATTATTCAGCCCTTCGAGGAGAAATATTGGCAGTTTTGACGGAAAGAAATAAATACACCAGAGGCGTACAAGTTGATTTTACGCAATGCATCGACATGTCGCGGACTCATGCTAATTTTTTGTTAAAATTTTATCGGCTGTTCGAAGAATTTCCTTGACTTAAGAATTGTAAATCAAAACAATTTTTTACAAAAACCTGAAAACCATTAGGTCTGTTTATGAGAACAACGTCGTTTACGGGAAAAATAGACCTTGAACATTGGTAAAATTCACGGATTGCCTTGATTTCACGCTAAGATTCATGAGGACACGAAATGAACCAGAACCCGCTTTTTTATAAGTACTTCACTCTTATGATTACAGACTGGATTAGACTCACTCATTCCTATTACCATTACTAATAATATCATGATACAGAGTTCCCCTACATGAACTTCATACAAATTGGGAATAACTGTACCTTGATCGGACATCGCTGTTCAAGATTGTAACATGTTTCCCATATAACGCCTGAAACGGAAGAGCACAGGTATCTTAGATGGAAACTACGGAGTATAAGTATTATATGACACAGCCAACGTCATCACTCGTGTACGGTCTAGTTCCATGAATTGAAGCGCATTAAACGAGACGAAGTGAGACGATTTGTGGGCTCTCTGTCCCCTTACACAATACTTGGAAACGATGTTGGAATCGACTGACTGTTCAATAATTTAAGTCAGCAGAGTGTAATTATTTCCTGCTTATTTACGAAAAGAAAATGAAGAAAAAAAAAACACATGAAGTAACAAGATTATATATGTTTTTTCCGAGGGCACGGTAATGAATCCTGCAATCTGATTGGTTCTCAACTCGGTCAGTATTTTCCTATCTCTGCCCACGGGCCACGGTAACGCTTTCGTGAGTCGCCGAGTACATCCCAAATTTTGTTGCCATTTTTCATAAATATATCTCGTTTTTTCCGGCTAAGCAGTATTTTTAAGCAAACACGTCGGTCACTACCTCAAGCCGATAAATAACTTGTGAATCCTCTCTTTTCTCTCTCTCAAATCACTGTGGTTGACAGAAAAATATTGATCTCAGAAAGAATTTGTTTATGCAATAGTGTCATTACGTTGGTTGACTAGCGGCCTCAAAACCTTCTTCAATTAATTTTAATCGTTCACAAAAGGTACCTAGAAAGTTAAAACGTGAGGTATTTGGTTACAGTTAAACTGAACGAAGGAACTTCATTCATTTAATATCTGAATTTTCTCAAACAATTTGTTCGTAGTGAAAGAGCCAGCAAAGTTTTAAATTTAGTTTTACAACAAATATACGCTCTCGGTGAGTCTTTCCGAGTCCGTTCAATTTAGACATTTGTACCGTAGATTGTACTACAGAAACTGAAGGAATTTATTGAGAAAAGGCCGCATTAAATCCCCTTGTGTCTCATTGGAGTGTGCCATTCGAATTTAGTTTTTGTGGAGGAAAGACCAGATTTACACACGCCATTGCAGCAAACAAACGAGCAAACTCTCACAACTTCAAAATAAAAAATTTGAATTTACTCACAATTACTTTCCTCGCCGTTTACTTAATGAACAGAGGTAAATCTTCGTACATGAATGAATCGTCGATGAGAGTGAATAATACTTTCCGTTAGATCATTGAATGTTTTTGAAGAAAACTTTGGCATGTGTGACAGTCCTTGCCAAACTAGTTCCGTTGTTTTCAAATGTTCTTGCGCTTTTTCTTTTCTTACGCGCTCTCTAATTGACAGGTGTCAGATTGTGACAGAAACTTTTTTCTCCAGCTATTTCTTACAAGGATTCTGCACAAAAGCAAGCCTGACTTCCGAAAACTTAAATAAATGCAAACTTGGTTAAGTGCAAACTTTCATCTATTAAAATATGCCAAAAGTTTTATCGACGGGGACCGGAAAATTTCTGGATCGAATGCTACATGATTAAATATTTCCTTAAACTTTATTGACCCTTTATGAAGAGTTTTGACTTTTTTTCCAATTTAGCTCATTTGCGAAATTTCATATGCTAAGCAATATTTCAAATAACCTGCGAGAAAACTTTGCACTCGAGATACAGTCTGCCGTCTACACACAGTCAGATCTGTAGTAATTTGCTCGTTTGAGAGTTCGATTCGAAATAACAATATTTCTGAAGCTATCAAAATGCATAGTATAATATGGATCAACATTTAAACAAGTTTGCTTTACGGTAAGTACCTGAAGCTATTTTCTGCTGATTCCAAGTGACTGGTTTCTGTGCTCAGAGGTATTTAGACGGGAGGATCAGCTGCAAAGTAAATCAAACATCACGAAATCAAGCTTCTTTCTAAGTTCACCCGCGGTAACGATGTCCCATGCCTGATTGCAAAACATCAACGATATATATAGCCTTGTCAGAAGATTCGCGCAGTGTAAGTTATTTCTGCAAACTGCTTTGGAGTTTGAGATGCTTAATCTCCCGTTGATTTCCTAGAACGAAATAAGGGCTCATCAATATTTCTGGGAAAAAGCCGGGATGTTCACGTCGCGTCACTTGTCAATCATTTTTGGTAGAATCGAATCATTGAATAAAATCTCGCATTGTGTTTGGTTAACGAAGCAAGGTATTTAGCGTGGAAGTGCGAGTTGAAAACGAGGCTAAATGATATTGTGTCGTATCCACGTAAGCATAACAACCAACAACCAACAAAGTTTTCAACAATTTCCCGGAAATTACTTGTCAAAAAAAACCGGAAATTTAAAACAATGCACGATAGGAACCTTGTGAATGAATTTCAATTGGTTAAATCAAATTATTAAACGAAAAGGTCTTTTATTCTTTGTCTGTATTTTGTATCCGGTCTGCAGTTGGCAATATGCAGTCGACACTTTTTACTGACCAATCGGTCGTTTTACAGGCTATTTCGAAATAGCTATCTAAGATGCATAATAAAACATGGATTAACTAGTAATTTAACTTGCGTTTTTAAGCACCTGAAGCTTTTTGAAATGGCAGCATTGATTGTAGACAGGGTAAAATGGATGGATCATGAATTAAGTTTGCTTTGTATTTAGTACCTGAAGCTATTTTCTGCTGATTCCAGGTGTCTGGCTTCGTGTGCTCAGGATGTATTTAAATGGAAGGATCAGCTGCAAAACAAATCAAATATCATGTAAATAACATTTCCTTTTGATATTCGCTCGCTATAATGATGCTTAAAACCTGATCGCGTGATATTCCCGATTCGTGAAACCCGGTGTAATATAATATGCACTATATTTAGTTGTCGCAAGATTCTGTCAGTTTCTCGGAAAACTGATGTTCAAATTGCATGACCTTTCAATCATTTGATTGAATTTTGAGACACTTATAAGACCCTTATTGATCTCCTGTCGATGTCCAAGAATGAATGATGTTCGATGTTTGATTGCACCATGTAATTTGTCAGAATGACATGTAAATGCCATTGCTCGGTCAAGCATCCGGAAAAAATCTGCCTCAGTGCTAACCTAAACCCACGCTCTTTATTGCCGGGTTAGTTGCTTCCAACAAGTTCCTTCTTCTAATTTTCAAATTAAATGAACTTGGTTCTCCTACGTCAGAATTTCAAAGAAAATAGAATTTTCAAAGGTTTATTTCCAATAAATCAAAATACTGCGGGAAAGGCGGCGTTCTCCGATCACCCGCAGTGTTACTCTCTCACAAAAAATTATCCCTTTCTTTAATTGTATATAATGACAAAAATCATTTCCTGTTGTCAAACAACTAATTTGGTTTTTCACGCAATCGAAATACGCTAGGCCCAGTCGTAAACGTTGTATCGCCAGGAGACTTGCAATACCATCTTGAATACGATTGAGAAATTATTTTACAAAGTCAGATTATATTAGACCACCGAATAGAGTGCGAAACAGATCCAAATAAAACCAACATGTTGCAATTTGGACTGCATTTCGCGAGATTGTTCCTGAAACCTTCATTTTATGCTACGAGCAATAGATAGACTGCATTGCTATCTTATATTATTATCAATATACGCGGCCAAATAGAAAATCGGCCTCTTCAAAACACACGCTCAGCGGGCCGCAAAAGACTGACAGCGGGCTGCTAATGCATTATCAGCCCTAAAGCTGATTGGTTCTTGCTTCATCATCTGATGGATTTTAACCAATTAGAGTAAGCCTAGTGTTGACGACCAGGGAAAACCATTCATTTGCGAAACTCCGGTTTTGAACTGCAGTTTTTCAGTCGTCGAATCGTCTTCGAGGCGAAAACTGAAAGTAATGGAAGAAATTAGGGAAGAAAGAAAGAAAGAAAAAGAATCAAAACTCAAATTTGGGGCTAAACTCAAGATTTGGACAAATTAGAAGCAAAAGGTCAGGCGGAAAAATAAAAAAAAGCCACTTCGAGGGGGGATCAAAAATTCGAGAAATGGTGCGACAAACGAAGCTGAAACTTGACTTTAGTAATTAGTTTATTAATAAGTTCACTGGACTGAGTTGATTCTTAATAGCTTCTTCAATCAACACTTACATGATGATTTGAAGTGACTTTGAATTCGTCATTCACTTTTTCTTGTATTATTAAAACTCGCATTCTTGATATCATTTGGCCTTGTTTATTGATAATATTATATATCTACATGAACTTGAGGGAATATTGTTCATTTGCGCCCTTGTAGTGTCATTTTACAAATGACACTAAAAATTGAAAAGTTTTTATCGTGGATAGAGCGCAAATAAAAAAAAAATTCCTAGCTCAAAAAGTCATAAAATAGCGTTATTTGTGGTGGAATTTTAATAACAAACAGTCAAAATTGCAATATGTATGACCACGATAAAATTATCCATGAGTACACGGTACGGTCTACATGTAAATCATTTTTAAGCTGCGACTCATGTTTACCCTTTGTCTTAGAATTCTATAATGGTACTGCACTTGAGGTGTCGATCTCTACACATTTCATATTCAACAAAAAAAGAAAACGAAGCCCTTTACCTTAAGACTTTCCAGAGCCGACTTACGACATTGGCCTTTGCATCTATAAATGTACTTTCCTCGCTTCCATCAGTTTCAGATATCCGTTGCGATGTTTGATTGGTTACAGGCTTGACTGAAAGGTAAAGTACAATCAAGTTTACCAGTTTTGTGCTCAAATAAAGAAGAAATGAGTAGTACAGGAAAATTTCAATTCTGATCCCCAGCACGTCTTGGTAATGCTAGATTTCAGCAAAATCTAGTGATCGAGACAGCACACGAGAGAGCGCAAGCAGCTATGCCTAAGATGAACATTTTCGACTACAAACGATCGTACTTGTCAACTTTCTTAGCTTGAGTTCACTTTCCCTCGTCGTGGAAGAAAACAAATTCGTCTCGCTTGGAAAAAGCGAAGAAACTCAAAAGCTAGAATTTCAATCGTTAACGTCCAAGGCGCCAAATACGTCCATGTCATTATCATAATTGACTTGACCTTTGTGACATCCAAGAGCCTTTCTGTTGTTTATGATTCCTAGAATTTCACAAGAATGTCAGGAATTTTTCTTGGAAACCTCTTGTATGGGCGGCTATCACCACAAAAGTACAGGGATATCAAACAGATCAGCAAATACAAAGCTGGTCTAAGGATCAGCTGCAGGATAGCATAGCTAATAAAGGAATGGCATGGCCAAATTAGAGACGGTTTAGTTTCCTTCATGAAACAGAACACCCTAAACATAAATAGTCTAGCCAAATGATAAAAGGTCTAGTTTCCCATGTCGAGCTGGAACATGAAATTGTGAAATGGACTATTTTAATTGCGAGTAGCTTAGCACTAATTTGCAACACAGTACACAAACGGTGTTGCGTTGCGTCAAATGGCTCAGCGTAATGTCGAATGGTTCAGTGTACACACGTAAGGTGTAGCGTTGCGTGAAATGGCTTGGCGCCATGTCGATTACCACAATGCAAATACAAACAGTGTAGCGTTGCGTGAAATGGCTCAGCGTAATGTCGAATGGTACAGCGTACACACAAATGGTGTAGCGTTATGTTGAATAGCTGTGCAGAACATCAGACGCTCTAACTGAACATTAAATTGCTTAGCATTACATGAAATATTTCGATGTTGTCGTGAATCGTCGAGCTTGCTTGCTTGTGACGTAAGGGCTATTTCGCCGAAACCACCTCAAATACAAACCGCACATGGAACAGCGATCTACTGGGGGGCATAACGTCATCGAATGTTAAAATTGGCGCGAAACCATCACATGGTGTAGTCGCTGTGTTGAAGAGTCTTCACTTAGTTTTGCCGTAAAGCAGAGCCAATTCATAACTTTTCGGTAAGTTTGTCCTCTTTTTTCCCTGCCGATATTGCATTTATTCGTTGTCGTTCATGAAAGCGTGAATTGAAATCGCAACGAGACTGAATTCCTTCACGGTTTGCTGGCCTCCCGGTTTACCACAGTTTGCACCCGTCGGTTAGCCTGATTGTTTATAGTATTATGTAGTATCATGACGTGCATTTAATGCCGATTGTCGAGCTTCTTTTCTTGTAAGACTCGCTCTTACTTTTCAACAAGAGTTTAACTTCAACGGCTATTTGAACATTGTAGGAGTAAGTGAGAAGTTGGATTTTGTGTGTGCCTTTGTGCGCAGAGTTGGACGCCATGGTAAGAAAACTGATATTCTTGATCTGTTTTGACATTTTTCAATGTAAGTGACATCGGAATACTTAAATTGGTGAGCCAGAAATAGTGATTACTATTAAAACATTCCGATATCATTTTGATTAAATAATGTCAAAACAGATCAAGGATATCAGTTTTCTTACCAAGACGTCCAACTCTGCACGCAATAACTCACAGCTCATCCATCACAAGAATTACTAAATTTACTCATTCCCTTCGACTTCATGTCCCTGGGTGATAGTTAATACAAAGAAAACACAACATCTGATTTATATTTTTGGTTCAAATAACATAGTTATTCCGTGAACTTTGTGGATCGTATTGGAGAACTTACAAAAATTTTTGTGAACTCAAGAAACGTGCTTGCTAGAAAAACAAGCGCATTTCACTTGTTTTACATAGCTAATGTGAAGGTTGGCAGATTAGTTCAACTGGACAATTTAGTTATTACTCCATGAGTGTCGTTGTTACAATGGGCAATCAGGAGAAGGGGAAATAAGTTTAAGAGCCAATCAGAACTCGACGTGAAACTAATCAAACGGCCTAAAGTGCGAGAAAACGTGAGATTAATAAGTGAATTTAAATCTGTAGTAAGAATTTTGTGAATGACTGGATGTGTTAACTGTCTCTTACAACTCTACACACATTGTTGAAATACAACAAAATTTGATGCAAAGAAAAAGTTACAAGGTTAAAATTAACCCAAATTTTGTTTTTTTTGTTGGTCGAGGTGGTTTCAGACGACCTTACGGATGAAGGTCAAAACAGCTGTAACCACTGCATCTCAATAAACAGAGGGTGAATCAGACACAATTCAGCAGTATTAGAAAAAACATATCCGAACATTAATTTGGTGAAAATAATCTTCTCTGTCTCAGCCAATCAGGATTTTGCCCCCTAGGTTATAAGAAACGCAAAGTATCATATATTTTTGCTAAATGAATCCCAGAATGGATTGGAGAAATGGGATTAATCATTAATCTTGGGCAGTTTTGCCTTTCCGATTCCAAGACTTTCAGTTTCTTTCTTTCTTCAACTACCAGAGATGAGGTTTATTCTCAAGAGAATTCAGTTCAACTGCGTTGAAGACAGTTAACATCAATTTCCCTTTATCATTTGATGAATAAAGAACTTTTGTCAAGTTTTGCGTTTCTAATCGAATACTTTTATCTGTCATTAAAACCAAAACCTTTGGTCGTCCAGGCTCCAAGGACATTGAGTTTTTTAAATTTATTCAATCCGGTAAGTTTTCAATTGAATCCGCCGGAATAAACTGCTTAAATTCCATCGAGTTGGGCTTTTTCCTTCTCCATAGTGATTTCGACCTATCGATAACATCCTCCTCGACGACCTTTCGATTTTTTCATTTCATCTCGACCAAAAGTTCCCCAGACACCTTTGAAAACTTTCCCATGAACTCTTAATTCATTCGTCGTTGCACCATATTTCAAACTTTAATTTGAAAAAAAATGGTTCTTTTCAAAGTCCAAACTCCACGCTGGAGATATGTATTAAACTTGTTGGGATGAACCAGCGGAAAGAACTGAAGTAAAAACGCCTTGCGCGAAAATTCCAAACAAAGTTTCTCAAGACTATATATAAAAAAAAACCGACTATCACTCCGCGAAAACAAACTAAAAGTAGGCGAAAAATGTCCACGTCAGTTTTCCAGTGGCAAGTTTAGAGTTCTCTGACGTGATTGGCTAATTTGTGAAATACGCGCACCGTCCAAAAAGAATACGAGAGGGGGAGAGGAAAAGGAAAATTGTTACTTGAAGTTTAAAAATGAAAGAGATTCTCTACGAGATAATACACAAGAGTAACAAATACATGGTAGATTTCGTCGAGTGTCTTAGTTCGTGTCACAATTTCATTTCTGCTTAAAAACATTATTTTGTGATTGTTGGTGCTTAAGGTAAATTATGATATGTAATAGTGACATATTTAGGTCTTTTAAGGTTCTCTGACCTCCATTTATTAGACCGTTTCGATTTTACAGAGCAACAAGAAACGCTTACCTCTTTTGTTAGATCAGAAGCTTAAGCTTAAAAGATAATTTGTCAGGTTTTAATATATTTCTCCTTGATCTTTACTAAGAAGAAAATAAACGAAATAAAAAGAAAAATTAATTAATGAAAAACTTCCAGATATAGCTGGTTGGCTACAAGAAACAAGGCTAGTAAGAACAAAACAATGACCTCCTGCTAACCTCATTCTTGTACCTCTCCCACCCTTTCTTCCCCTCTCCCCCCTTCCTCCCCCCCCATCCCAGGAAACTGGTAATGACATAAAATTAATGAAATGCATTGAAAAAAAATGATACAAAAAGTGGAAAAAAAGTGATAGAAAGAGTTACGAAAATTTTTCAGAAGGTCTACCTCTTTTAATACTTTTATATTCTTTGCAACCACTTCAACCTTAGTAATTTATAAACGACAATAATGCGAGGAGTGAATTTATTAAACATTTAGAGCCCTTATCATAACTGAATTTAACTTACTTTTTTCACAGATTGTTGTTTCGTTTTTTCTTAAATTGAGCTGACTTTCTCTGTCAGTAAAGGCCAAGGTGGCGTTTATCCAGGAATAAAAAAATAATACATGGCCATGGGTGCTTGTGACTGGGTGACATATCAAGTTGAACACTCATAGAGAAATCCCATATCTCTGTGTGCCCATGTATTATTCTTTGATGCATGTATTATATTTGATGTAAATGTTTACTCCATGTTCATTTAAGACTTTAAACACCACAAGATAAAAATGCTATTTCTTGCAACACCAATTGGAAACCACTTCAAATTTATTGGAGACAATTTTTTCTCCTTTCCAAGATGACCAAAACAATCACGGCTTGGAACATGTGACATATTTATCAATTTTCGTATTTTTTTCTCCGTAAGTAGGGTTTAAAAACTAAAAAGCAGCGACCCTAACAGTCTTCTTGGAATTTATAATAGGGAAGGACTTTATGATTTGTTTTTTATATGATTGCAGATGGAAAATTGTGAATTTCATAAAGCTATTTTGGCGGCATGTCTTGTTTGACTTGCTTACCGTGAACAATTTTATCACAAAAATGTCAACAAACTTTTACAAATATTTATGATCTGCAAGAAAAGGAACAGGCATTCAATACTGTGCCAGAAATGTTGCGAGCTCTAGGTGGAGAGAAGTTCTATGAGTACACACAGCAAACAACACGACAAACTTTGGAGAATATTGGTCTTAATCAATTGTTAATAGATGAGTTAGTGACAGTTGTCATTAGGATCAATTATGGTCAAGATGTGACCCTAAATGGGCTTGCTAGTATGTTCTTCACCACCTTCAACATCAGGGTAAATTTGTAATGGGCACAAGAAAATGACTCGAAAAATATTATGACAGCTCCTTTCACTCTTTGGGATGCATTTTTGTGAGAGTTAAGAGTGCTCAGCTGTGCCCTGTGCGAGAGTTTTGCCTTAAAGTTCTCCAGATTTCCTTCCTCAACAAAAACTGGGAATGCTCCAAATTCCAGTTTGACTTTAAAACGTTGGATGATGAGCCACTTCATGGATCTGCCACTGCTAAATTCCATGGTTACCAGTAAAGTTTATGATTTTAATTTGGAGTAACAGGTGATCATTTAATCTGATTGTCCAGTCGAGAGTAGCCCTGGGAAAGACTGTTGTTTGCAGGGGTGACTGATATTTCCACAACCTTAGAGGAAGTCATCATTGAAGATGGTGCAACTCTTATAATGACTTCCTCTAAGGCTGTTGAAATGGTAGTCATCACCACCATAAACAGTCCTCAGGACTCAATGTTAACACTTTCTTTTGTTCCAATAAATCTCTATGACTGCCCACCATGGAAGTGAAAATGTAAAGATCTACAATAAAACGCCCCGTTAAAAACATTGTATACCAGACTCGAACGTCAATCATTTTTTTCACTTTAATGACAACTTCTGACAGCTTTTATGTTTTGAAAAATGCTTTTGAAAATAAGACATGAAAAGCTTTTAACCATCAGTTGAAAACAGTCTATAAGACATTTTCGAAAAAAGAGAGTTTTATCAAATTTGTAATAATGATAACGTAAGGTTCTTTCTTGGTATCAGAGTGGAAAAATCAGTGCTGTTTTGGACTCATGAGTAATGATAACGTAACTTCTTGGTATTGAAAAAAGGTTCTTTTACTCAGACGGTAACACTCAGGGTTCTCCTTATCAGACGGTAACCGGAAGAGCACTTATTACCGCCTGCAAACGCTCAGAACCCTTAACAAATACGCATCTATGGCGAGCTAATCTGGTAAGAAAGTGTAATAACAAGCCAACAGTGTGCACTATTATAGATCTACGTGTGCTTTAATTAGCTAAAACTAACTGTTACCTTTCGAATTTCGAAGCAAGAGTGGTGAAAAACTGTGACCTCGGTCACAGTTTTTCACCATACGGACCTCCCAGCCGGCAAATACCATATATATATATGAGATGACTAAACTTATAGCTGTATATAGCCTAGGGTTTCTAAATTTTTGCTTATTTTCTTGCTACTCTAAGGATCGTAAGATTCCCATACGGCGTAGTTCAAACAGAGGTACATGAGATTTTTACAGCTTGGTATGCTTCCATCGTAAAAATCATAATTATGTGAAAACCCGAAAACTCTCATTCCGATGGTTGAAACAGTCTTACGATAAAATCACCTATTTTTAAACTAACTTACCACAAACGATTAGTTGTACTATCAGTTCCTTCTAGTTTTTCGTTTAAATAGTCTGCTTTTTCGGTTCTTATTTTTCTTGCAGTACATCACCTAATCAGGTTTTAAAAAAATCTTTTGAAGGCGCGTTTTTAGTTTCGAGGCAAATGCTGAAGGCAACCCTAACTTTAACTTGTATCTTTGTACCGACAAAAAACACGTCATTTTCTTAAAGTTTTTGTTTTCACTACGCTACTTGAAGGAGGCGTCTTTTTATCACTAAAAGATATTAAAAACCCTCGTAGTGAAACCTTACTTAAATATCAATATTTCAATATCGCTTCTATGCTAAATATGACTTGCACTAAGTCGCATGTTCGTCTCAGCCCTATCGTTTCTCATAGATAAATATGTTTCTATGGCTAGACGAAGACTGTCTTCTATCCGTATTACTTACACAATTGTAACATGAATTCATCTACGTTAAAAAATGTCCAGTGGTTGTCTATTACAAAGACGAAACAATGTCTCTCTTCGCAAATCAAATCTGGTTCCAGAATGTGTTTTCACTTACGATTCCTCTGTCCTTGTTTTGTCTCTTGATGCGGATCTTTGCTGATTGGTTGTGAGAAATACGCGTAATAATGTAGGACTTTGCAGGAGGAAAACCACGACAAATTATTATGTCGACTGTCAATGGCGGATGTAAATAAGCACTATATACTACACATCTCTGTAGAATCGTATCTTACTTTGTTAGCCAGGTGCATGTGGACACAACACTGAGGGTGCATGTGACATCTTAATAACTGTATGTCGCTTTACTTGTTTACTTAATGATGGCAGACACAGAACACTGAGGGCTCATATCACTTCTCCGTTTACTTACAAGATTTCTAACGAGGTCCATCAGCAGTTGATGCATTTTTTGATCTCGGACTGTGAAAGGAAAAAAAAGTCGAAAAGGAGCTTTTAAAATCTCCTTTTTAATAAATTCAACTTAACCATCTATTTACCTTGAATATTTTTCATAAATAGGTTGATATTTCTGATGGAATGAAATGATTTTTGCAGAGCTGTTCAACAACCTCCTGGGAATTTTCACTCGCAACGACAACAGCAAATATGTATTAAAAAAGCTGGTAAAGATCTATCTACGAGATTACCCTTCCAGTCTAATTCCTCACCTTTTAAGTAAAATCAAACATATCTTATACGTCCCATAGCTGTTTAAAAAATGCAATCCCTTTAGATATATATGGGATGAATTGCAATTTCAGTAAGGATTATAGTTGAGGGATTGTCGTATTGCGTTGAAGGGACCAACTTCTTCACGCTTTATGAGCCCTTTTAGTAAAGCAGGCTCAGTATCCAAGACGTCATCTCACAGGTCAGCCAAGTAACCAGGATGAAACTGGAAAGATGACGTCTTTTTTTTCATCCACGTTAACTACGTTGAAGACTCCGACATGAACATTAATTACATTGAAATTTCCAAAACGAACTTAAGAGGAAAATTTCTTCAAACTAGATCAGTTTGCAATCAACCAAAAGTGTATTTATCTAGCTCTGAGCTAGATTTCAACATCTCACAGGTTGGCAAGGCTCAGACCTATGTATGTAATGGTGTGGGCAGCTTAATTGGACTTCGCTTACAGTCATTTGTCTTGATTATTATGCATCTCACTTTCTCAGAACTTAGCTCGGCCATAATTCTCAACAATTCAGTTACGTTAAAACTACTCTGGACCAAAGTTATCACAAACAATGATCTGGCTGACTTACACTGCAAGAGTAAAAGGTAATAAAAGATGTGTACCTGAGATATTTTTCGATCTTCTGACGGGAATTCCTCTATTTTTTACTCATGTTCATTTCTTTAATCATGAATCGGATGTTATCTTCTTGCTTTCCTTTAGACATTCCACTCGATTCCATCTCTAGAGCAATTTCTAAAGGGCTCTTTCCCTCTATGTTGAGCATTTCTCTCCCATCCTTTGGCTCAAATAAAGGAAAAAGTGCCCTAAAAGGCAGATTTAGAACAAGAAAGAATACTATGATGCAGAGCGGTATTTCCATCCTCGTCAACAATTTTTATCAATTTTTCTTTTTCTTGTTTCTTGAAAGTTTGAACCAGGCTAACATTTCTGCATTTAATTGCTACTGACAAGGCGGACATCCCTGGAATCAGCCCCTCCCCTGCTGGGTGGTGTCTGTCAAAGTCAGCTGGTAGCTGAAAGGTGACATCTATCTTTGTACCTATAAGATACTTCATCACAATGGGGCTCATAGAAGGTAACGAACACGCTTTTAAGAGTGGAGTGTAACCTCTCTTGTCCCTTTCGTTTAACTGATTAGAAGTGAATTCAGCAAGCCTTTTCGCTATATCTTCCATGACATCAAGGCTCGATCCCGAAATTTTCTTGTATTTCATCCAAAGATCGACGATAGCTTTAGTGACATCACTTGTCCCTTCGAGATACTTAGAATAATCACTTTTGTCTTCTTGGGTCGTGTCTTGAGATGGGCAGCTTTCATTGAGGAGGATGGTATCAGTATCGTTTTGGATTCTATCATCTCCAGTCTCGCCTAAATCAGAGGGATACATTTCATCTTGAGAGAAATCTTGGTCATTGTGCACCGAATCCAAATAACGTCTTCTGCTTGAGCTGCTTTCTCCAAAGTCGGTAGAATGATGAGAAACCCTTCGGTCATATTGTGATGTTTGCTGATTAGATGAAGTTCCTAAATATATCATATCATCATCATCATCATCATCATCCTCATTAGACATCGAATCGTCATTATCATCGTTATCTGTCTCACCAGGACATAAGTTGTCATCCTCTATCTTCTGCCTCTTGATTTCGCAGATGTTAGCGAGGGGCTCTTGAAGGGATCTCTTTCCATCTTTCTTCGAAATATTTCTATTTTCCATGCTACTTGGGATTCGTTCCTTAATTGCTGACACATCTCTCGTGTCCACGAGATCACTTGGGAAGGCATTTTCGTTACCTGTACTAGCATCCCTTTCGAGTTCCTCATTGCCTTGCAAGAAGGATGCCTCAATCAAAATCCAACGCAGACGGTGCCTTCTTGGGTCCGCCGCTGAAAAAATAGCAAATTGCGCATTTCTGTCACTCATCTCGGCGTTGTGACAAATACCGTTCTCGGTTGATAAGCTGTGTTTAGTCAACTGAGGCCACCGCTTCTTTGCTTCCTCGGCAGTGGCAACGAAGACAATTTTCTCCTTAGTTTTACAGAAATATAAGTCAAGGAGATATAGGGTCTCTCTCCTCCGATTTTCTGCACTGTAGGAGAGAACCAGGAACGAAACTCCTCGAGCGAAGTCTTCTTTTGTAACTATGTCTGCATCGAGTATTTCAACAATGCGAAGGGGAGATTCCTCTCTTTGATCCAGTCGATCACATCCGATGCTTCCTTTGAAACACTTGTCAGGACCACACGTGTTCACAAAGCGGCTAAGGTGCTCCAGGATAATTTTCTCTTCCAGGTCTTCAGGTAACTCGCTTTGAAGTGGTCCCTCCACGATCGTACAATTTTCATCCCAAGGGAAGATTTGGGGGAGGACTAAGTTTTCAATCCAGTCTTTGTACTGAACTTTGAAGAAGGAGTAACGGTTGCATTTAACAACCCATAGACCTGCTTTGTCACAATCATCGTTGAAGCGCAGATCTTCCCAGCATGGCCATGGACGGTAAAAGATGCCTTTTTCCACAGTACTTTTGACATTCAGCAAGACTACAGCGTACACTTGGGTCTTTATAAAGGGACTCACCGCTTTTGGGAAACTTCTCATCAGACCAAGAATACCATAGCTCCCATGTTGCTTATCGCCGAACAATTTCGCAGGACCAGTGTAGGTATACAGTGGAAAACCTTCCGCTTCAAAACTATGTCTTAAAGGATGAGACTCGTATTCCCCGTCAGCCATTGGTGGAGTGTCCTTTCCCTGCATTATTCTTTGAAGACTTTTCAAAGGCTTTAGGAAAGTACAGCGTCTCATTTGCATCACCCCATTGTCATCTCTGAGGACTTTTCTTTCTTTTCCAGATATATGATCAGTTGCAAATTCTGCCTCAGACATCATGGCCGTATTGTCATCAATCATGAAGACGTATTCAAGCTCTAAAAAAAATGCGAACTTTTGAATGAACAGTCTGGCATAACCAATTCCTCCTTCATCCGGTCCAAGGCCGCAGTTTGGAAGTTTCTCTGGCAGTTGTAGAATGACGAGCACTTTTCCCCAAGTTTCCCTGTAAGCCTCGAACTTTTCCCCTCGAACAACGACAACTTGGAAATAATTGGCAACAAATTCGTCGTCTTTCATTACGTGGTGGTAATTTAGAATGCATTTTTTTGGATCGCTTCTGTGTGAAGGATGAAATATCCAGTATGGCAGGGTGTGATCATTCTGTAAGGATTTACTTCTCTCTGATCCTTCTTTCAGCTGAGCGAATGATGGACAATTGCTTGGCAAGGAGCATCTAACAGTGACTGGGATACCATCAATGTCTATCTCCACATTTTCTTGGATAGATTCTCTACCTTGAAGACGTCTTCCACACTCAGCACATTTTTCGAAATGGTACCAGTGCCAGGCACGAAGGCCATTTGAACAATCGTCAGTCTTGAGGCGTTGATGACCAGTCTTAACTAACTTCTGCTTTTCTCCCTTCAGAAGAATATATGGAATTTCCTCCATGTCATGAGTGTAAAAGCAACCTCCTATTGAATACTTTCCCGCCCCAACTGGTTTTTCGTGCAAGCTTGGAGAAGTCTCGATCGTTTTCCAAAAGGGAAGTTGCCAGTCTTTCCATTCGTCCATCTCTCTGACAACCGACTCGTCAGGAACATCTCTCTCCTTCCACTGGTAGAAGGAACCTTCGTCAAATGCAGCGGGTGAAGTGAGCAAAACTCTTTCCTTCCCTAAAATATCCAGTCGTAAATCTCTTATCAGGCACAAGTACGTTCCAGTCTTGCCAATCTGAGGTTCGGCTTGTAGAAGGATTCTGTTGCAGTGCGTTTGTTCGTTTTCATAATCGTAGCTGTCCTTATGAGCTTCATAGTCTAGCCATCGCAGTGACGAGGAATGTGCCCCTTTTTCCTTGCGCGTCGTTGTCATATACCGGTCTGCTTTACTACGGATAGTTGCACTCATTGACGGAGACGTCTCCAATGACATTTGGAGTTTCTTGAATAGCTGTCGCCCAACCAATGCATAAGGAAACGTACTTGTTGGAACTTTCGCATAACGACACATTCTTCCCAGCTCTTGAATAAGACTTGACAGATACATTGCTGAGCCCTCCTTAAACTCTTGACTGCTGTCGTAGTTAAGTCGCAAGTCGAGACAGTTAAAGCTTTGAGGAAATGTGTCACCCATGCGACCTTTATCGACCAAAATGAGTATGCATGCCAGGTTTTCCAGGTCCTCATACTGCGTTATCGATTTGTGTACGTGCTGACAATTGGCACACGATTTCTGTCTGAGTTGTAGTTTCAGCTCACTGCAATTACAATCAAACTTTTTGGTACAAGTTTTTGGTTGAAGTTTTTTGAAAAAGGGACTTGACGACTTCATTAGTTGGTTCTCTATCTGAATTCCTCCATAGTCTCTAATGACTTCGAAGCATTCTTCAAGATGTGACATTTTCCTCGCTAGTTGTACCGTGTAGTAAAATTGATCAGCAGTTCTCATTGTCTTGGCTCGTACAATTTTCATTTTGCCCTTATCACCTTTCCCGCTCTGAATCAAATCTTCCACTAAGTAATGTGTTTCATGTGCTTGAACGAGATCGTGCCATTTTGCGACCATTTTAAACTCTTGCAGTGTTTGTTTAATGTCACCAACGTGTTCGAGTTTTTCCAGCTCTTGGGGAGGAAGATGCATCATGCATTCAACAAATGATGTAGCTAGTTCTTCCACAGCTGTCTGTAATTTAACACAGTCAGGTGACATCTGTTTCTGCAACTTGGCTACTTGTTTCAGATTTTCTTGAAAGGTTTGTTTCACTCTATGACAGATATCTTTTTGGATTAGCTCGAAAGCCTCTGGGTCAATGTACCTTTCCAAGTCTGTTGAATAAAGGTTCCCCTTGAATGATTTGAGGCGACTGTGGAATTCAGATGCGGGTGATTCTTTGAATCTTTGGGTCAGTGCCTTACGTATCTTGTCATCACTATCGAAAACACTCGAAAGGATAATATGGTAGCAGTAATCAGCACAAAGCAAGGCATCGATTGGAAAGGAAGTCGAATCTGACTGTGCCTTTTTCCTCCCTCTCTTAGCCTTGTCCACAATTTTTTGAAAGGTCTCATCATCCCGAATTTTCTGATCTTTCTTGATGGGACTGTTTAGGGTGCTGAGGTAGTAGTTTAAGCTCATATACTGCTTCCCAACCGTGTTGATTTCCATTGGTCCCGATTGATCTATGTAGAACTGAAACGAAACAACTTTAGATGCTTTGTGTAATGGTCTCAAAATGGAAACACCACATTTTCGTTCAATTTTGGCCCCTTGCAAACTGACAGAGTATTCCTCACAAACAGTAACAGAAACAGAAATGTAGTGACCTTTTCCGTCGCAGGAACAAAATGCAACCACTCCTACTCCAAAATCTAGCTTCACTTCAAATTCTGTTGGCTCTGGAGGATCATGCTTGGCTTCTAAATCTCCGTGGACATCTTTGATGACGGTCAGGGTCTTCGAAGGTGTTTGTTCTGCTTTGAGAGTAACAATGCCGTGACTGCCTTGGATGATGAATACTGTCGCATCATCTCGCTCAGGTGTTACACTTAGTTTTCCGTTTGTGGACACTTGAAGGTACTGGTACGGGGAGTTTTCAGTGATCAAAGCTGACTTGAGCTTCATTCGCATTCCACTTTCAAAGTTTTTAAGTTCGACCTCGGACCAATGGATAACATGAAGTTCTACTTCCTTTGAGGTGTTTCGCACATGCTCTTTAGGGCTAGAGTCTTGCGTCTGCACCACAAGATCGCCTGCTGTGTGTTCATTCGGAGTTGTAACGTCACTGTCTCTCATAAGGACGCAGGAAACCATGGGAAGGCGAGAGTTCTTCGTCAGGAGGTTAAAAGGTGTAGCCGAGATTTGTACAACAATCACATTTCTTGGAGGGTCCTTTTTGCACCATTCATTAATGAAAAGATTATGGGCAGAGGATTTTCTCTCTTTGTCTCGTGTTATTCCCCAATGGCATTCGTCTGCTACGATGACAAACAGTGTCTGAGGTTTTTCTTGAACATCTCGTTTGAGTTCATCAAAATGCGTATCCGTTTCTGCACTACGAACATACATGAACATCCTTTTCTTTCCATCACGGTCACGTTTGCGTGATTCGAGTTCTTCTTTTGATAGTACACCTGCGTTAGGATGGCAAATCCTCTTCTCTGTCTGATCACTCAGCATTCTGTACCGGGCTGTGTACACTACGAATTCAATATCGTTGAAGACCTCCCTTAATCTTGAAATGCTATGGTAATGAGACATGATGGTGTCAATTCGTTTCTTTAATATCGCTGCCATCTCTATTTGAGAAGGATAATAACAAGGCTTCTCCGGAGTCGCCTGGACTTCCCGCTCAACTTCTTCATCTTCATCTGACGAGTAAAGATCATCTAGACAGGCATCTTGGCTTTCCTCCTTTTCAGCCTCTGCGTCACTTTCAGCATAAAAAGTTGCTTCATTCCTGAGGCTTTGGTTTATCGTTCTTCGTAGCTCCCCGGAAGGATCTGTTTCGTTGTTTATTCGTAGAGACACCCTTGTAATGTTTCCCTGGGATGGGTAAAGTACAATGTGTTCAAAGGCAGCAAGCTTGGCGCGTAATATGGATGCAGTTTTATCGTCATTTCTTTTATACCATTTCGTGCGTTTGTGGTTGAGTTTCTTTAACTCTAGAAGTGTTTCAGATGTACAATTAAGGAGATCAAGAAATCGTTCTGTTTCCTGGTTGGAGACATCTTCCAAGGAGGTTGCAACCACAACTTCGATTAAGAAATCGAGAAAATATGATTCAGTCATCCCAGATGGAACTTGCCAATAGTAAACATTGTCATGGTCACCATCCAGCTCAAGGGAGTAAGCTGAATCTTCTTTGAATGTGAACTGCACGTGGACAGGGCGAATTTCATCGCCAAAAACTTCACCTGCAACCACACGTTACAACTTTGTCGTCTCATTCAAGCTTTTAGTAAAACCTTTATAAAATTGAGAATAGATTGTCACAATCCCTTACGTGAATCAGAAGCATCCCACATTATACGCAACTTGTCAATGCCCCGTAATAAAATTTTTTTTGTAACTGAATGAAGAGTTTGAGATAAAGTTCTAAATACTTCGTCTCATCTGATCACAAATATTTATACAATTTTGGCTGTTGAGCGGTGCATCTGTATCATTGGTTAGAGTCTTGCTCAAGCCTACATTTTCGTGATTCTTTATTTTGTAAGCGCTTTTTTTGTCAACATAACTGTATTAACCTTCTCCTTTCACAATATTCTGTCACCGAGTTCCTTGTCATCGAGGCTCATTAGATGAGGAAATAACATACCTTGATCGGTCATCTCTGTTTAAAGGCGTATCTCACGATGAACACTGAGCCTGAAAACAAATTTTACATAGTTGTATTACATGGTGCGTTAATGCTACACCCAAGAATATAAAATATATGATATACTAAATGTTCTGATTTCTGTACTGTCCTTCTTCGCAAATTGGAGCGGAACAATCGGGGAGTGGGGAATGGCGGCTTTTCTGTCGTATGGAAATCACTTCAATGGAGAGCTTAATATAGTACAGGTAAGCCCCACATTCATTTTCATTTAAAAAAGGATAATGCCTCAAATCCATTAACGACTCAGGCATCAAATGATGAATTTTGAATCCTTTGCAACCAATATTTAATTTGCCAATGTCACTCGGTATTTTCTTTGACAAGTTGAAAATCGCGAAGATCACACAGATTCGTAATACTAGCGACGCTCGCTCAGTCCAAAGTTATCGTTCGATTTCAGCGCTCTCTGAAATTTCCATTATCTTTGAGAGCTGTGTTCCTGTTAACTTTTAAGTGAATCCGCTGACCAGTGCATAAGGGTTTCATAGTCGTAGTTTGTGTGTGTGTTTTATTTTTATAGCTTAAAGCTCTCACTGGTCAACTAGTTCAGGTTTGAAAATTCTTCAAATTTAGACGGTGCGATGCAAATCTTTGTTCGGGTTTTGCTAAATTAAGGATCAGCAGACCGCAAACCCCCTGGAACCAGCGGAACCTGTGGAACCATATACTCTTGGTAAAAAATTATTAGATATTTATAATTAAAAAAAACCCTTTAACCTGTTCGAAATTTCGTTTTCGGGTATAAAGAAGATTAAGTTGATAGTTAATGAGCTAGAAATAATTGACTTTCAATTGTAGTGACATTCACTTCACAGTGATATGTAATGTCACGAGGAACAATCAGCAGTCACCTACCCCAAGTGTTAGTAACTTGAACCATAATTTGAAAGCTCTTATGGTTTGGGTACCGCGATATCCGAATAAAGCCTCATCCAAAGGCTCTCAGCAAACCCTTCCGGCTGGAATTAGCGGCTGTCAGTTCCTTTTCATTGTACATGACCCTGAGGTGAGGAATACGAGTGCAAAGAAATATGATCGCCGCTGATGCACACGGAATTTCGGGGTGATCAGGGTGGCAGGAGTGAACTTAAGGCGTGTTGCTCACGGTTAATTTACTTGGTTGGCGTTTCTAACAGACGTATCTTGGAAATAATTACGTGGAAGGCAAAGTAGATGAACGAAAACCAAGCTAAATTGCCCTAAATCAGCCCAAGAAATTCATACGATGCAAAAGAACAACCACTTGCGCGAGGTAAATTTGACTTCATTCAAAACTAGTCCAGATTTTTTTAAGGTTGAGAGTGCGACTGTTCCTCGCCATGCAAATCCTAATATTTCACCCATTGCATAACGTGAATATATTTGTCTATTCAGAGAGGCTCACTAAGTGAGCTTGGGTTCCGCTGGTTCCAGAAGTTCCGCGGTCTACATATTCTCGGTTTACTAACACCCCGTTTCGAATTACAGTCCCTCAATAATATTTGCACTGTAACGCGATGAACGTATGTTTAAAGAATTTTTCTCCCGCTTACATCTGATAACAAACCTCCAACAGTTTTCTGCCTCGAAACGTTGTACCTTAATAAGCATCGCCGCCAATGTTTACATAAGATAATGAAATTAAAAAACTTTAGCTGCTCTCACGGTTCCCGTTTCACATCAGATCGTAAACAACCGAAGCGATTCGTAAACATTCGAAGCGATTCGTAAAGTTGAGTTTGTGCCTGAACTCCCAATTTTGCGCTACAGTATAAGAAAAATTTCTAAAGACTCTTCGCTTTTAACCATTTAACTCCCACGAGTGACCAAGACAGAATTTCTCCCCATAATATCAATACAATATCAAGCAGACAAGTGATGAGAATAAAGAAAAATATAAATTAAAGGAATATAAGTTGATCCAATACCAGATTCTCCAAACAAACATCAAAAGAACTGTATGGCAGACAGTAAGGAGAATTACTAATGAGACCTTGGGAGTTAAAGGGTTAAAACACTGTGCATGTTTGTTAAGTGAGTGACAATAATTACCCACCACTGAACCCAGAGATCAACTGATTCAAACGAACTCAGTTCAGTCGCCCGCCTCTTTCAAAACGGCGTCGACCTATTCAAGTTTTTTCTCTCTCATTTTTAAAGAATTATTATCATTTTATAAACGATTTGTTTTTTCATTTTCCAAACCTTTTGTTTTTCGATCCGTGATCCGGTCCGTGATCCGAATCGGTCCGATCCAGATTTTGTCGACGCCGCTTTTAGAGTGCGTGGCTCACAGCCACTTTGAGTTTTAAATTTCGAATTGAGTAAGACAGTATTTGTTTTCAGTTGGTTCTCAGTTGAGCTCATTGATGTGTAATCTGACACGCATCGACGTCTAAACGTACTTGAATAATGACACATCTTCGATTCCCATTGAACTAATTAGCTGTCTACAATAAGTCGAGGGTTTGAAATTGAGTTGATTTATTGGCAGGCAGTTGACCCAAATAAGCTGACACAACAGAACAATTTTGTGTCATGTAATGGCTTGGTCAAGCATCCGGAAAAAATCTGCCTCGGTGCTAAACTAAACCCATGCCCTTTATTGTCGGGTTACTTGCTTCAAACGAGTCCCTTCTACTAACTTTAAAAATAAATGTACTTGGCTCCCCTACTTAAGTAACAAGATTCGACTAAGTTTTCCGCTGTTTACGATCGCATCGCTAGGAGACTCTCAATACCATCTTGCATACAACTGAGAAATTATTTTACAAAGTCAGATAATATTTGACCACTGAAGAGAATGCCAAACAGATCTAAATAAAACCAACATGTTGCAATTTGGAGTGTATTTTACGAGATTGCTCCTAAAGCCTTCAGTTTTCGCTAAAAGCAACTAATAGACTGAATTGCTATCTTTTATGATAATATGCAGTCAAAATTGGAATTTGTATGACTACGATAAAATCATCCATGAGTACAAAAGTACAGTTTACATGTAAATCATTTTTAAGCGGAGATTCCTGTTTACCCATCGTCTTTGAATTCTACGATGGTGCTCTCTACATATTTCATAGTATCCTCAACATCAAGATAAAGAAAACGAAGCTTTTTACCATGAGACTTTCGAGAGCCGACTTACGTCAGTTGGCCGTTACATCTATAAAGGTACTTTCTTCGCTTCCATCAGTTTCAGATATCCATTGCGATGTTTGATTAGCTTGGCTGAAAGGTAACGGATAATAACGTTTACCAGTTTTGTGTAAGACTTTACGCTAATAACTAAGGGCGTAATTTCTTCCAGTCGGTAATGTATATATGTAAGACTTAACGCCAGTAACTAACGGCGTAATTTCTTCCAGTCGGTAATGTATATATGTAAGACTTTACGCTAATAACCAACGGCGTAATTTCTTCCAGTCGGTAATGTACATGTTGTAAGATTTTACGCCAGTAACTAACTTCCAAACGGCGATATATATAATGTAAATTTTACGCTAGTAATTAAATTATATCATACTTAATCAAAATTAATCTACCGACGCAGATAGTGGCGTAAAATCTTACAGTATATAAATTGTGTTAGTCACATAATACGCCGTTATATATATTCCCATTTCACTTTCCGTCGTCGTAGAAGAAAACGAATTCGACTCACATGGAAAAACCGAAGAAACTCAGAAGCTAGAACTCCAATCGTTAACGTCCAAGGCGCCAAATACGTCCCTGCCGTTATTATAATTTACCTGACCTTTGTGATATCCAAGAGCCTTTCTGTTGTTTATGCATATGATTCCTAGAATTTCACAAGAACGTCAAGAATTTTTCTCGGAAACCTCTCGGAAACCTCTCGAAAGCGCGACCTCGCGCATCACTTCACATCTATAAATACACATGCACAATCGATGCAGAACCGCGAACGAACGAAAACCAA